TACACTAGGTTTTCTCCCTCTATGTTAATTTGTTTTCCTATATATATTATGCACTCTCTGTGTTTTTCAACTACTTTATATCTTTGTTGGGTATGTTTTTAAAATTTAATGTAATTAGAAAATATAAAATCAAAATACAATTATATATAAAAATCTTTTGGGTGAATTATGTAAATTAAAGTTCTTATTCATCAGAAAGAGATCATTAATTCGTAGTAAAAATTTGTAACTTCTAATTTTAATTATTTAAAATTTTAATTGAAAGAGTCTCTCAAACCAAGATATATAATTAAATTCAAGTTATTAAATTATAATTGGGTTTGAATTCAATAACTATAAGTTTAGCTATTTTTTTTCTCCTTCCTATATTAAGATCTTTCCTATATTAAAAAAATTACTTTTATAACACATAAAGCAGCCAAATAAGTAACCACAAAATTCAAGATAAAATCACAACTTAAATTTCGTGAAGTAGCATTTTCCTATATATATATATAATTTTTTTTAAAAAGGGATAAATTGATAATTTTAAAAGGGACAATTGCATGCTCCTTTAAAAACTTCTGAAAGCAAACATGGAGATTTAATACAGGACGGGGGCGTATCAAAGGAGTGAGAGTGATTTGTGTGACATATAACATGGTCTACAGCAGACTATGGAGTAATTGTTTTGTTTTGATCATGTGAGGATGATTTTTTTGGATAAAGCATAAAATATAATCATTTAATAATTAAAACTGGCCTCTTATGGGCATTACTTAATGTAGTATCTTAGAGTAAAGATATATATAACATTCGAAAATTGAATACATCCAACCCATTTATGTGTCATGTTATTCTTCATTCATATAAAATAGTCAGTTTGTTTGAATCACTTATCATTTCCTAATGCCTTAATATTGATTATTGTTTCGAATACTTATTTTATAATTAGGATTGGGCTAATGCTAAAAAACAAAACTATAATTGAGGCATCAACAAAATAATTGTTCAGAATATTTTATATGCTTGTATTTGTAGAATCTCTTATATAAAAGAGTAACAAATTATCCAAGGGTCTATTAAAGGCTAAAGCCTTACATCAATGGGATTCCCAAAGTTCAACTTAATTACCCATAAACATTTGGGCTTGTACAAGCATTAACTAAAATGAGCCCACCAAGATTGTTGCAAGAAATCATCTAATATTATGAAGAAGAATGCATTCTACCAAAATATAACTAATAATTTTTTTTACGATTCTATACCAGATATGTGTGTATATACATTTATAGAATCTATTAATTAATTAATTACTCGTATATTACTGGTCAAACTTGTCAACCTTAGGAGTTATAAAAGCTGTGCAAATGCAGTTGATTAAAATTTCGGTACAAGTAAGATGCCAAGATTTCAGTCCCCAATCCAATGGCATCAAGGGATTAACTATTTAACCAAATCTTCAAATTTTAGATGATCAATTATCGTCCAATGATTTAAAAGATACGTGTCAAGCATGAGCTAAAAAAATTCAAAATTATATAATTCAGCCGTTGACATAAAAATATCCAATCAACAGAAGAGAAAGGTACTGTTGAATCCAATTTTGATGGCTATAAATATTCGTTGAAATTGTAGGGAATCTCAATCCAGATTAGATATTTATTTGTTTGAATAGTAGCATAGTTAGTATGGTACGGAAAAAAAGATGGATACGAAAATATACTAATATAGTTTTTTTTTTATTTTTTATTTTTTAAAAAACACATTAGAAAAATTCGGCTAAAAAAATCAAAAACGTAAAAAATGGGAAATATGCATCTTATTATTTTCTTCTTCTTTTTTTCATTTTCTTTTTTTCTACTCAACCAAAATGGATTTTTTTTTTTTTTTTCTTATAATACTTCTTTTTTTCAAAAGGACAAATTTATACAAATTTGTGTGGGACCAGGAAATTATGGGAGGAGCAGTAGTAATTTGTTTTTAGTAATTTTAAAAATAAAAAAATTAATAGGAGTATAATACCTACAAAAATAAAAATAATAATAACTGTATTAAAAATTTACGAAAATGAGTTGGAATTGACTGACTGTTGCTAAATCATGATAGATCCACGTGGTCCCCACTTTTGGGGTCCACATACATTCCCATGGCAAATAGGCGATGATATCTTGAAACACACGTCTAGAGACTAACGGGGTCGCTGACGGCTCCTTTTCAAAACAGACGGTCCACCAAGTCCAAAGAAACTGGGAGAAGTTTGACAGCGCCGCCAAGTTGTCGTGAGTTAACGTTTACCGTCTATAGCCTACCACACACAGTAAGATTTCCCGTCACGGCATGCACGGCTCTTTCCCTGGCGCCGTTTTATTGTATCAATCACGGTTGTCCAAAGCTCAACTTAGTTGTTGGTCGTACGCCCTTGTACGCACCGTGGTGTGACCATATCATATCATATCATCATATCATAACATCTAAAAAGTAATATAGCACTACTTACCCATCACAAGAGGCGTACTGCAACCTTTTTCAGGAAAAAGGACGACTCACTTATCACGGTCCCACTTTGTATTTCATCATCCTATCATTAACAAGTGCTAATACGAGTCATTAAATCTCAACACTTAATTCAAATAATTATGCTTTTTAACAATCATGAGCACCTTTAATTTTTCTTTTTTTTCTGGCCAATCAATCTATATGTACCTTCTTCTTTTTTAATTCTCTGATTAGAGAGGCATTTTGTGTGTTCCCCCTCCTGTTCCCTGAGATGGTTAGATGAATGGCCATGGAGTCTAAGGCAACCTCAATTAGCGTTTATTGCAATTTGTGGTGGGACTCCAGATTATGCATTGAAACGATACTGCATGTCTTGATACACACAAAATCTGATATTTAAAATCTTTAGGTATTAATAAAATGAAATATGGACTATTGATAACACATATTCTATTTTACAATATTTCAAATTTTAAGCATTGAAAAAGGGTCCTTGTTTGATGAAAACAAATAAAAATTGAATGGACAAATGTGAGTACATAAACTTAAGTAGGAAATAATTATTTTGTTAGTATCAATTAGCATTAAGTACATTTCACTCTTTCTTTTTAACATTAATTAGATAATTACTTTTTATCAAGAATTTTGTGACTTAATGGTATCTTTTTTATTTTTTAAAACGGATGGAGTGAATAATCTATAAAGAGATAAAGTAAATGTGTGAGTGGTTTTTATTTATTTTTTGTAATTGAAAACAAATAAAAATAAGGGCAAATTTCATGAAACCTCCAATACTATTACTTTTTTTAATTAAATACCCCTAACATATTTAGAAAACCTCCAACACTATGAAAATTGATCACATTGCACCATGTCTGTGATAAAAGGACGAAACTACCGATATACTAAATCAATTAAAAAAGTCAAAATATGTATTTTGCCAATTTCTAAGTGACATTTAAGTCACCAAATCACAAAACGACTGCCTCTTGAGTCGTCTCTGGCTACGGGAGGTCCTTCATCAATCAACGGGCCTTTGTCTGAAGAACCTGCAACTGTACCTCCTATACCAAACGGCTCTACTTTCAACATATTCGACGTCGGATCAATCATTATCGGTTTGTTTAGCGTCACTTTGGTTCCTGTAGTTGATCTAAGGTTTCTCTCTAGACGTAAATAGCGCCAGAAGGGGACGGCTCTGCCGTTTCTTAATGGCACTCATCTCTATCTCCAACTACCGGTAACTCCACATACCGAATGGCTGCAAGCCGTCCCTTCATCTCTAATTGCCGTCGCCGAAAATCCTTTGACGTCGCTCTCTGTTGCCTCTCTGTGGGTGTTCTCAACTTCATCATCACACCATATACATCATAACGTGTTCACTGCCAGCACATCCCTCTGACGTCGCTCTCACCACCTCCCTTTGCCGCGCTGTTCTTTGTGCATCGTCAACACCACCAAAGCCCACATACGCTGCCACCTCCGCCAATTCTCTATCGATCTCGGCTCATCTCCTTCACCTCCCTCGCCGACGAAGTCATCACACAACCTTCACTTTTTCTTTCTAAAACTATTCTCTCTCTGTATATATATTGTTTTGTCCGCATCGACACACAAATACACAATTGTTTTGTGTTTTGGTGACTTAAATGTCACCACCAAGGGTATTTTAGTAATTGGCAAAAAATCTATTTTGGTTTTTTTAATTGATTTGATATATCATAAGGGTAGTTTTGTCTTTTTATTATGGACATGGTGCAAAGTGATCAATTTTTATAATGTTAAGGATTTTTTTAAAGTATGTAAAGGATATTTGATAAAAAAAGTGATAGTATTAACAGTGCAGTGAAATTTGCCCTAAAAATAATAATAGTGATGACTTTTTCATTTGCATTTTAGGAATTGATATACTCCACCCTCAAACCTAGTCCCAAATTCCCCTTGCGAAGTTTATAATCATACAACCGGCCATACAGAATTTTTTCCTATTTAACCTCTAAATTAGTTGAAATCTACTGATATCCCGAATCTAGCCCCTCTAATGGTAGACAGGGACATGAGTGAGCGGTCCAAGAACCTTGAACCACGAGCCATGTAGCACTACCTGGCTCGGACCACGTATGCATGTAAAAGGGTAAAACAGTCCTTGCAATCTATGTCCCCACGTTACTGTATCCGTCTTGAAACTTTTCATCTTGTTATTTTAAGACACGCAGGACTGTCTCCGTCACATAAATAAAACTTTCTTTAAATTATTTGCAGTACAAAGTCATCGCACTTCCTTTCAACGCCTGGAGGTAATCTCTCCTCGAATTACCATTTTACCCTTCCGCATATCATTTATTTCAATTAATCATAACTTGTCCATCCAAAAAGTGTAAACTTACAGTGGTAACAGGTGTAAGGCAAAAGGACAGAAACGCCGCCGTATGATCTGTGGTAGAGTGGAGGGTAGTTCGGTAATTCTCAGGAGGTGTCTCGTTCGTTCTCCGAGGCCATTCATTCATCGATACAGGGCGTGTGTATATGTGTGTATCTATGTGCCTGTGTTGTGGGAGTATCTTGTAAGCGTTTTGGCACAAGCTAAAACACAAACCCTAAAAATCTACAAAACTCAGATGCTCTGTTTCGCTACTCAGATATGGAGTCCCAAACCCTAACGATCGGAGCTCATCGCCAGCTCTCCATGTCGTACCGTCGGTAATTTTTCTCACTCCGTTGTTCATTTCCCCACTTTTTCTCTTAGTTTTAATCGTTTTCTATCTCGCCAAACACCAGATATTCCGTTTCAGTTTACTTTCCGACAATCCACTATTTTGATTCTATCCTTCTGTAATTTTTTCCCCATTTCAAGAATGTTCAAGTCTTTCTTGTTATCTTTCTGAGGTTCCGATGATTATTCTTTGTTCCTTGATAAATATATATATAGTCATCGTCTTTAGGTGTCTTCGATCATTCGATGAGTTTTGTACAATAAAAAGTGTGGTTTGTTTACTTTGGTATGATAAAGACTTGATTTGGTGATTTCAAATTAGTTTCAAGTTCTCTTTTATGGAGTCTGTTTTGTGTTTTGTTAATTTTCTCTTATTAGTAATTTATTTAGGGGTCTTTTATTGTTTATTTATGGTGTTGTTGGATAATTTTTGGAAGTTGCTAGTTCCACAGCCAAAGCCCTACTTCTCTAGCCCACCATATCTATGAGAGATGGAGTGCCGTGAAAATAGGCCCTTCCTTATTTATAGTTATCTTATTAATTCACCCCAACTGAACTTCTGTTTCAGTTTGTGTGTGTGTGTGTGTGTGTATATATATATATATATATGGTAAATGTAAAGCAAATAATATCTACTGGGAGTAATTAATAAGACTCGTTAATATGCTATACCTGTCCAAATTTATTGACTTGGTTCATATTTGTGGCATTAATATTCCATCATTAATACTTACCTTTCTTGTATGATTTCTCACATGTTTCCATGACTCTGTGCTTTTACATGTTTTATTATGTTTTTGGTTTGGGCCCTTCTAGCTGCCCAGATCCCACTTTTTGAATTTTATATTTATTATTATTATCATTTATTTATTTTTCTTGTAACTAGTCGTTACCATGCATGAGTTCTCACTTCAAGTAGCATTTGTATCGATGATTTCTTCAGGGGATTGTTTCATGGAGCCAAGGCATTCCATATTATGGCTGTTCTGGTATGCACTTTCTTTGGCCTTGCTACATGCGGACCATGCTCCATGAATGGGATGCAGAAGCCGGTGGAATTTGATGCATGTGGGTCCTATAGAGATGGTCATAATGTGGGTTTTCAAGATGTATTTGTTGGTGATGTAAGTTTGAGATATGTTTCAAAAAATCCTCTGGCCCACCTGAGTGTTGAGAATGTATGTAGCAATTTGAATTTATTCTGCTTTCCTTCAACATTGCCTGGGTTTTTATTTGAAGAGGAATCAACTATTCTAGAAGTTAATGGGGTTCAGTCTGATGACACATTATCTGTAGGTTCAAGTCAGGCAAAAAATAACATTAGCTGGTCATCAGACTATGGTATGTTTAGGCAATCAAGTGGAAGGACCCTTTCTTGTTCTTTGGACTCCCAAGAGGGCATCCATGACATCTCGTCTCTTCAAACTCATGGCCCTAATCCAAATGATGTTTCTTCCTGCAGAGGAACGTTACTAAATCAGAAGATCCCAAGTTTCAACCTGAATGAGAATTCTAGGAGGATCAAATCGGGGTTTTTGGATGGTTCTTTGTCACCCCATGTAGAAATAACCCCTCATCTACTTGATTGGGGACAGCAGTATTTATATTTTCCTTTATTAGCTTTTTTAACAGTGGCAAATACTCACAGTGACAACATTTTAAATTTATACGAACCTTTCAGTACCGACACACAATTTTATCCTTGCAATTTCAGTGAAGTGTTGCTTGGGCCTGGTGAAGTTGCTTCTATTTGTTTTGTGTTTTTACCTACACGATTGGGTCTGTCCTCAGCTCACCTGATCTTGCAGACAAGCTCTGGTGGTTTCTTGATTCAGGCCAGAGGTTTCGGTACTGAGTCCCCTTATGGGATACAGCCCTTAGTTGATCCGGAAGTTTACTCCAATGGAAGGTGGAACAAGAATTTGTCTTTGTTTAATCCTTTTGATGAAACTCTCTACGTGGAGGAAGTAACTGCATGGATATCAGTTTCTTTAGGGGGTACTTCCCATTTAACAAAAGCAATTTGCAGTATAGAAAATTCTCAGGGTCCTAATCAGCGTATTTTGCCAAGTGTTAAGGAATGGTTGGATGTCAAGAATGGTCAAATTGGTACATCACAATTGGCAATGAAACCCCATAGAAATTGGGAGATTGGTCCTCACAGCACTCAGACCATTATGGAGATAGACTTCTCTTATAATTCTGAAGGAAAAATTTTTGGTGTTCTCTGCATGCAATTGCAAAAATCTTCACAAGATACAGTTATAGTTCCTTTCGAAGCAGAATTGGAAGCCAAACCTGCCTATGGTGATCTTGCAAGCTCTGTTTCAGTATCTATAGAGGTCCTTGTGCCATGTGATGGCAGCGGAACTGTCGTTGCTACTCTCTCGCTGAAAAATAGTGCTTCTTACCTCTTGAATGTTGTCAAGATCATTGTAGATGGCGAAAGTACAAAGCTTTTCCAAATTAAATACATGGAAGGCTTAATACTTTTTCCAGGCACTGTCACACAAGTTGCTGTGGTTACCTATGCTCCCCTGCCTGAAATTCCCAATACGTACTTGAATTGTGAATTAATCATTCTGACAAATGATTCAAGTAATCCTCAGTTTGAGATTCCTTGCAGAGATATAGTCAATATTTGCCCAAGAAATCAGTTTGATTCCTACATTGGTTATGATCATCATTCTGAAAGGATCGAACATGGCAATGCAAGAACAAGGTCTTTAGGCAGTAGCGTGAAGTCAGCGTCACAGATCAAGGTATGCTGACTTGAATAAATTTTTGCTTTCAATTACTACAAATTTGCAACAGTTAATGTGACAGTTTCTTCATCAGCTTCAGCGTTGTCCTTTCCTTTTGTATGGCTTTAACAGCTACATGGTCACTGGTAGCATACTCTATATCATGTTGGGCTGTCATGTTAGATAGACACACTGCTTCTTTGAGCTGCATAGGCTAATAGTATCAGGTGCTCAATGCCTCTTTGCTTAAGGTTTCTAAACAAGGCCATTATCTAGTTTTGATCCCGTTTAATCAGTGTGTTGGGAGGGGTGAACTGGAGGCTGTCCTAACATTTTCATATTGCATTATTTTTCACCAAATTACTACTATAGTACTCAAAACTGCATTCGTGCATTGTTTTGTTGATAAGCGTGTTCTCACATTTTCCAATTAGAGGCTTTGAGCTTTCATCATCTTGCCAAGCAATGATCCTTCATACCATGCCTACTTATAAAATAGCGAAAGGTAAAACACATAAAAGGAAAAATGATAATATGGTGTAAAAACACTTGATTGATAACATAACCGCACTATTTAGAACATATATTGGTAACCCCCAGGGCCTAGCCTAACGACAAGGCTCTTACCTCATATCTTGAATGTTGGGAGTTCGAATCCCTTGCGCCCCCAAGCAATTTCATAGTAATTGCCTTGTGCACTGGACTTGGATACGTGTGTCTGGTATGAGTATGTATTCAAATGTCAGGTGTGTCAAGTCCCCAAACAGGGCACATGGACACTGCTAAAATTCATATTATTTAATATTTTTATTTTATTTTTTTAGAGTAAAATAATGTTTTTATGTAACATAGTATCTGATATAAGCATTTCAATCATTTTGAAGTAATAATATAATATAATGAATTATTAGATGTGATTTTTGGGTACATGTCCAACAAAAAGTGTCGAACACATATCCCATACCCATGTCCGTGTATTGTGTGTTCGACACAGGTGCTTCACCTACTTTTGAAGAGTCCATGTAACATACTTAGTGCATGTGGGAGGGAGGGGCTGCTTGTGCCTAGTAGTGGACTATCTAAGAGGCCCGACACCACCATCATTGACAAAAAGTGAAAATAAAAAATTAAAGATAAAAGAAACATATATTGGTATACATCGCTTTGAGTATGAAGCTCTACATTTCGGGCCTTGGATCTAGTACATACCTATGCACTAAAGCTCGCGCTTGACCAACATGATATGTATTTTTAAAACATAATCTTTTGTCAAGTGTCTTAAAACCTAGATTGGGAAGGAGCATATATGGATGGTGCAGCCATCACGTGGTTGTGGTTTTGGGTTCAAAAACCCTTGGTTGTGTCAACGTTGACCTCTGAAAAGTTTTTAGAATACTTGTCTGTCGTAAACATAGTCTTTTACAAGGATTAAGCTAAGTCTCATAAAAAGTTAGATTATCATCATAGTTTCTTTATTCTTTTAAAATTGTTTATGGTTTCAATGTTGTGTTATTGAATATTTTTCATATTTATTTTCAATGTTCTCATCGAAAGCATAATCTGGCTGCCTATTCACCTAGTATGGTATGTGCAACACCATTCACTCAAGTAATTTTCTCTTTCAAACAATTACAAACATAATTCTATTTTTAGTGTCTCAACTTGATGGTTAAAGAAAGGTTTTTTCCTTTCCCAACTGATTGTAAGCAAACTGGTGTTGGTTGGACCTACAGTGAGTCTGACTGTGGCTCCAAGTCTCCCTAAATGAACTTATTGATGGAGCGGTTTGAAGTTTATCTCCTTTCTAGAATTCATAGTCACTTAAAAAAGTAGGGAGGGATACATTTACTTGAAAGGTTCAGAAGTGCATTACGGAATTGGTAAGGAAATGATGAAAATATGGAACTTTTTTTTATACCTGAAATGTCATAATATGAGAGCGGCTATCTTTATTGGCTACATTTGTTATGTGACACGTCTTTAGGAGAGGTACAGATGATATTGAAACTGCCTTCCTTCTGCTCCCTGCCCAGTTGCAGAAAATGAATTTCCTGCATTTGTTTTAATGCCCAGCTCAAATACTTTACTAGCTTTCTTTGTCATCAGTTGGTTGGACAAGTAATTATTTGAGAAGTTTCTGAGCATAATATTATAGGCACCTTCCTTTCTTGAATGTTTGACCATTCTATTTCTACCATAGAAACTTTCCTTGGATAGCATCGTGGGCATGAAGATAATAAAGCCCTTTCAGATTCATTCCAAATGAAATCCCTGATGCCATTAAGATTGATTGGTGACTCATATGCGATAATGTAGAAACACCCATGTCCTCTTGTATCTGCACGGTGTGTTTTTCCTGCTTGGTATGGCATTCTTATCCCTGGAAGTCATTAAAGATGAACAATGATGCTGAAACTAACATTTAAAGGGGTTACAAGATGTTGAAAAGTACTTGTAAAGAACTTTCACTTCTCATGGTGGATTTGACTGCTGGGCATTAAGAAACACAGATATGGACACCGGACATGAATATTATATTACATGAATTTGTGGACATGATTACTATCAAGGAGAATAAAATAAAATTGACACAGAGATGATGGGTACCCTAGGAAGCACGGACACTCCAAAATGGGCGAAGAATCCGTGTCCGACACGTGTCGGACACGGACACGCGTCGGACACGCCCCGACACGTGTTGGACACGCTAAAAAACGTGTCTGGAATTTTTTTTTTTTTTTTAATTTTCGAACACGGCTGGGACACGCCACGGACACGGCTCAGACACGGCTCAGACAGCTCGGACACGGCTCGGACACACTTTTCTGGAATTTTTTTTTTTTTTAAATTTTTAATTCTGATATGTTAATTTTTTTTTTTTTTTTTTTTTTTGTTTTTTTTTTTTTTTTTAAATTTTTAATGCTGATATGTTCTATTTTTTGTTTTGTACTACCCTAAAGATGTTGATATATATATATACTAACCTAAAGATGCCACAATTCGCCGTGTCCGTGTCCGTGTCCTAAAGATGCTGATATATATATATACTAACATATCAGTGATATATATATATATTCCAACCTAAACATATCAGTGTTTTTTTTTTTAAATTATTAATGCTGATTATATATATATATACACTATTCGCCTTGTCCGTGTCCTAATTTTTTTGGATTTGTCGTGTCGCCGTGTCCGTGTCCGTGTCGTGTCGTATCCGTGTCCCGTATCCGTGTCCGTGCTTCTTAGTGGGTACCTAACAAAAAAATAAATATATATGTTTATATTAATGATTATAAAGTATAAGTACAAATGTATGAGTAAAAGCTTTTCATAATTTTTTTTATATAAAAAGTTTTGAGCAAAGAAGTGTGAGCCGAAGTACATTACTTCAATTGTCTTAGCAAAAGAAGTATCTGTTGTTATATGCGTATAGGTTTATTAAGTCTATAGACAAATTAGTTAACCCCAATATGAAAATATATTCTCCATAAAACAAAACACTCTCTTGACTTTCAAAGATGCAAGTCCCTCTTGCTCTCTCATCTCTAACTGCGACCCTCCTCTCAACTCACTTTTACTCCTTCCATACCTCTCTTTCATACTCTTATCTCTCTCTGATTTTCCGTACAACAATAATTTAATCAAAAAGTGTGGAATAAGGGATAGGGGCTAAGGTTTTTGGTGACAATATATTGCAGCTGTGGTGGTGATTGTGGTTGGAAGAGGAAATGACAAAGGTCAATGTTGACAATGGAGGAAGATGATGGGTTTGGATTGAAGAGTATGGCACAACTTACTTGAACCAGGTTTAGAGTTTTAACTCAATCAGGTTCTTCTCTTTCTTCTGTATCTGTGTGTTCAAAATGCATGTGGTTCAGGGGCGGGAGGGCCAATAAGATCATTTTAACCCATCATTTTTTATTTTTAAGTCCAAAGTTCTCTCACTTCAATTCTTTCACAATCTTATATTCTTCCTATTTTTCCTCAAACAACTTAAGCGTGTTCCGGTCTCATTGTGTCTCTCGTTTCCTTCATGTCTCCAACATATATATCCAGTTTTCGATAATAATAAAAAAAAAAAAATTGGACTTATTTGGTGCACTTCGTGTATAAACGTGTCCGACACTGCTCAACGCAACTCGACATATCCTTTTCCACTGTTTTCTTCTATTAGTCAATTTGGAGTTGGCAATTGATTAATGTTTCAGCTTCTTACGAGATTTTACAACCAAACCTCGAAAAGCTATTAATGCTCTTCTGTTCTTTTTTATTTTAAATAAATGATATGCAGTTGCAACAATTTTTTGGCATTATTAATTCTTTGTTAATAGTGTTTTTGATTGCCTCTTTTTGGTGTATTCGGTTGTAAGGAAGAAATAGGAGGATGTTTGAGGGTAAGGAGATGTCAGGTTTTAAGTGAAGTATTGCCTCGTTCTCTTCAAGGAGGGAAGAGGGGGGAATTGGTCCTCTGTTAACTATTTTGTTACTGATATGAGCTATAGTCTGGAGGTCTGTTTTGATTATTTTTGGATGATTTGGAGGGGGGGAAATAGGATATTTGAAGGTAAGGAGATGTCAGGATTAGATTGAAGTATTGCCGGGTTCTCCAAGGAGGAAAAACATTTTGGGAACATGGTTGGGAAATGGGAATTGTCCTAGACGGTTTCGTTAGACATTACACTGATGTGAGCCTTGACCCACTCCTGCTTCCAATCACCGGAAAGCCACATGTATTGGGTAAGCCTGACAGGAGTTGAATGACACATCTTAGAAGCGGAACTATTCGCTTCGAATACATTCAACCATCCCAATGTCACATGCATCAGGTAAGCCCAGGAGCAGTTGATTGATACCTCTTGGTTTATCACCAAGGGACTCTGGCCAACCCAGCTGCTCTGTTGGGGTTCTGAGTGCGCAGTTTTTATACTATGAATGAACTACTTCAATCTTAGAGAATAGCATACATGATGCTCTGTTTTTTATTATCTAATAATTCCCTTAATGAAAATAGATTATCTTCCATTCGTTTCAAACTTCCATGATCCCTTCCCGAACCAAAAATAAATCTTTCGATTTTTATGGAGATATCAAAACAAAAAAGGCAGGATTTGTCTACTCTGTCCTAAAATGGGGGAATGTACATTTGCTAGAAACAGTTCCCATTCAATCTTACTGTTAACTTCTTAATTGTTTTTTGTCATTTTTATAAGCTTCCATACATTTGGGTGAAACATATATAATTAATAGAGAGAAATTTAGTAAGATGGCATATGATTTGCAAAATTCTATAACTCCAGCTTAGGGGCTTTTTTTTTTTTTTTTTTATAATTCCAGCTTCATAATATTTTCATAGACATATTTATGCAATGTGAATTCTCAATGACAAATATTTGTGGACTTTCCCTTTAGGCATTGGAGACGGCAGAAGCAGATGAATTGGTACTGGGAAACTGGAAATCTCAAGGCACTGCAAGTAGAATGACTGTGCTTGATGATCTTGAGGTTCTGTTCCCAACAGTACAGGTTGGAACTCATCACTCTAAGTGGATAACCGTCAAAAACCCAAGCCAACAGCCAGTTGTAATGCAACTTATTCTAAACTCTGGGGAGATAATTGATGAATGCAAGGCGTCCGATGGGCTTTTACTTCCTTCTTCATCCAGTAGTTTGGTACTTAGTGAATCTACAACACCAACAAGGTATGGATTTTCAATAGCAGATGGTGCACTTACAGAAGCCATTGTCCATCCTAATGATAGAGCATCTTTTGGGCCGATTTTCTTTCACCCTTCAAATCGATGTGGGTGGAGAAGTTCAGCTCTGATAAGGAACAATCTTTCTGGAGTAGAGTGGTTATCTTTGCGGGGATTTGGAGGGTCACAATCCCTGGTTTTGTTGGATGGGACTGAACCTGTTCAGAGTTTAGAATTTAAGTTCAACCTGCCAAGTCATCTTAATTTCTCTCCTCCAGAAAACTTACATCATCACAAGGAAGACACCACCTATGCCTGTTCTCGGTCGTTGTCAAAAGAGCTGTATGCGAAGAACACGGGAGACTTGCCACTGGAGGTTAGAAGAATAGAAGTTTCTGGGACAGAATGTGGTCTGGATGGGTTTGTAGTACATTCTTGTAAAGGTTTTGCTCTTGAACCTGGGCAGTCAATGAAGCTTCTGATATCCTACCAGACAGATTTTACTGCAGTGATGGTGCAGAGAGATCTTGAACTGGCCTTAACTACTGGTATTCTCGTAATACCCATGAAAGCAAGTCTTCCCGTACACATGCTCAATTTATGTAAGAAATCAGTGCTCTGGGTGCAAGTGAAGAAATCCTCTTTCGCAATCCTTCTTGCTGCTCCTGTGATGTTAATGGTATTTTGTTTCATCATTCCCCAGATGATGGCCTTGTGCTCCCTTGATCACTTGTTCAAGAGTGGAAAAAGCTCCATTGCCACCATAAGTCACGAGGGAAAAACTTATCGTGTGCATCATAACCAGAAAAGCAGTAATAAGTTTGTTGTTTCTTCTAAAATGAATGGCTTATTAAGGTCAACCGGGGAAGAGGAAGCCTTAGCGCTGGAATCTGTTATTAGATATCCTAATGGTCATGGTGTTGTTACAGAACAGGAGATAACTGCTCAACATGCAAATCAATCTCCAGGAAATCAGAGCCAAACTAACTGTTTGTTGAGTACTCGAAAGGAGATGGTATCATCACCCTCTATGCTGTCAAAGTCTGTGGCAGTTGAGAGCTCTGATAAGCAGGAAGCATCGCAATCTGGTAACCTCACTGTTAGGATTGGAAAAGAGAAAAGAAAGCGGCAAAGGAAGAAAAAGAGTCCTGCTACAGGGTTAATGGGACACTTTGAAGTTTCAAGCAGTCAAAGTGGAAATTCTACACCTTCATCACCCTTGTCCCCTGTCACGTCTGTCATTCCTAAACGGTCTTGGCCACTATCTCCTGATGTGGATCAATCTGTCGAGAGTAGGAATCTATTCACCCAGTCAACCAAACACCATTGTGAGAAGGTTTCAGAACCTGCCTCTGAGGCAATCATGTCTGTACCTCAGGTTCCTGGGGAGTACTGCAATGGAAATTGGTTTTTTCCTACTCAAGAGAAGCCATCTGCACCAAGAAAAGCGGGTAGCAAACCAGTTCTGTTGCCTTCTGCTACATTTCCTTGCAGTGGTAGGGCTACTTCCAATTTGATTTGCCCTTCAATTTCGGCTTCAACGTCTGCAATTGCTGCACATGCTCGGGCACCTGGATCCAAACTCTATGAACAGAAAACAGAGGAGAAGACTGGGTTTGAGGATCAATTCAAGTATGATATCTGGGGGGACCATCTCTTTGGATTTAATTCGGCTCGTAGGTCAAAGGAGGCATCTGCTTTGACCTCCAGTGCTACAGAGAACAACTCTGATAGCTTCTTTGTAAGGGGTCCTCAAACCTTCAAGACTATGTTTCAACCAACATTAAATGGTTCTAATAAAGAGTGTTAATGATAAATTACCTAGTAATTAATATATTTTTACGTGCGCTTCCTCTTCTTTGTGTTTTTTTTTTCACCCACTTGCATCTTTGAAGTTAAATACTTCCATAACAAAGAGGGAAAAGAAATGGATACAAAATGATAATAATGGAAAGAAGATAAATCTAATATATATTTGCAATGCTATAATCTTCTCATCTGAATGTATGTTTATATGTGGTTTTAGAATACTAATCCTTCACATGGGAGTGGGTAGTTTCAGTCACTGTTGGAGAAAAACAAGAGAGAGACATTCTTAGGGACACCATAACTTATTGTTGTTATTACATGAGCCCTTTTGCTTAAGATCGTCTAGATGGGTCAACTCTGTAAAAGCTGATATGTCATTCTCCTCGTCTTAAATCTCATATTAATATGGTCTGACATTTTGTGTGTACGGGTTAGGGGGCTAGGTGGGGCCGTGGCCTGAATGCATGCGCTCACTTGCACACGACTGGCACTGCAAAACACGGGCTGGGGGACATGGCCTGAATGCATGCGCGCATGTGCACACTACTGCACTGCAGGACTTTGGTTGTTCATGGACGTTTCATTATAACATTCACAGAACATACTGGTTGCGACATGGAGTGCTGTCTAACACTACAAGTTATTAAACACGAGACTGATGAAAACAACACAAAACTGCATTATTTGATGAGTGAAGTTGAAGTAAGATAATAATGGCGGGAGGGGAATAGCAGCCAAATTAACAAAAGAGAGAGATTACCCACGGTACAATCAAATCCATCAGTAAGAAAGTGACCTGACCAATATTCCAACAACATAAATCATTTTGTATTGGCCGTCCTCTAACCCATATGTTTAGGTCATTTTCTCTCATTCTACTAGTTTTTTAGCTTTTTCAGTGTTCTTCAGTATTATCAATGTTCTATAACATTACATTCATATATACATCTTATGGTAAATGACAGAAGGCTAAAAACGCATGCTATCAATCCTGCCAAAGGGGGCTTGTATCAGCAGGTGGAACTAAAAGAAGGTGGTCCAAATTCCATCCTCTTGGATCACATCTAACAGCAATTAGAGACTCCTTCCATGGGTTTTAGTTTTCACTCTAGTGGACTCCATGGTGTCCTAACCCATTATGTGTATTGAAGATTGAGAGAGCTGTAATGGTACACAAGTACAGGATACATGGTGATACTGGACAAATGGGTTGTGACCATTTTTTTTTTTTTTTTTTTCTTTCTACATTGACTTTTATGCAATGAGGGGGTCTTGGTGCAGTGGTAAAGTTGCTGCATGTATAGGAAAGACGACATACATTTAACATTCCTCAAACTTCGTAATTCTGGGAGTCTAGCGACTCTAGCTCGTCCACTGAGTTAACCCTTTATTACTTATAATGTTTTTTCTTTCGAGAGGTGAATGCCCATGTGTCTTTCTTTGAGCTTAGATTTCATGCTTAAACAAAAAAAGCTAAAATAAATTGTATGATGCAAAAATTAATTGTTTTTTAGCTTTTTCAGTGTTCTTCAGTATTATCAATGTTCTATAACATTACATTCATATATACATCTTATGGTAAATGACAGAAGGCTAAAAACGCATGCTATCAATCCTGCCAAAGGGGGCTTGTATCAGCAGGTGGAACTAAAAGAAGGTGGTCCAAATTCCATCCTCTTGGATCACATGTAACAGCAATTAGAGACTCATTCCATGGGTTTTAGTTTTCACTCTAGTGGACTCCATGGTGTCCTAACCCATTATGTGTATTGAAGATTGAGAGAGCTGTAATGGTACACAAGTACAGGATACATGGTGATACTGGACAAATGGGTTGTGACCATTTTTTTTTTTTTTTTCTTTCTACATTGACTTTTATGCAATGAGGGGGTCTTGGTGCAGTGGTAAAGTTGTTGCATGTATAGGAAAGACGACATACATTTAACATTCCTCAAACTTCGTAATTCTGGGAGTCTAGCGACTCTAGCTCGTCCACTGAGTTAACCCTTTATTACTTATAATGTTTTTTCTTTCGAGAGGTGAATGCCCATGTGTCTTTCTTTGAGCTTAGATTTCATGCTTAAACAAAAAAAGCTAAAATAAATTATATGATGCAAAAATTAATAGTTTGTGGCCTATTCTGCGTATCGTTTACGCAAATGTATTGCACACTAGCTCATTTATAGAAACACACACATGTTCAATACCCAATTGTACTTTGCCACAACTTAGCAAGAAATTGCGAATGCACAAGCTATATTTAGTATTGGGCTACTTTCACTGTGTCGTGTGCTCTGATTATTTTGAGCCAAACAGCAGGAATCCAATGCCCATCGTTGTCATTTTCAATTTGGAACCTAGGACTTTTCACTATACATACACAGATTTTTGAGTTTGAATCGTCCCCTTAAAACTATTCTTTAAGAATTTATTTCAATAATTATGTAGTACATGTAGAACCGAGCCACATAATTGATGACCTTTTACACCAATGAAGCCCGAAGACCAAATTTGATAATCACATAATTAATGAGTGGAGGGAAAAAGGTTGAAGAGCCAAATAATTGATGACCTTACAACAATCTCTCCTTAGTCTTCTGACAGCGCACCGAGCCCAGCATTTCCTTGTGGGTGTCCACGCTACATCCCCACAAAATGTGAGGTTTCTTTTTAGAGCACGTAAGGTATTAACTAGTTTTTGGATAGATATATATTTTCTTCGTTTCAAATTAAGTGCCATTATTAGAAACTGTGACTTATATAATTAAGTGTCGTCATTGAAAACTGTAACTCACATTTTTGTGTTTTTGTGAGTCATAATTCCTAATGACAACACTTAATTTGAGACAGATGGAGTAATAGTTGATGTTTGACATTTTTTTGTTTGAGACTATTTTTCCAACTTAAAGTCACCTTCAAAATTTTTCATTAGCTCGTGGAATGAAACTACTAACTATATAAATATGAAATGTCAAGTAGGATTGTGATGGTACAAACACTATTATTTGATTTGTGAGTTGCGTTGTGGGATAAGTAAAATACAGGAGGTGTGCTTGCATAGTCACAATCACGACAATGCGTAGCTCAACTCTAAATGTGAAGAAGAAAAAAAAGAAGAAGAAATTTTAATTTTGGGCAGACACGCTTGGAAATGGTGAGAGAGGAGGGACAATGATTTGGATGGAATGGGTAAAGATATATATATGAAATGTCAAGTATGATTGTGACGGTACAAACACTATTATTTGATTTGTGAGTTTGTTGTGAGATAAGTAAAATACAGAAGTTGTGCTTGCATAGTTACAATCGCGACAATGTTTAACTCAGTTCTAAATGTGAACAAGAAAAAAAAATTGTTTCTTTTTTTTTTTTTTTTTTGTGGGTAGATAAGCTTGGAAATGGTGAGAGAGGAGGGACAATGATCTGGATGGACTGGGTAAAGACATACATATATCTATCTATATATATATATATCATTATCACAGCTCATTGTTGCAAGAAAAGAGTTGAAAGTCTGGTGTCCAGCTCACACACACACATATACAGATGGTTTTATTACTAAAACTACACTAGCTATGGTTCCACCTTCAAGCGTGGTGGGAAATAGTCACTTCCCCACTTCAGTGTGATGAGTTCACTGCTCTCTCTCTCTCTCTCTCTCTCTATCTCTATATGTGTGTGTGTGTATATATATATATGTGAGTTTGTGGGGCTGTGGGGACTATATATTCAAGAAAGTACACTACAATCTAACTAGATGATTGTTAATCTGAGTTTTTAAAATCACGAAGCAATACATGTGTATGGGATGCACTCACGTGCTTTCTAATAAAATATGCAATATCTAAGTGGCCTGTTGCACGTTCTTTGATCTTCAAATAATAGTCATAATTTGATGCATTGGGAATGTCTCATAGTGTACTTTTAAGCTACCCTTTTCCGCTAGTTAATTTCATTTTTGTATGTGCAACTATCATCATCTAAATTTTTTCTTTCTTTCTTTTCTCTTTTAATTTCCTTTCTTGGGGAATTTTTTTTTTTTTTTTTAAATTTTTTATTACAATTTTGGAGTTGTCTTGTGTGGCCAGTCAACCTCTAGTTCTCAAATTCGAGTACTGGCGGAGAAAAGGAGAGAAAAATTATCGCAATTTAATTTGAAGTATATTTAATGGTAAGAGTTGTAATACAACTGTCAGAAGTTGTACACCTTTGACTATATTTGTGACGAAAAAATATCAACAAAAATTCAAAGGATATGTCATTAATTTTTTTTTGGTTTAACTCCGAAATAAGTTAATTATAAGCCCTATTTATGAAAAAAAAAAAAAAAAAAAAACAATTGAGCTCAAATTCAAACAAAATTATTACATATCCTAGCAAATTGGAGTTACTGGTATACCCTTGCAGCTTAATGAAAGCTCAACATGAAAGCTATGTCCAACTTGAAAAGAATAATTAATGGATGTTAGGCAGAAGGGCTAATGCAAAATGTGGTTGGTAATAAAACAACAAACACAGAAAAGCTTCGCAGCTCCATTAATGATCTGCTTATCTTTCACTTCCAAAATTTGGAATCATCATTTATGGTTCTAGTTGTTCCTACTTTGTCAAAGCACTTCCAGTTTAATTGTCAAAGTAAACAAAATCGTCGTCTTCAATAAAAGTCATTATCAACATTAGAAAAAAATTTCCAAAAAACTTCTTGACTCTCCCACTTTTTTAGAATTAGAACGAAAATAAATCAAAAGTGATGAACGAAAAATCGCGGTTTTAAAATCTCGATTACAATAATAGAATCTCACTGAATTATTAATTTTGATCTCACTCAAAATTGTTAGAATGTAGAATCTCAATAGGATCTGAAAGTAAACTTGTAGAATCACATAGGATTACACAATCTTACAAATTTCACTAAATGGTGTTATTTTGTTATTCTTTTCAATTTATTTGAACTTACCATTCATTTTGAATAAATAAATTTAATCATTTTAAATATAAAATTCAATTCTTTAGCCTAATTGCATGAAAAAATAAAAAATAAAAATCGAAGACCCAAAGTGAAATGTAAAGACGATCCAACTACAAATTTCAAAGGTATGGAACAAAATTTTGTTTTATTTTTCTTAATTTTTCCTTTCTTCTTTCTTTTTAGTACAAGAAAGAAATAGAACTCTATATTTTTGTCTATTCTTTGTCCATTCTAAAATAATAACAAAAAAAAAAAATTTTGGGCTTGATTGGTTTGTTGTGGAGAAAACGGTTTTATGTTTTCAGATAACTAAAATTACAAAATGTACAAAAATTTAGCTTGGTTTATTTTTTTAAAAATTATAAAAAAACATGTTTTTAGAGTTTTTGAGAATTACAGTAGTTTTTTGAGTGAAAAACCAAGAAAGCCTTTCAAATTTTTTTCTGTATTCTTTCTATCTATTTGTTTTTTTAACCAAAAAAATAAACTTCTTAACTAAATTGCTCTAAACAAATACTACGTTAAATTGTATTTTTCTCTCTACCTCTCTATTCTACTTTTCTATTTATTTAGTCTTTACTTCAATTTCTTCTGTGAGATTATGCTTGACTGTTACCCTTATGTTTTTGTTAAAACAAAAAAAAATAATTTTATGTGTTTGTACTTTTTTTCTTCTGTAAATGCGTGTAATTTTCAATTTCTCCATTTCTTTTCTTTTTCCAATAAAAGAAGGGTATTAATTTCGAGGTCATGATGACAGCAGGTTGCGGAATCACTGAAGACTAGAGAGAGAGAGAAGTGCATCTGTCTGCATTCCTTTGAACTCTGTTTCTTCTCATTACCTCTTTGTTTTCTCTTATTATGTTCTCCCATATTATTTTAATATTTTCCATTAAATTAAACAATAGCTTGTGCTCTCCTCAATCTGCTAAGCTCTGCTTTCGGTGACTGTTGGAGCTCCAAACCTCGTCGTTTTCTTTTGATGGTCTCTCTGTTCTTTACTATTTCACCTCACGTTCATCGAGATTAATAAATCCACATCATCATCATCATCAATATCCTTTCAAGAAATTTGCAGGGTGCATTTCTGTTTTTGGGTCTCTTTCTTTCAACTTTCCCGCCCTCTCTCATGAAAACTTTTCTCATTGGTGTGTCTGATTTTGTTTTCTATTTTAACTAAAATTTGATATCTATATATATATATATATATATATTTCTGTTTATAATATTAATCACTCGGATATTTTTGCATATTTTTCTTTGTTTTTTTTCATTAGAGTAAATGATGAACATTAGAGTTTGCACCTCACTTCAGTCCGAGAAAGTTCCTTTGAATCCTCAAAAGGTGAGCTTCTCTTTCATTCTGTTTTTACTTAAAAGTTTTAATTTGTAACAATTTCGAAATGGGTATCGTTAATTTCACTAGAAAATGTTGTTTATTACCATGGAAATGAAAGTTGAAGAGTATTTGATAGCTGTTTCATTTACATTGTCAAATCTACTATTAGATTCACTGTCACTGTAATTATCTTTTAACATTTTAAAATTTCAAATCTTGTCTTTTTCATTCAATTATTTAATGTGGCATTTTGTGAATGTCCTTCTAAAGATCCAAATCTGAACTGGGTTGTTTGCGTAGCTCAATAATCAAACTTTTCTTTTTATATCGTATTTGCTCGAAACCCCATTTTATTTATTTTTTTAAATTTGAAACTTGTAATTTTCATAGGAGAAGAAGATGGAAGTGCATAGGAGCAAATCACAGGGCGCCAAAAAAGCCCCGGTGAATCGACGTCAATCAAACAGAGAAAGAAAATTGGCCTTACTCCAAGATGTATTCAAATTCTATCCATATATATTTGATTTCATTCTAATTTTATTGTTATATTTTAAATTTTCGATTCTTTGTTGATTTAGTGAGTTTTGATTCTCAAATTTGCAGGTTGATAAGCTAAAGAAGAAGCTAAGACATGAAGAAAATGTTCACAGAGCATTAGAAAGAGCTTTTAAGAGACCTTTGGGAGCTCTTCCTCGTCTTCCTCCTTATCTCCCTCCATATGTTAGTATTATTGTCATCATTTTACTCTCTTCATTTTATGTGTCACTTGCTCTATCTTTTTCATGGAACGTATAGTTTCAAAAAATTTTCTAGTATTACTAATAAAAAAGTCAGATATCCAGATGAATCCAACACTCTAATCACCCCATCCATACTTAATTTGGGAATTTCAATATATGTATGCAAATATATATGTTACATACATATATTGAAATTCCCAAATTAAGTATGGATGGGGTGATTAGAGTGTTGGATTCATCTGATATATATATGTACACACAATCTTGACATTAATTCGATCAGAGTGTAATGTGGAATGTGATATTTACTGTTGCAGACACTAGAGCTTCTTGCTGAAGTAGCTGTTTTGGAGGAGGAAGTTGTTCGGCTCGAAGAACAGGTTGTCAATTTTAGACAAGGTCTATATGAGGAAGCTGTCTATATATCCCCAAGGAGTAATGCGGAAAATTCATGTGAAGTTTTCTATGGCTTGTCAACTAGAAGTTTCAAACATGAGGAATCCAGATGTTTGTCACAAAATGAAGCCAATTCAGGATCATCTGCGGCATGCCCCTCACCTTCTCCTGGCAGAAGTGCTTCAAGGAGAAGGCTACTTTCCTTTGACTCCGCCTCTGATCGAATCACGCATTGGTCTGATACGCCAGCAGATGCAAAACATGCTCTGATAAAATTCAGTTCTTCCTCAGAAGATGAGCAAGGGAAAGAGAATCGGTCTTGTTCTAATTCTGCAAAGGACAAGCAATCTCCAAAGAAAACCCCCAAAATCGGAACTCCAGTGAAGAGAACTCCAACAAAGCCTGGATCAGTTGAAAAATGTATTGATCCTATGAAGCTGCAGGTATATGCTAATGGGTTGTTTTAGATAAGATTTAATTCTCGGCCTTTCACAAGTCAAATTGATCACGGTTATGATTGTACAGCTAGAGTGCAGATTAGTAGACCATGGAAGTGCACAAGAGAGATCTTCAGAACACAGAATGTTGGAAGCTGAAAGCACGCCAAACACAATCTCTGAGGATCTTTTGAAGTGCTTGTCTAGCATTTTTTTGAGTTTGAGCACATTGAAGGCCGCGACAATACAATCAGAGACTTCTCCCTCTCCAGGAGCATTGGCTTCTATGGGGAACAGTCGAAAAACAAAGTTGCATGATCCTTATGGTATCTGTTCAGAGTCCAGAAAAAGAGATATTGGTCCTTATAAGCATCTCTATGAAATTGAATCTGCCTCAATTGATCTGAACCAAAAAACAAATGATTCATTTCTGATCCATAGGCTAAAGTAAGTTTATAGCTCGTTTATTCTTTCCTATGCATCGATACTGTTGGTGCACAAATTTATTGTATCTGACTAAAATTTCAGGCTCCTTCTTAGCAAGCTAGCCTCTGTCAATTTAGAGGGCCTTACTCATCATCAAAAGCTGGCATTCTGGATAAACACTTACAATTCCTGCATGATGAATGTAAGAGCTCTCCTTATTAAATTTAATTTCAATAATTTGTAAACAGAGCCCAAATGTATTCAACTTTGTATCTTCACATAATTTTTTCATATAAATTTTGGACTTTATATGGCTAAGCCAAAGTTCTTTACCTTTTAATACTGAAGCAAGTGCAATATATGTGTTGTTGATGTACTTGTTGTCAATACTAAAGCAAGTGCAATATGTGTTGTCAATGTTTCAGGCGTTTCTTGAGCATGGAATACCTGGAAGTCCAGAAATGGTTGTAGCACTGATGCGAAAGGTAAGATCTACTCGTCATTATTTACAGTGAAGTAGTCAATCATTTTATTTTGATTTATGCCAAGGATTTCAATGTTGACGTGACTTTCTTTTTTTTTGGATGACTAGATGTTTTCTGACCTTTGGGTGAGACTAATCTCCTTGAGAATGTGCAAACCCTAATGCCATGTGCCAATTTCAATCTAGGAAAATCCCTGTGAGACTTGCCTTAAGTGAGGGGAGCCAAACTCAACACCTCCGCCTTATAAGTGTTATTGTTAACCAACTCTTCCATCCCTTGTGGTTAATGTTGATGTGACTTGCCACGCTGCATTCATCCTAAAACTTTATGATACTTTTAAGCTGCCAACAAATCACTAGTATGTTTTAAATGAATTAGGTCCTTAGATCCTTTACTGTATCTACCCCACAATAGGTCCTATATTTATGTTTCTAAAACTGTCTCCTATAGTATAGTATGTTACTAAGTCCATTACCGACTGATTCAACTATGCATGCATCAGGGAACAATTACTGTGGGGGGACACTTGCTAAATGCAGTTACGATTGAACATTTCATCTTGAGGCTGCCTTATCACTTGGTAAATGTGAGTTTCATCTGCCTCACCTCTTTTTCCTTTCATGTGGCAGCAGAGTAATCCTTTATGAAGGTTTTGTAGTTATTCAAAATAAACTTTAAATTTGCTAACCCGTCTTCTCTATTCTCAATAGGCTTGTCTAAAAACAGCTAAAAACGACGAGATGAAGGCACGCAGTATATTTGGATTGGAATGGTCTGAACCATTGGTCACATTTGCACTCTCCTGTGGAAGCTGGTCCTCTCCTGCTGTAAGTTTGTTGAGTTACACAAGCAATTGTTTTAATTTTTTTTTTTTACTATTTTTACTATTTTTTTTTCTTTTAATTTTTTTGGTTTAGTAGTTACATAAGTAATTTCCCATGATAGCTTTTGAAGTATTTTTCATGACAATGGAATTGTTGGGATTATGGGTAATGCAATGTATTGTCACCCAATAATGCCATTTATAACTTGTTTCCTAATCAATTTTAAAGAAATTATTGTCAGTAAAAGAGTATAACATTCTTAAAATTCAACTCTTAAGATTAGTTAAGAAGATTGCCAAAATAAATTAGCAAAGTGACATTTTTTTTTTTTTTTGGTATTTGAGCAAAATGAAATTGTGGAATATGATGAAACCAAAATTTGAAGATAAAGAGATGAGTTTGACCTCTAACACCACTGACTGAGGAAAATAACAAGCAGTATTTTAATAATTATGTTGTCCTTTCCCCAATTCATTCTCTCAACTGCCCCCAAAAATGGAAAAAAAAATGTTAAATGGAACATATAGAAATGAATTGTGTCTTTCCAATTGCCCCTTTTTCATGCTTCATTATCGGAAGAAAAAAAGAAGCCTTTTAGAACATCTCACCATGCACTTTGTTGTTGAAATATAGTAATAACAGCCCTATTTGATCAGTGAAAATGAATAAATCTTATCTACTATGTGCTTGTATTGAGACGTAAACTCTGTCAAATGAAGGTGAGGGTATACACTGCATCCAAAGTTGAGAATGAGTTGGAAGCCGCAAAGAGAGACTATTTGCAGGCAGCAGTTGGCACTTCAACAACGAACAAGTTAATAATTCCCAAGCTATTGGACTGGTATCTGCTTGACTTTGCCAAGGACTTGCAATCACTGCTGGATTGGCTCTGCCTGCAGCTACCTAACGAACTCAGAAACGAAACACTTAGATCCCTTGAGAGAAGCGGAAGAGAGCCTCTTTCACAAATAGTTCAAGTAATGTCTTATAATTTCAGTTTCAGGTACCTCATACAGCAATAGAAGATACTACATTTTATATGAAATTCTTGTATACTACTTTGGAATGGCAGGTCCATGTACTGACAGTAAAAAAACTACATATATAATATAGCATTGCAAGAAACTGTAATTGGTTTTGGATATGATTACTGGTTTATTGAAATTGGTTTCGGGAAGGGTACATGATAAGGGAGTTGATTAAATTTATATATTGCATTTTTAACTATTTTCTAATTCTAAGCCCGTTTGATTTGTAACTCAGAAAATAGTTATCAAGTAGTCAAAAAATAGAAAACTGTTATCAGTAACAATTTTTTTGTCCTTTTGGTTGAATAGTATTGTAGGCCATAAATCTGTTGATGAAAATTGAAAATGGAATGAGGCCTGTCATGCAAATTACTGTCCGCATAAGTGATTTGAGTATTATATTGCATCTAGAATAAGTTTTGCATTAAAGATTCACTTCAACTGTTCTGATGGACATGTAATTTTATGTTAGGGTAAATTAGACTGACTACCCCTAAGGTTTAGATAAATTACACAAGGTGGACCGTTCCATCTTTATTAGTCAAAAAGTAATTTTAAGTGTGAAAAGTCAATAATGCACTTATTTATAATAATATATTATATTACATTTTATACGAGAGCAAAATTGTCGTTTTAAAAAAATTGGTCAACACTCCTGTCCGATAGAAACACACCCAAATCTAAGAGAAGATCAAAGTAAAAATCAATAAACAAATGAACTAATGGATTGTTAATATTTGACCTCCCAAATTATATAACACACACTAGAAAATGTACACACACACACACACACACACACACACACACACACACACATATGTATATCGGTCATCTAACCGGTTAGATCAGATCTGAATCTCATCTGACCAGTTAGATGCCCACATCTAACCGGTTAGATGCCATTTGTAATGTCTTGGATTTTTTGAATTTTTTGGTTTATTTTATTTTATTTATTTTCTGTGCCTCGTTTTGCGTGCCACGTGGGCCCTGAGGGTTGTTAGGGACATTTTCATGAGCTCTTAATGCATTACATTGGTGTATATGCATTTTTGGGACATCATATGATATCTCAAGTGTCTTTATGACCATTTTATCCTTTGGCTTTCGTTTTAGGAATCGGTTTGATTCTTTTATTCATTGCTTCCGCATTTGTATTTTAGTAGTCTTGTTGACTCCATTTGAGATTCTTTTGTTGTTCTCTGATCAGCACGTACGAATTCTAGATCGAACAATTTACTTGTATGTAATTTGCTCAAATTTCAAGAAAGGTCAGTATAATTTCTCCTTTAAGTTATTACATCCCCATTAGGTTATAACCTTTATCCTTTATGGTTTGGAAGCTACAGAAAGAGTAGGTCTGCTAATGTTGGAATTCCAAAAATGGTCATAGATCCAATGTACATTTACAACGTGCATATATTAATAACCCGTGGGTTTAGATATTTAATGGGTTACGAGAGAACTGATGGGTAGCGTGGAACCTGATAGATATTGTATACCAAGTCCCAACTCCACTGATCCAACTTTTTGGAGAGTATTTTGGTAATTTTTGCACTTATTATGTTGCCCTAGTGTAAGGGTATTTATTCATTCTGAACTTTGCTGCTGTTTTTTATCATCATAGTGAAAATCTCTGCAACTCTTGGACGTAAACCTGAATTTTTGGTGAACCAAGTAAAATCTGTGTGTTCTTGTTGTGTGTGTGTTTGATCTATTTATTGTGTTTTCTGTTTAATTTCGCAAACCACATGTAGATGGAATGTATAGCAACAGGGGCGGAGCCAGCATAGGCCCGGGGGGCTTATGCCCCCCCGGGCCCATGCTGACCCATTAGTTTTAATTACAAAATGGCCTATGATTTATAAAAAGTTTTCAAAATGCCCTCCCTAAAATAATTTTTTTCCCAGAAAATGGCCATTAATTTTTATTACACAGAGGCCAATAATTTATAAAAAAGGGAAAAATGCCCCGTGAAATAATTATTTACCCTTGTGCCAATTAATTTCTATTGCAAATAGGCCTATAATTTATAAAATTTTACAAAAATACCCACTAAAATAATTATTTTTTAAAAATATCTTTAATTTTTCCTTTTTTTTCATTCTTACTCTTCTTCTTCTTTTTTATATTCTCTTAAAAAACAAAAAAGTTGCATTCCTGTATTCAAACTATTTTTTTTTCTCTTCAAAGTTTGGTAATTAAATTTGTTGCTAAACGGACTCTTAAGATTGGTATTTTATGTTTCTATTTTTTTTAAATAATTATTTTTTAAATTATTAAATGTTATTATTCCACCATTATTACAGTTCTATTTTTTGATTTATTGTTTTGCATCACTATTCGCTTGAAAAAAATATAATATGGCGCCCTTCCTGAAACAAATTCCTGACTCCGCCCCTGTATAGCATTAGTCTGGTTATAAACCAATATGTTTGGTTCTACAAACAAAACTCAAGGGAAACAAGGCAGATTTTTTAATCTAAAACATAACAAATCTATGTATATAAACATAGTGAGATATATTTCCGAAACGTGATATACATATATATATATATATATATATATATAGAGAGAGAGAGAGAGAGAGAGAGAGAGAGAGAGAGTGTAGACACACGGTTGAATGGTCAAGTCATTTTCTAACTCTGCCTTAACTGTGCAAAAGCAAATTAACAGAGGTGGTGCTTGCGAAGAGCAATGAGCAAAAGGCTGCACAATGGCGTGATGTCGCATTCCACAAGTCCTTCAATACGTGCATCAACAAGCTTCACGTGAAGACCTAACAATATGTTTTAAAATTAACATCTGCAAGAGTGCATTCTTCTCAATACATTCTTCTTCTTCCATTATATATATATATAATTTTAAATAATAATAAATAAAAGTTTTAATTGTTAAGAGAACACCCATCACCCCATGGACCCACCCGTCAATCATCAACCTTTAACCATTGTTTTATCATGCTTCTCTGTCTGTCTCTAAGCTAAATTTAGGAGAAATTAAAGTTTTTACATTTATACGTACTGAAGTAAATTAGATACTGTTGCTGAAGCTTTTTAATACATCTCATCAATACATTTAGGAAAAAAATTAATGATTCTAGTTTATTTGTCCCCAACCATCAACCCAAGAATCCAGAACTTTTAATTTTTTATTTATTTATTTTTTAAAAGGAATTTTTTACACATCTATAACTTGAAATAGGGTAAATAGTTCTTTGATCATTGCTCAAACTGAAGTCTTGCTTGCAATTCTTTCGTTTTTCTCACTCGTTTTCAATTCTAAAGATACTAAGATACTTTCCTCTATTTCAATTTTTAGTGCTACAACTGCATCTAATTTTGACATATGACTGAAGATCATTTTCATTTACAAATAATACGGAAACAGTGAACCCCAGGTACATAATATAAACAATAGTCGATGCCAACCCAAATAGGGAGGTATATCGAAACAATAATCAAATCACAACTGAAAACGTGTTGTGAAGTCTTTAAAAACATAATAAAAGAAGAAACAAAATTACTCATCAAACACAACAACCACAATAATAACACGCTATACACCTAATGAGCACTGCTATTTTTTCCCCACTATAACTTGACATCATGCGAACGGTTCTCCAAAGGTAATTTCTGGTTGCAGTGGCTTCGTTGGAGAGGAGGGGCGTTGTGAACTCTACGACATTAACAAAATTGCCCTATGGTAGAAGTAAATCATTTGGTACGACGAGTTCATCTGTTGTCAGCCGAATGGTGAAGGAACAGGTCCAGGTCCTGCGAGTGCATCTGACCTTTTAATACTACCCATACCACAGATAATGCAGCCAGGAGTTGAAAGGGCTGAGAATTTGGCCCCGCAGAGGTCGCAAACATCATATCCAATAGTTGACAGACGGCTGAGTGTCGCAGCACAGAATTGGGAGGGATCTTCCATAGGATCGATGGACTTGTTGGACAAACCCCTTTGAACACACATGTCAATCAGGCTTCTCAACTCATCTTGTTTGCCCGAAGGTGCTTTAGATAGGAGGAGCTCAAGCATCTGCTTGGAATATGCATAATTCTGTACCTCCATGTTCCGTTTAATGGCAGTTCGAATGCAGTTTATCCGGTGCTTTGCCAAAAGAGGTAATGAACCAAGATGGCGTGATAGTCTTGCCATCTCATCTTTTGCACTGATGGCACTGGGGCCTTGGACTCTCTGCAGTCGGCCAATTTCCTGTGGTGGAATCCAAATGATAAGAAGTCATGAGAAACTAAATAGTAAGATTTAGGTTAGGTAAAGTAACAAGATGCTACTTGAACCATGATCTCAAAACACTATTTGTAATATATACAAAACATAAATATATTATTTTGCTCAACAAATTATGAGTTAAATGTTATTTAGTTTTAAATGGCTACTACAGTATTCATTAATTTAACTACTTTTTCATAGATTCATATACAGGGTGGCATGCTGTGTATGGTTTAACAATGGATCATGATTAACCTTGTGAAAGAATTCATGAAGGTTCCTTAAATAGATTGAAGGAAGCTTTGCTAAATTCAGTTTCAATAAATATTTTGGTAAAAGAACTCGTGTGGTATAACAAATGCCAAATAGTCAGCCCATAACTGAACTTCAGCGGAAATCAGGTTGAAGGTCCACAATACTTGAGCAATAGAGGCCAAGTTGAATCCAACCTTCGAGGTCAGCGTGCTTGACCAAGTTGGGTTAGCTAATTTGAAGAAATTCATCTCAAATGAATAATATTATTGGGATTTCCTTTTTATATACCATTTCGGTGGTTTGGGAAAAATCCATTATCCCCTTATCCTACTGGACCTTGTTGATTGTCTTTACCACTACCAGTGGACATGTTGACGAATGAACTACGTTAAATCATTGTGTTATCGGTTTTTCCCTTTTGTCTTAATTTTTCTACCTAATCACTGTATGGCACCATCAACTACCCGTGTTTGGAAAATCCTTTAAACTTCCTCCATAGGGCAGGGAAAAGACGGTTTTCCATCAGGATTTTGTCCCTTCGGATTGCCCAATGTGCTAGTATTGAAACGCTTCATTTCTCATTCTCTTGTAGAGGATGTGGTGGTTTACCTTCTGTGAGCTTAGTTGCTACTGTTATCCAGGGTTTTTTTGGGAAACAGACGCTCTGACAAGATTCTCGGTGGTCAAGATTAAACAACGAGAGTGGGAAATTTCAGATTTACGAGATGGATGTCTATAAGCTTTCTGCAGGACTTAAATGCAGAACTTGACAAGTTCCCTTTCGTTCACTTAGCATTCCATGGTGATCATGGAATCTGTAGACATCCCGAAGCAAATCTTTCTCACATCCTTGTACTTCCTTGGTGAGAGAGGGAATAGGTACCTTTTCCTCTAGAAGAACCTCAAATGGAGCTTATTAATCAAATGTTCCCATGAGGTGATAGATCCAGCTCGAGGCCAACACGCCACTACCGTTATCCAGGGTTTTTTGGGAAATAGACGCACTGACAAGATTCTCGGTGGTCAAGATTAAACAACGAGAGTGGGCAATTTCAGATTTACGAGATGGATGTCTATAAGCTTTCTGCATGACTTAAATGCAGAGTTTGACAAGTTCCCTTTCGTTGTTCACGCAGCATTCCATGGTGATCATGGAATCTGTAGACATCCCGAAGCAAATCTTTCCCATATCCTTGTACTTCCTTGGTGAGAGAGGGAATATATACCTTTTCCTCTAGAAGAACCTCAAATGGAGCTTATTAATCAAATGTTCCCATGAGGTGATAGATCCAGCTTAAGGCCAACACGCCACTTGTATGCTAGATCTGTCAAGGTCACATCACTGAACCTTACAAGAGACTCAGATGACCCATAAAAATGCTCATGAAGATGCCCTTTCTGACCATCAAACTAGACAAATTTGGGAACAACATATTCATCTGAACAGGGGAGTTCATTAATCTCATAAGGGTAAAGTGATTCAACCCTGAGATTTAGCATGGTACATTTTAGGCAAGAGCGTTAAAGCTGCATCAATGTTCTAACTTCAGACACAGTGAAGAGGTCCTGAAGTTGATTTGTGCTGAAGATTTAATCTGGTTATTTGTAGAAATGTTAGCTGCAGAAGGCATGACCAGGGAGTTATTGCCCATCTAGAAGTCAACAAGATGAGAAAAAGCTACAATTGGGTTAGCCAAATGCACGGTTGGAGCTGTTAGGGCACTAGTTGGAACACTATTACCATGATTTCCATTATCAGTCGAGTAAATGCAACAATCTATTAGGTAAGCTCCTCCGGAATCCCCGCTTGTGCATGCTCTATTCTGTCATCCTTTGAGACAGTCAGGATTGTTGAACCTTCGCAAGTAAATCGTAAAATCGTAAAATGTGGATTTGTGGAGAGGAAGGGAGGTTTGGGGTTGGGGGGAGCTACTTGAGATACAACTAGGAGCCAAGTGAGTTGGTCTAAAGTAGAAACCCAGGCAAACTTGAAGAAGATAGAGAGAGAGCAGAAGGGTATGTAACATCAGTGGTCCCCCATGATACCTCAAGCCTACAGAGCCACAGCATCTGCTTGACGAAAAGGGAATATTTCTTAAGCCTACCTATGACTTTTATTCACTCCAATTAATGAAACAGTGAATTCTTACATAGTTCTTGGAATACATGAAGTTTTTGGTAAAGATTTCAAGTTGTGAAAACTGACATGTGAATCTTCATAAATTCACAAAAAACAAAATACTTTGAAATTTGTTAGGTGCTTTATATATTCTCAAACTAGACTTGATAAGCTTTACAATGACATATTACATGCCTAAATTTGAGTCCATCTGACTCCTAAACAAAGTTAGGTTATGTGTAGTCAGCAGAATAGCTCGATCAAAGGGTGGATGATCAATATTACTCAAGCTGGCACATGAAATGGAGAGGAATTACAGATCCAACAATACCAACAAGGTCAACAAATTGACCATCGGTGAAATAGGAGCATGTTCATATCAAGTAATTTGGACATGGATAAAAATAGTACCTGAAGAAGAGCAACTGCAATCTTATACTGAGCACAGATTGTGGCTTGAGCTCTAATGTCAGCTCCACGAGATTGATCCTTGGCGAGTGCCAGAAAAGCTTCATCAAAGCAGGATAATGCATCTGGAAGTTGATTCTGCTCAAGGTGAGCAAGTCCAGTCTTGAAACAAACTGAAGCAGCAGCCCCACGAGGAACCTGTAACAAAGAAATCCCATCACACAAAAGAAGGAAAGATAATGTAAAATAGAATTAAACATACCACAACAGTTTTTTTTTTTTTTTTAAATTAAGTAAACATACCACAACAGTAGAGGTCAATAAGCATCAATAGGCTCAATAAGAGAAACAACTCTAGCATTATGTAAAACCTTTGCATCCCTTCCACATCCATCCACCCCCCAACACATCCCCGATCACTTAAAGGTATCTGAGAGTTAATTATACAATTTCTTTCCTAATTTGGGGATTCTTACCTTCATTGATGCTCCTCAATATATAAACACATCGAACTGAATCCAAATAATTAACATGCAAGAGAAAAAATTACGAGTGGCAACTATTAGTGAATAATTAAGAGAAACAACTTAGATGTTCTGAACATATGTATCTTAGACCCGTAGAGAAAAGAAAATTAGAATTATGGCCAATACCAGGTATATAAGCAGTGGTTTCATATCCGGAGATTAACTGTACCCTGACAACTTTAAGCAAGGCAGAGTTTGGCTTTTTTGGGGTGATAGTGGAATAGTTGACAGATAATTGTTTGCAAGGTAAGAGAAAGAGGCCAACCAAAACTAACAAGATATGAGGTAATTAGAAATGGTTTTAAAAAAATATAATATAATAAAAAAGAATGAAAAAAGAGAGCATGCGGTCGACCATGTTCAAGCGGGATAAAGGCAAGAATGATGATGATGACATTATATTAAAATGAGTCGAATTGGAACACAGCATACAACTATGAAACAAGGACATCTCCCCACCGCCCCACTCTCTTTTCGCCCTTCCATATAACAACAACATTATCTTTTATTTATTACAAATATTCTCTTTCCTCTAAAGAATTTTAAACACTACTTTAGATTTATATTCAATTAAACTGTTATTTTCTCTTCCACTATTATTCAATTTACACCCCTCAAAAGAGGAAAATCAGAAAAACAAGAAGGAACGAAGTTGTAGGAGGGGGAAAAATAATTGCGAACAAATAATTAAATTCTAGAATAATCCCATTTTGGGGAACAATATATTTTTTGTATAAACATACAGAAGGCTGCTTTTATAAATCTAGATTATTCCCATTTTGTAAATTCTACTATTACATTATCAGGAAGGGATAGGAAAAAGTCAGAATTTAGTTATAAAATAGTCACCAATTAATGAGACAAAGATATAAAAGCAAATGTGACTTTTGAAATAGTTCAAATGTAAAAATTATTTAAAAAATTGGCAAAACAAGAAAAATGAGTAAATTTTCACCTGTCCAGGACGCACGGATGATGGAGGAGAAGCTGGACGTGCAGAAGGTTTTCCTGAATTTACTGAACCAGGACCTTCAAGCAAGCTAAGATCAAGGGGCTGGGTGGACACCGGGGCCTGAGCTACCTGAACCTGGGATTGTGCCAGGACAGCATGCTGAGTCTGAGTGGACTGTGGTGGGATGCCACCATCTGGAAGTCCAATGGACTCAGTTGAAACAGGTTGCTGAGGTGCTTGAGGAGGTACACCGCCATCAGGTAGACCAATATCAGCTACAGGAGCACTAACCTGGGTAGGAGTAACCTTGCTGCTTTCAACCCCTTGAGAATTCTGATCCAATCTTGACAGAAATGTCCCAGGGGGAGGCAGAGAGGCTGCAACCTGCAAGGATGATATTGTATTCTGGAAAAAGTCCTCTGGGATTGGCCCAACTGTAACTCCAGCAGCATTAGTAGCCATAGAAGCAGGTTGTGCTGCAGGTGCAGTTTGTGTTAACGAGTCAGTTCCAAAAGGATCAACAGGGGCAGAAACTGCGGGAGCAGTTACATTTCCAGTTGTTGCAGTAGCTTGGGGAATATTCAGGCCAAGGTTTTGGGATCCACCAGTTAATGACTTGGTCCTACCCATTGATAGGCCCAGTCCTTCACCAAGTTTGAACTGCTTTGTCGCTTCTTTGATCTTATTAACATCCACTGTAGTAGGTGCAATTGGTTTGTCTCGGATTCTTATGTGTATTTTGTTAGCTTTTGAAGTTCCCTCCTCATCACTGCTGCTACCATCAGCAGCAGTGCCATACAGTGATTTCTTAAATTCTTCTTCAGCTTTTGCCTGTTCATCTGCAGCGCTGGAACCTGGCATTTGCTTAGTAAGGGTTTCTAGACCCATTAAGGAAACACCCTTGGAAACACCATCATGCAACCCCTGGGACTTGTTAGGTATAGACGTTGCAAAAGATGGGGGGAGTCCATTTGCCACAGCATTGCTACCTGCAGGCTTAAACGCCTTGACCAAACTATCTTCCCTTACTTCAACAACATTTCCCCTTCCTTTAATTAAACCCAAATAGACACCGATATGGTCTGTCACAATGGATGGGATGGTACCATCATCAGTCTTCATGTAAGGCATCACCTCTGCGGCCAACTCCCACTGGGGTATACTCTTCAAGTTGGTGGGCGTCTTGATTTCCCAATTCCCGCCACCCCATTCTGGCCCTTTTGGAACCATACTCTCAGCAGCAAAATTGGCAAAAATGCCTTGTGTCCACCCAGTAGAGCGCACTCTTAAAATCCTTTCACAATATCGCCTCAACTCTGAATCAGTGCCCTCCTCTTCCAATCTCTGAGCAAGACGTCGCATTGCACTAGGGTTGAGATGGCAAATGAATAAGTCAAGCATGCTTTCGAAGTCCGATATAGCTTCGAATGTTTCTTTCGCACTGTCAAATTGACCATACCTGCAATATCATATTTTTTTATATGTTATAAAAGGGTAAACCAAGACTGGCGAAAAAAATTTTGCAGTAGAAAATCACCAATCAATCAGTCATAAGCCACCTCAAAACTTCCTAGTTTTAACCAGATTGAAAGATAAAATTTAAAAGTATTGTCAGGACTTTTATTACAAGTTTACAACTGATTGTAGATGACGATAAGTATTAGTACTAGTGGGACAATGATAGTCACAAAGCATTCACAGGGGACTATGCCAAGACACAAGAAAAAAAAAAAAATCATAAAAAAAAAGGAGATACAAAAAGCACATTAACCTCTTGTCCCAGCCACAAAAAGCCAATTACAATCTCGCCAACAATCACAATGAAAAAGAAAATTGTTGGTTGTGTCTACAAGGAAGGCGTAAGGTTGAGGGTGTGATTTCTTATCACTAACAGTCTCAGAAAAAAAAAAAAAAAAGGTTGAAATTTCACCTCATCATGGATAGTCATGAAATCAAACATACAATTGCCATTTATATAATTCAGGTAGACTTGGCAGGGCAAAGTTTTCATCCAAAAATAGAAAGAAGTTACACGAGATCATAATTAGTAAGAAATATAACAGATTGATGAGAAGTTTCTAAGGATTAAACTGGAAGTAAATTATTTTCCTACAAAACATCGGTAGCATTTTGACAACCAGTAGATTCAATTAAAAATCATCTTAGTAGCGTACCTGATACAGGCATATCCCAACTGGCGAAACCGGTGAAATAAATGAGAAGTTGGAGGGCATCGTGGATAATCTCTTGAACGCAAAAACTCATCCTTTAAGACAGACAAAGCAGTGGAAAATCGGAGAGCTTTGATTGCATAGATTCCGCGCAACACCTTTGTCCAGTAACAACAAATTAGGAAAACAGGAATAGATGATTTATGAAATACGAAATATGCCTTACCCAAAATAAAGAAAAGAAAATAACAATGTTCAATATGACAATTTCTCCATATCACCTGAGTGAACTGCGGGCCTGCTTGGGATAATGATACAGCAAGATCTCCACAAACTGGGGAACCTCTAGCAAGAATATCAAGAGACCTTGGAGTAATGCGCAAACTGTCAAACCTTCAGGGAGACAACAAACTAGAGATGTCAGATATAATGAGATTTCACACACTGTTTCATTTTAATATAGCAAAATAAAGATGAAGAGGACTATTTCAGCCCATGTCTTAATCAGAATCCTTCTTGATACGTTAGGTAAAAGCCACAAAAGACAGCATGCATACTAGGAGGGGAGGGCAAACCTTGATGTAATTTGGTACAGTGTTTCTGAAAGGTCAAGCTTCTGTTCAAAGTTTTGTTGCATTGTGGCAAAGCCAATAAGAAGAGGTTCAAGAAGACCAACAAGGCAGCTCTTTATCTCAACCCCCTTCTTTTGTCTGGGATTTATGTCTGTTGGGTTTGCGAGCAACAACCGATCGTTCAGAGCACCAACCAATACTGCACGGGATAATATTGTCGTGATGGCTCAGAATGATAATGATATAATGCAGAATAGCAATTGATTTCATATATATATCAAACAAGAGTAAACCATAAGAGAATGCTACGACCCTCAAACATGAAAGTAAAACACCTAGGATTAGAAGCAGCACAAGACATTCACCTGAACAGGGCATACTAATGGACAGAATTGTCCTCACTTTTCCATCCCAGCCAAGCATGCTGACAGCAGAGGCAGTAGAAAACAGAAGTGCAGGCCCAACCCAGAGAAGGGATCTAAAGTGATGATGAGTTAAGAACCCAATAAAAGTAAGGCATATTAATAATATATAAATACATATACATATATATATATATATATATATATATATTTGATACGTAAGGAAAATAATCATATCACTTAGTTAAAAATTGTAACAATAAAAAATACTAAAATGCCAAAAGTTTTCCATATGAGGATATTGGAGGAAGTCCTTTATCAAATTTTGCAGAACTGCTAGCCAGTATATCTAGGTCTGCTGAAACAATAAGCACCCTTTGAGTAGTTAATATTCCTGCAACATATCCTCTGAGAGTTTCTTGCCAGTGAACCTGACAAAAACAGTTGAAAAAACAATGACCAGCTTCTCATCATTTGGCATTCAATTTCAAGAGTGAAAACCAACTCATTCAAAATTGAATGAAATAGACAGTCAATTTCATTTAAGAGCTCACTTTCTGATATGTAGTAAACAAAAAGTTACATGCATAATACCCCCCTCATTTTTTTTGGAGCAACAAGCACCCACAATTTACCAAAGTACCCCCATTTGGTTAATTGATTACGAACCAGAGTTAAAATATGACGTAAAATTACACAAAAATTCATAGATAAGGAACTTAAAATAAATAAATAATTGAAGCAACAAATGCACGGTATCTGCAATTCATGGCAAAAAATTAGTCATTTCAATTCAACACACCTTTACCTTTGATGATTAATTAAAAAGTGTTGGATAGCAGGAAATGTGAATGCTGGAAATGGACGCACACTAGTGAAAAATTACTAACAACATGACACGACACCCATTGAAGTTGATGCTGGAAAAAAAGGGTTCAAGAACAGGATTCACAATCACAGCTCAGAACTAATTAATTAATAAAGAATATTTTGTTGATTTGCCAATAAATTGTGTTTTGCTCCTTTTTTTCAACCGATACTTTTATTTTTGGTTTCATAAATGTGATCCAAATTCTAGTTGTGATTCTTCATGTCTTTTTTTTTAAAAATGATTTTTGCCTTTTTAGTAGATATGGGTAAAAATGTGGTGATGAAGAATAACTTGATTGGACAAACCATCTGATTTGAGGTGAGGACACATTCAAAACAAAGAAAAACCTTATGTCTATGTTTTGATCTTAACGGTGTCATTGCGTTATTGGGAATTGAGTTATGGGTGTGATAGTGTGTTGAATTGCAGTGACCAATTGCAGGGACGATGCATTTATTGCTTCAATTATTTATTTTAAGTTCCTTACCTATGGATTTTTGTGTAATTTTACGTCATATTTTAACTCCAGTCAGTCGTCAATTAGCCAAATGGGGGTAATTTGCTACCGTTGGTAAATTATGGGTGTTTGTTGCTGAGTTCTTAGTGCATTATATGGCACTGCACAAATATCACTAAGTTTCTTGACCTAGCAGAGTAACAATATATCCTAGGAGATTCAAGAAAGTTATAGTCGCAATTCTGACCATGTATCTTCAACCAAGATTTTTTAAAAAATTTAAAATAAGAGGAAAAAGAAGATAGAGGAAGCAGAGCATTCTCCTAAAAGTTAATATTTAGCTGTGAAAGAACATCAAGGAAAAGACAAAGAATAAGAGAGGGAAAGCATGAAGTACTCCGAAAAGCCTCTTGATTATGTGTTTGCGCGCGCGCGTGAGAGAGAGAGAGAGAGAGAGAGAAGGAGAGAGTTCAAACTCTTCCAATTATCTACTCAATTTTTGCAAATCCAGTATATTTTGAATATAGTTATTTCATTGCTTTACATTATTCAAGAACACCTAGTTTCCAAAAGCGAGTGTGCACTTTAATGATACTAACCTTCAATATTCCATACACAAATTCAAAGAAACCACTCCAACAATTAGAACTACCTCATCATATTCGAACTGTGGTACTACAGAAACCTGTATAGGGCAGCAATCTGTGTTAAGCCTGTGCTATGAAGCTTTTGGGACTTTTCCATTAGCTGACCCTATTAGTTGTGAAAAAATGCCAACTATGATCGGGAATGCTGCGGACAGGACCAGTCATTAGCCTCACAATTTCAGAGACCATAAAACAAACCGATTAGTACTTTCTATTGTTCTTTTCCTTATTCTGAAGGAGATGGGAGGTCTCTGTCAAACTGAAGATCCTAGTCTCCATGCCATAGTCAGTTTTCCACATGTTCAATAGTGAGTCATGATTTCTAACAAAGTTGATCAAATTACCTGTAGTACAGTCTCATTTACTTTCAACTTGATTGACTTTTTTCCTTCTGCTTTTGTTGATATATAATGACCATCGGCAGTTGAAAGACGATATCCTTGAACAAGTTTTGCCAAGCCAATCTGATCCCCATGAGAAGCAAATAACATAGTTGATTCTACAGTACAGAAGACTTCCATTAGCATTTTATTAGCAGTTAATGACTGATAAAATCAATATTATCTCTTCAAGCACCTAGTGGAGTAGAAAAGATACGATCAACTTCAGTTTCAAACAAGAACTGCAGCGGACCCTTAACCGAACCAACTTTGGTATCCTCAGAAAGATCATGTTCAACTGCTCCATTCTTTTCATTAACATCTTTTGCATCCATTCCTGGCAATATATATAAAGCAAGCCCGGTCTTATCCTCATCAAGAATTGCAAACTGATTTTCATTAGGGCCAATAAATGCAGCATCTCGACCTGGACAACTCACAAAAATGAGCTTGGGTGATTATTTGTTCTCAAAACATAAATTATTGTGTACTACAGCAGAATAAAAACACTAGACAGGAAGAACCTTTGACTGTGCTTGATTTGCTATTGGCTGTCAGAGAATCGGTATTTTCCCAATAAAGAACCACTTCATTTGTGGCACCACTGAACTCATAAACTACAAGAAACAGATGTTGCTTTTTACTGTAAACCATGTACTTTGGGTAGAATTCTATGTTTCCAGGTATCTGAAAACAGAAATAAACGTTCTTGCTCAAGTATATTGTAGATTCCATGTAAATCTAAGTATAGTGCCCCCAAAATTTTAATGAAGAAACATCAATGTCAATATTACCGAAGTGTAAAGCTTTTTGTAAGTATTTTCCACTCCAGAACAGAGATTATAGGTTGTAAGGTTTACAGCGTCTATATAAAAAGCCCTGACAGGATAATGAAGAACTCGATTCTCTTTATTGAAGAAATTCAGCTCTAAATGAAATGGCTGCAAAGAAGCAAGGCATCAGAAACAAATTCAAGCAAAAGCAACAGAATTCCAGAATAACAATTAACTGAATTTATTCATAAGTTACCTGACAAACAGGAGTGTCTTTCAGATGATGCTTAGCATCCAAAATAGTAATGAGAGGCAACCGAGATATTGGAGCAAATCGAGCATGACCTTCCATAAAATGCTGTAAAAACCAGGTAAAGGTGATTAGTCAATGCTTTGTTAAACAGTAGAAACAAATGTTAGGGTTTTAGTCTTTTAGATTAGATATCCATAGGAGAGAGATTTCTTAATTTGTTCAGCCACTCAATTTGCACAATGTTTTTTATAATAATAAAAAATAAAGAAAAACGATCCCGTAAAAGTATGGTTTTTAATTAAATAAATTTTGGTCACACCATATCTAGAATTAAATAATTTAACTATATTATATCTTAGGAATTTTTAACATGTCAATATGCAATCTCGTACAAAATTGGAAGTAACTATGGATGTAAGAGATCACTGGATACAAGCTGAGGTGAATCTAACACCAAGGCTTAAATATGCACCTGGCATTCATATACCCAGCCACATAACATAATCACAGTGTTACCTATGAAAATATGTATGTTCACTTTGGATGGAAATTTCGATTCCAAAGGAACTTTGAAATTATATAAAAATTTAAAATCTTATTTTTACTTGTACTCTCTAATTGTGAGACCAAAAGTCAAAACTTTTCCCAGTAATTCAGAAAGTCGGTGAGATATATTACCTCTTGGAAAAATTTCATTCCATTTGAAAAAACTATACTCCAACAGTTCTAAGAAAAAACAAAACTGTCAGAGTAATTATGTTTATCGCCGCATCCAATGTCTATGGAGCCTTCACGAAAGCTTGAAATGTGAACAAAACTTTTATATATATGTCAATGCCCAATAAGATATCAACACATGGTATTCATATTCTATCAATTTGAAAACAATATTGCATGGCCATGGCACAAGACACAAATTTGGCTCTAAGATAAACCCAAAGTAAATTATGAACAACAGGACATGACAAGGCAATTAAAAAACATGCAAAATTCTGACAATCAATTCACTATTTAACTCCCCCTTCCTACTTTTTTCAAAACCCTGGTATCTTACGTGTTCTGTTTCAAGATGGTTCAAATTTTCAGTTATTTTAAAGGAATGCATTTACTGATTTTTCTAACATCACGATTATACTCTTGTTCATTAGCCTACCCAAACAGTTAGGAAAGGGCTTTGGTGAGTTGAAATGAGTTAATTATACTCTTGTTCTCTTACACTCCATCACCATTGTCCAAGATGAGATGGAAACATATCCAGATGTCTCCATCTCTCTCAAAGTAAAATGTTTATTCTTAAATTACGGATATTGTCCACGACATGCTGAACGTGTACGATGTCAGCTTATGGATGATATCATGATTCATGACACATCAACAGAAATGTTGATAGGTATATATACATATATTGATATCATTTATATTTGTATTTTCATAATTCACAATACCAATAATATATTAGATAAATTGTTATTCTAATTACTATGGCACTATTGAAAATCCAAAAGTTTCAGGTGCTTCACGCTTTCTTTATAATATAAAATACACAGATGACCTTTCAACCTTTGGACAACTTGAGGAAGCAAAGACATGTTATTGTTAATCGGTGTTGTCTTTGTAAGTTGAATGGGGAGTCAGTGGATCACCTGCTGCTGCATTGTCTTGTGGCTCATGATTGTTGGAGTCTCATTTTTGGTCTGTTTGGTATTCATTGGGTCATGCCTCGGACTTCTCGGGTATTGCTGGATATTTGGAGGGGCCAATGGGTAGGAGCTCAGGCGAGAGTCTTCTGGAGGGTAACCCCTTTTTGTGTTTGGTGGAGCATTTGGAAAAAGTGGAATAGAAGATTTTTTGATGGGAAGGAGTCCTCCATTGGGGTGTTGAAATTTTCTATTATTTGTACTTCTTTTTGTTGGGGTTGGGGGAGAGACTTTTCCTCTATTGAGGATATTGTGGACCTTTTGGGCTCTTTGAGATCATAGGTTCCACTTTATTTTTGTATAGCTTGGGACGCGTTCCCCTTTTGAACGCCTTTTAATACATTTTACTAATCAAAAAAAAAAAAAAATCTCTCTCTCTCTCTCTCAAACCCACCATGCAAACAAACTATTATTTCTATGAGGGTGGGAATTAGTGAAAGCATACTGCGCTACAAAACTTCTCTTTGCACAGATCTGACCCTTGCTAAAAATCAAACCAAATCTCAACAACTTTAAGAGAAAAAGTAAAAACACGTTTCAAGCAGCAGAACATCCGATAACCAGAGCAATGTAAACATCAATGAATTTTGGAGGGCACGCCGAGCAATTTGGTAATTACAATATTTTAAAATTAAGTTGTCAAGCAACTAAGGCTTTCGGTTGAGCCTGGTAATGCCACCAGTCCAATGACCCAATTAGTTCACACCTGGGAAGCACCGACACGGCACATAGGGTTGCTGCACCGGTGTCGGACAGCTCTGACATGCTGGGGACACGCCGGAGACACACCGGAGACACGCGGAGGGACACGCCTGGAAACAGTGGACGACACGGCTGATAAATTTCTTTTGAAGAATATATTTTTGTGTATACATTTGAACGAAGACATATGAAGTGATATAAGAGATTTAGAGATTAAATTTGTGAAGAAATTGAGTTAATGGTAGAGAACAGCTGGAAAGAGAGAGAAGAACCATAGCCATGAATTGTCAGATGGAGAATACAATAGATTCCCATCCTCTGGTTGTTGATAGGATCTGAATGAAGTTCTGCAACTCCAAGAGGCTTCTGTTTTGGCCGGACAATGTTCCCAAAAGGATGATTGCTCCGTCTCGTGGAGAGAGAAACGGTCGGAAGAGAAAGAGAAAGAGGAGATAAGATTTTGCAATCTTTCTTTTCTTTTGGGATGTTTGGATACAGATATAATTCTACTATTGGATATCAACATACCTACAATTTTACAATTCTGCGGTTGAAAATAAACATATCTACAATTAACATATATTAAAGATGTTTGGTTACACATATAACAATTCTACAATTGGATATCAATATATAAAATTTTTGTTTCTATTTTAGTAGAATTTGGTCCCATAATTTTATGTGCTATTTGGTAGACCTAATTTAGATGTGTTTATAGTTATAGATTAAAAATTGAGTAAAAATTTATATATAATATATATATATATATATTATTTTATTGCCGTATCCATGCCGTGTCCGTGTCCTATTTTTTTAAAATTTGCCGTATCGCCGTGTCTGTGTCGTATCATACCCATGTCCGTGCTTCTTAGGTTCACACTAATGCCGACAGTAGATCTTTATGTTTTTTGGATTTATTACTAATTTACCATTTGATTTCAACATCGATAGCATTTCCTTCTGCTTTAAATGTAATTCCATATATTGTTGTTTCTGTCTTTATCTTTAGTCCTCTGATTATAATATTTTTATTTTTATTTTTCCAAATTAGTAAAAGGCACAGATGCTGATTAAAAATTATTCTTAAGCCTAGAAGTGTACAATTATAATGACATATTCTGTGTATATGGAATAAACATGTACATATACAACAAAAAAATTGACCATACCAAACCACCAACTTAAGTAATGAATTAGCTCAGCCCAAAAGTGCAGACTAAACCTTGATTCTAACAAGATTTGCTCCATTAGAAGATTTCATATATGTAATGAAAAATAAAAATGTATATAAATAAACAAATAAAGGGTAAATTACATTGACATCCCCAGAAATAAATAAATAAATATATATATATTCGTCAATAGGTTGTGACAATTAATCAAACCAAAACAACCTCTAGCTAATCTCACGTTCTGAGTGTCATTTAAGAATTTGATGAAGTCATCAAGTAGGTTAAATTAGATTTCAGTTTAAGTTGGCCCAAGCCGCATGCCAACCCTCAACATTGATAAGTCCAAAGACCATGATTTACAATCATACCACCATGTGGCATGTTTAAGAAGATCTTCTAACGACAAGAGTACTAGTTTTTTTTTTTGATAAGTGACAAGAGATACACGTTTCAACAAAAAGGTACATACACTGTAAAGAAAAGCCTTCCGTGCAATGTCTGATATTGTAAGGTGACTTTGGCTGGCATAATGCATAATAAACTGTCATCAGTCATACTAACATATATAAATACAAATCGAAAAAACAACCTTACAAATAAAGGGAAAAATAGAAATACAACTTTGAGCATGGGAAGAAAGAACCATGATTACAGGCATATCATCATTAGTTCCAAAAGAGCTATAATTAAATCAACCCACAAGCTGTGTACATGTACTCACAATTCTATTCAACTAAACGTAGAAATTTCAACTACTTCACAATCAGCTACACTGACCCTAACAAACTTTAGAAGAGTGCAGATACACAACTCAAAATGAAATGCAAAGCACATTTCAGCTTTTAAAAGAATCATTCACTCTCACAATCAAAAAATTGTAAGTTGTTTGAAATTTTTTAATACAGTAATATGAGCTGCCTAAAGATCAACAACTGTAGCCTTTTGAAGTACTCAACCATTTTGACCCCCAGTTTTGATACAAACCCTGATAAATAAGATATAGGCCCAAGTAATTGTTAAAGTGGACGCTTATAGATTAAAGAAGATCAGGAAAAAGATCCCAGCAAGGATGCAGTGTGTTTTAATAGAATCAGCCAACATGTTAATTGAGCAGTATGCAATGATATTAACTGTCAAGGACTTCAATTGTTATTCACCTTACAATAAGATAGCGTTCTCTTCTTTACAGTGTCACAAGTCATCAGAAGAAATTGTTTGGAAAGGAAGGTAGAGCATCTGGATTGCAGTGTCTTTTTTTGACAATAATCAAGATCTTCCAAAGACTTTCAGTAGAATGAATATTCCATTATTTAAGCTTAGCTTACAATAAAGCAAAAATCCTATAGATTAAAATTTTCTAGATGCCAGAAAATAATTTTCTAAGCTACTACAAGATATGTCAGTACTAAAGAAGAGAACACACACACATAGCTTTGGCATCTCTCATGTGAATGCATGTGCAAACAATCTTTTCTCTTTTTTTTTTTTCTTTTTTTTTTCTTTTTTTTTTTTTTTTTTGGTAGAAATTTCATTTTATCCCACATACTTTTTCTTTTGTTCAAATCATTATTATTATTATTATTATTACTATCTATCACACATATGTAAGATTGAACAAACATAGATAACTAGTGTGTGATCATCATCATGCGTCGTCTTCAGAACATCATTGGTTATTATTAAAGAGCAACAAATGATGAAGTTCCCATCATTTTCATAATCAGCTGAAGAACTTAGTTGTTGTAAGGACTATAATGACTTGCTAACCCTGTGGAGTTCTTAGAAGAGCAAGATTTGGCAAACAATCACTACAAGAAGGGCGAATTCTGTAGAAAGTAGAAACCAATTCAATTATCCACAGTTATTGAACTTCTGATAATAAGAGTCTGGCATACGTCTGGATCTAAGGAAAATCAACTTAGGTGATCCTTAGAGATAAGAGTCTGGTTCTCCTGATTGTTTTCTACATAATGATATACATCTCCATCAGGCTCTTCCACACACAACTCTCAATTACACTATAATATTTTGGTATTTAATGCTTAGAATCCTACATGCATTCTCCCATGTCAAAATCAATACTAAAAAATACATCATCCTCCCCAACTCACCCTTTTGAATGATGCTCCTGCAGTTGTGTTTGAAGTTGATGATCAGCTAAAATTCCAGATGCACCAAGGGATGAAAGCTTTTCCTTCAAAACAGACGCTGCAAAGTAACTTATAATTAGCATAATTAAGAGATTATCTCAAAGCTCAAAATATTATCTTTAATTGTAAACAAATATAGCCTTTTGTACATTCACTCTCTTTTCTTCTTTTTTTTTTTTTTTTTTTTAATTTTTTTATTTTAATTTTTTTTTTTTATTGTGATTCTGTCAAAAATCTAACATGTTGTTTTGAATTGTTTAGCAATTGTTGTGTGGTTTTAATATTATTGTGTATGTAATCACATTACAGCAGTTGAATCTCAATAGGCAGAAATATTGCCTACGCATGCAAAATAAAAGCAATAAATGATTCACTACATATTCTTAATTGTTTGGTTTTTAATTTATTTATTTTCTCATAAGAAATATTTTAGAAGTGAGAGTACCAAAGGGTATGCAACCGATTAAATTGTTCTGATTTTTATAGAATGAAGTCCCCTAGAATCATTCTACAAAAGTTGGAAAACTCAGGTCAAAACAGTTGTATCTTCCCTTTTATTGGAATTGAACTAGAATGCATCTCCGTTACCAGCCAAAAGCTGATGCATATGGTGTGTGAAATATGCAATTGTTAAGGAGAAAGCCAATACACTACCTGATCCCCAGATGGCAGTTTTCAACTTCTATCTATCATAAGTTTGGACTTTAAATGACTCCTAAGAAGTCTATGCTACATGTACTCAAATGATTTAGTCCCCTCAAATGCAGCCAAAGCATTCAATAGCATTTAAAGAGCCAATGAGGCTCCAAAACCTCTAAATGTGTCAAATGTGAGATTGATGTTAGGTAAAAGTGATAGATAAATGAATATATAAAAAGAAAAAAAAAAGTTAAAAAAAAAAAAAAACAAAACAAAAAACAAAACTTTAAGCTAACTTGGTGATTAAAGCACATTTACAAAAGTCTTAGTTATAAATGAAATGAGCCTCATAACATTCTCAATCAGAAGGCTATGGAAGACGTCAAATTCCATGTTGTGACCCAAAAAAGGTAGCCAAAAGATCCTTCAACAGTGGCATGCTATTGCAGTTTAAGGTGGTTTAGTCTATTTAACTGAAGTAATAAGAAATGAAACACTTCCACACAAATCTCTGAAGTCCTTCTGAAAGTGTGAGACATTCAACGAGCCAAATGTAACAGAAGTCTGATTAATATGTCACTATCACAGCATCACTCTAAAATAATTAAAAATAAATATAACATTATACATTCAAAGCCTACTTATCAAAATATATATAGATATACATATATACATTCACAGCCATTTGATTTAGCTTCTTTGTTGATGCAGGACAGAAATTCAGTCAGACCAACAAGCCTGTTTTTGACAAACCAAGAGTGTTTTTTGGGTGGAAACGACGCATTGAGAAACACCCACTAGTTTTAGCTTGTGCGCCATGTTGGTTTTCGGCTGAAAACCTCGTTTAGGGCTCCAAAATCAGGTTTTCTTGTCTATTAGGAGGCCTGTTGATTATTTCCCGATTTTTGTTCAAGGCCTAAATGAAGTCTGATTGCTCTCAAATTTTATATTTAGTATTTTTTATTTATTACGTTTCTTATTCTATTTTTTTGGAATTTTTAGAGGAACTTTATAATTAGGCTTATTTTTAGTGTTATTTTCCTTTTGCTATTAGGCTTCTTTATGTTTTAAGTTTGCTTCTAGTGTTAGGTTTTCTTTTATTATAAATACGGGTACTGCCAAGTGCATAATTAACTTTTATTCATTCAATTATTCAATACCAGATTTATCTGAATTTATCTCTTGTTTTGTGGACTAAAGAAGATCACAACCTACAAAAGGACTTATTGAACGACTACTCTACTAAACAGAGCTGGGGCTCAAGGCATCCTACTTTGTGGATTCAAAGTAACCCGTTCCCTGTGAACAAATTTATTGCTTCCGCTTACGTCAGTTGGTATCAAAGCCTTATCTTTTCCTGGACTAATGGCAATTGATCATTTTCGTGGCAAACCTCGTTGGCGACGAAGATCGACAGAGAGTGGCTTATTCTAAAGCCGAATTTCAAGACTATCAACGTAAAACCCGACAAACGCTGCAAGATATTCAAGCAATGCTTCCTAGGCTTGAGTTGGAGCATAATAGCTATAACAAGTAGTTTTGCAACGACGACGTAAATCGTGTTCGTCTTGTTCATAATCGCAACCCCTTCCCTCCGCATAGTCAGTCAGCCTATGAGGAAAAGGTGTTTGGGGCTCATAGAGATGCACGAAGATATCATGATTATGAAGATTAAGATTCTAGGAATTTTCGTACAAACATTAACCGACCCAATTTCTATGGTCTCTTTCATGTTGAAGATTTTCTAGATTGGCTAGAAGATTTTGAGAGGTTCTTTGATTACACAGAGATTGAAGAGGAAAATATCAAAATAAGGTGAAATTGGTCGCACACAAATTGAAAGGAATAGCTTATGTTTGGTGGGATCAATTGCGGGTTACTCGTGCACAACGGAGGAAAGCACCGGTACGAACTTGGTTGAAGATGAAAACGTCTTTTGAAAGCCAAGTTTCTTCCACCTTACTATGAGGAGATTCAATTTCAACCGTACCAGGATGATGTACGAAGATTCAACCTTATACCGATTTATCATTGTCTTTAAAGCCTCGACCTCCTCCTACAATGGTCAAGTTTACACAAGGGAAAAAAATTATATGTGTCCAAGAATCGGAATCCAAGAAAAATTGCCTAGAAGAGGAGAAGAATGAAATAAATAACCAATATCAAAATTTTGTTCAAGTAGCAAGTGATGTTATGGAGATTGATCAAAATAAAATTTGAGTAGCTCCAATTCTTGTAGTTGAAGCAGATGTAGTTAAGGAATTTGAAATAACAAAAGAAGAATATGGTGACAAGAAGTTCGACGTTGAAAGCAGAAAACGTGAATTAATTGATGATGGGGTCAAAAAAAGTTTTAAATTGCATGTCCAATATAGTTTGGATGAATTTGAGCTTCATATTGGTTATCATAGCAGTGAACAATATGATTTTGTGGTAGGCAATCCTTCATGTTATTCGCAGTCAAACTCGAGGACGAGTTTTTTTGAAGTGGAGGGGACTGATGCAGGACAGAAATTCAGTCAGACCAACAAATCCATTTTCGACAAACCAAGAGTGTTTTTTGGGTGGAAACAGCGCATTGAGAAACACCCATTAGCTTTAGCTTGTGGTCCATGTTGGTTTTCAACTGAAAACCTTCGTTTAAGGCTCCAAAACCGGGATTTCTTGAATGTTAGAAGGTCTGTTGATTATTTCCAGATTTTTGTTCCAGACCTAAACGAAATTTGATAGCTCTCAAATTTTATATTTAGTATTTTTTATTTATTAGGTTTCTTATTCTATTTTTTTGGAATTTATAGATAAACTTTATTTTTAGGCTTATTTTTAGTGTTATTTTCCTTTTGCTACTAGGTTTCTATATGTTTTTAGTTTCCTTCTAGTATTAGGTTTTCTTTTATTACAAATACGTGTACTGCCCAAGTGAAGAATTAACTTTTATTCGTTCAATTATTCAATACAATATCAGATTTCTCTAAATTTATCCATTGTTTTGTGGATTCAAAGTAACCCGTTCCTTGTGAACAAATTTATCGCTTCCACTTGCGTCATTTGTCCATTCAATGTGTTAAAGATGAGTAAAAATATTCTGTTGTTCCCTTCCTTTCTATATTAATAATATAATGATTCATAGCAGTTAACTAGGATCACTTAACCATCTTTTCCCAACATAAACAAACTGTTCCTTTATAGATAGTAGAAATGTGTGTGTGTGTGTGAGTGAGAGAGAGAAAGAGAGAGAATTTATATAAAAAATTGGATTTGATGTATAATACATAAATTAGAGAGAGGGTTCAGACTACAGTGATCATGGTTGTCAGTCCTCCCCAAGCACTATCTAGCTAAGGGACACTTTTAGCCAACAACTCCATTCATGTGGCGTTGTTATAATGCACCAGGATACTGTATTTGGTTATTAAAATGACACATAAACTAATTTTCACGTGCACTTTTTTTCCCATCAAAACATGACATGTCATGTTCATCTTTTAAATTGCAACATATTGAGCTCTGGTTGTTCTTATTGTTTCTTGAAACATTTCCTAAGTTTGATCTAAATTATTCACATTCTCCTAGTTTCCATTTATTTCAGAATTCATTATTGACATGTACATTGTTGATATCTCTGTTTGCGTCAATACGAGTTCTGCTGACATTAACATTTAACTCCTTGAGAATGAGTCATGTAATCTTAACTGTCCAGCGTAAACAACATATTCCCAATTAATACTAAATTATTTACCTTTTAATGGGAAAACTGTACCAGTTCCACAAAATGTCGATCACTTTCAAAATCCAATAAGTTCAATTTAAAGCAGAAGTTAAAGATCCCAATCAATTTCTCAATTAATACTAATTATTTACCTTTTAATGGGAAAACTGTACCAGTTCCACAAAATGTCGATCAATTTCAAAATCCAATAAATTCAATTTAAAGCTGAAGTTAAAGATCCCAATAAATTTCTCAAACTAAGTGAAGGAACTTTTGCATCTAAGCATCGCGTTATGTCTCTCGAATCATCTATAATATAAAGTTTTGATGCCTCAAAAGAAAGATATAGTACAATTATGACAATATAAATAAGATTATAAACATTTGTTTTTTTCACTACTTCCAAATAAGGGCAGGACTTTTAAAGAAGTACAGGGATTAAAGGGTAGCATCTAAGATATAATGCACTCTAATAAAATCGAACCCAATTGCACAAGAACTCTGGAACATTATACACAACAGATATCGAGATGTAATTAAGCAATCACCTGAAGACCCCCTTGCACTTTGCAAAACCGCAAAGAGTTGCTTTCTTCCTTCCCTAGTGTATGCAGCTCTGTTTTTCAGATTATCTCCACCTGTCACACTCTGTTACAAAGGTAGGCCAGTTACCTTTCAGACATGAATTAACTAGTTAGATACAGATACCTCAATGTCCACACTTAACTGTAAACAGTAATGTTGCTAAATTCAGTTTTGGGTGAGCCTCAAACAATTTAATTTGTGGTAGGGGATAAACAGCCTCCCCCCCCTGCTGAGACAGAATTCGAGGGATATCAATGGACTCAATTGCTGCAAAACAAAAAGCAAGAAATGCCCATCAGTGCTCTATGGCATATGACAAAAAGGAATGACGAAGTCCAACAAAAAGAGCTTCAATTGAGATTCTTCTGCATTAAATCAGGTGTAAAATAATCTGAATTTTCTCTGTCTCTCTCTCTCTCACTCGCTCGCCGGTCACATATCTCGCCGACCGATCAACGATCACAACATCCAGCCAAGCTCGCAAACTGGAGCTCTCACCGCTGAGGTAGCCTAGCAGATTAAATCCCCAATAGACTGGAGACCTTGCCGTCCCAAAGATCTTGCCGTCCCTCACCAAAACCTTTAAGCGATCCGAAGCCCTACCCCACCAAAACCCTAACTCCTCGTCACCAAATCCAATGATCATCGGCAACTGATACACCTCTCTCTCTCTCTCTATATATAGATATATATATATATATATATATATTACCATATCATTCATCTATATGGTACAGATTGATAAAATCATGCATACACAATAGTCATTATTGGTATTTCCTAATACATGATTATTGATTTAATCCTCTTATCTGCTACTGATTTTGATGTTAATGACTAGTATATCTAGATTTTAATTTTTCTTGCATTGAGAATTTGACTCACTGGCTCAGTTTCCTCAATGGTTTGATGTTCGGGCTGGGTTTAATAACTTTTTTTTTTTTTTGGATAAGTAAAATTGTATTAGAAATCATTCAAAAGAGGAACGCATCCCAAGAGCTGTACAAGAATCAAGAGCAAAAAAGAAAGCCTAAGGATCCAAAGACCCCAAAAAGTCCAAAAACTCCTCAACGGAAGAACAGTCTCTCCCCATGCCCCAACTAAAAAGAGAACAAATAATAGAATACTTAAGAGCCCCAATGGGTAACTCCTCCCCAACAAAGGATCTTCTATTGCATTTTTTCCATAGACACCACCAAACGCAGAGGGGAGTCGACCTCCAGAAGTTGCGAACTCGAGCCCCCACCCTCTGTCCCCTCCAAATATCGATAAGACCTCGTGAGGTCCGAGGCATAACCCACTGAACGCCAAAAAAACCAACATAAGACTCCAACAGTCATTTGCCCAATGCAAGAGAAGGTGATCCACAGACTTTCTATCGGTCATACACAGACAACACTGATTAACAATGACATGTCTCCTCTTCCTCAAATTGTCCAGAGTCAAGATCTTGCCGCAGCAGTCCAAGCAAAAAAAGCCACCCTAAGAGGAGCCTTCGAATACCAAACCGTTTTCCATGGATAAGAGGGGGCCTGAAAACTGGAAAGATAGAAGAAGAAAGACCGGACCTGAAAAGTCCCCTGCGAAGAAGGCACCCAAGTCAAAAGGTCCGCCCCAGTGCCCTCCACCTCCTGTCGATACAAGAGGTCCAAAAAAGAAATGACATCATCCAGCTCCCAATCCTAAAAAGCTCGCCGGAACCGAACATCCCAAGATAACCTACCGCTATCAAAGCGATAGCAGTAAGCAACTAAAGCATGGCAATCCACAGCAATCCTGAACAATCTTGGAAATCGTTGACACAAGGGACGTTCCTCGCACCAAGGAAACTCCCAAAACCGGACATTCCGACCTTCCCGGACTCTGAATCTAATATGCTTAGAAAACTCATCCCAACCCTTCCCAATAGACTGCCACACACCCACGTTGATAGCAAATCTAGCTTGTTTAGCAAACCAACCCCCTCTATCCTCCCCAAACCGGCAAGCAACGATCTTCCTCCAAAGTCTATGTCTTTCATTGCCAAACCTCCAAAGCCATTTGCCAAGAAAGGCCCTGTTGAATGGGACCAACCTCCGAATCCCAAGGCCTCCTGACTTGAGAGGCTTGCAGACCTGCTCCCACCGAACAAGATGATACTTAAACTCCTCCCCCCTACCACCCCAAAGGAAGTTGCATTGAATCATCTCAAGTCTCCTGACAACAGAAGAGGGAATTTGGAACAGAGAAAGGAAATAAGTTGGGAGGCTGGACAGGACACTCTTCAACAGCGTAACTTTTCCTCCCTTCGAAAGATATTGTTTTTTCCATCCAGCCAACCTTCTCTCGAAACGCTCAATAACTAGTCCCAACAACCCACCCTTCTTGAGGAGACCCCCAAGGGCAAACCCAGATAAGAAATAGGGAAGGAACTCGTCCTACATCCAAGAACAGCTGCCAGGGAATCCACCTCCTGAACCTCCCCCAAAGGGACAAGCACACTCTTGTTCACGTTGATTCTCAAACCAGAAACAGTCTGAAAACAAACCAGGACACATCTCAAGTATCTCAATTGGGACACCTCTGCCTCACAAAAAACCAATGTATTATCCGTGAACAACAAGTGAGAAATCTCCAATTAATGAACTGCCTCAGGACCAATCTTGAAGCCCAGAAAAAGCCCCAAGGTAACAACCCTCCTCATCAGCCTGCTAAGAGCCTCCATAATAATAATGAACAAGAAAGGGGAGAGGGGGTCCCCTTGCCTCAAACCAAGAGAACTACCAAAAACCCCGAAGGGGATCCATTAACTAGCACCGAGAATCTGACAGACGAAACGCAAGTAACAATCCATTTCCTCCATCTCCCACCGAAACCCATCCTCTCAAGCAAATAGAACAAGAAATTCCAGTAAACATGATCATAGGCTTTCTCGATGTCCAGCTTACACAAAACTCCGGGAACGCCGCTACGAAGCCTAAAGTCCACGCATTCACTGGCAATAAAAGCGGAATCCAGAATCTGTCTGCCCCCAATGAACGCATTTTAAGACTCTGAAATGACTCCGTCCAAAACCCCTCTCAATCTTGAGGCCAAGACTTTGGCGATGAGCTTATACAAACACCCAATCAAATTGATAGGTCGAAAGTCCTTAATATCAGAAGCTCCCCCCTTCTTAGGAATCAAAGCAATAAAAGAAGCATTCGGCGACTTTTCGAACTTCCCAGTGGAATGAAACTCATGAAAAGTGCTCATAATCTCCTGTCTGACCACCTCCCAGCTTTCCAGGAGGAAGCTCATAGTAAAACCATCCGGGCTTGGAGCTTTATCACCATTACAACTCTTCAAAGCCGTCAGGACCTCCTCCTCCATAAAAGATCTCTCCAACCCATCCCTATCCTCCACTAAAATAGAGTTAAAATGAAGGTCATCAAGTCTTGGCCTCCAGCGAAGAGGCTCAGTATATAACCTCTGATAAAAAGAAACAATCCCCATTCGCACCTCCTCATCAGAAGTCAACAGCGAACCATCCACCCGAATCTGACCAATATGATTGCCCCTCCTATGTGCATTGGCCGTTCGATGAAAGAACTTAGTATTACGGTCACCTTCTTTGAGCCACAAAGCCCGAGATTTCTGCTGCCACGAGATCTCCTCCATCACCGCAATCACAACATATTCAGCCTGACAAGCAGCTCTCCTAAACCGTTGAGACTCCTCAACGCCTCCCACCGCATCCAACCTATCAAACTCTACAAGATCAGCAAGAGCCCTATTTTTCCTCCACTCCAGATTCCCAAACACCTCCTTATTCCATATTTTAATTTTATCCTTCAGAAGACGAAGCTTTCCTGCAAGGATAAAACTCTAAGTACCCACCACCATGTCCTCCTCCCACCAAGTTCGCACCAAACCCTGAAAATCCGCTGCTCTAAGCCACATATTTTCAAATCTGAACGGAGTTAGACGAGGGCTCAAACCTCCACAATCCAAAACCAAAGGAATGTGATCTGACGTCACCCTAGCCAACGCAGCCTGAACTGCATCCGGAAACTGCTCATCCCACTCTCCGGAGATCAAGAATTTATCCAGGCGTGAAAAGGTAGGCATCTCCCGACCACAAGACCAAGTGAAAGCAGCTCCCTCCAAAGGGAGATCAATAAGCTGATGATCATTGATAAACTCCGAGAAAAGCCTCATAGCCGGAGTCCAAGACCCACCTGTAGACCTCTCTATCGGAGATCTAACCACATTAAAGTCACCTGCCACACGCCAAGGAAGAGACCACATCTCCTGAACCGCACTAAGCTCCTCCCACAACACAGGCCTCTCGCAGTCATCCACCGTCCCATAGACACCTGAAAAAGCGTAAGGGAATCCATCATCTTCCAATACAAAGGCACGAGACAGAGAGAACAGCCCCTACACACATCCACCTTATCCATCCATCTCCTATCCCACATCAAAAGAATACCTCCAGAAGTCCCAACTGAATCAAACGCCTCCCATTCAACAAACCTACTAGCCCAAAGGCTTTTGACAACTCTATCAGTCATAGAATCAATCTTCGTTTTTTGGAGACACACCAAGTGAACCCCCCATTTCCTCACAGCCATCTTCACCACCTTTCTCTTGCCCGAGTTATTGAGGCCCCGGACATTCCAGGATGGAAGTCGTAGCTTCATGGAAAAACATCAGCGCCCTCCACCCCCTTACCCCTCCCTCCCTTCTTAACACCCCCCTTCACTTTCTCCCCCACAAGAGCCCTATCAAAATTCACATCACAGCAGAGATTACGCAGCTCCCTCTCCCCTTTCCAAGAGGGTTGAGTCTTCTTCCTCCTCCTCCTAGAAAACTGAATCATCTCCCCTTCTTTCCCCTCCACCGTAGCCTGAAGAATAGCTAAAGCCTGCTCCCGATTACCTTTGCAAGAAACACCCAGCAAATCACTCGTGGGCCCAATGTTGTTCAAAACCCAGTCCTTGCCAAGATCATCACACTCCTTCCTAACAAGGTCACTGGCCATCCCCTCCGGATAAACAACTGCCAGAGGGTCAACCACCCCCAAATACGAGAAGCTGTCCTCCTCCCACAGGACCATATCCAAGGACCGACACTGATCCTCCCATTTCCCATCAGCCTACCCTTTCTCGCCCTCCTCAATCACATCCACACAGGTCTCCCATTCAGCACCACTATCCACCCCACTATCATGAACCTCAGAAAAGGATGCTGAATCACACGAAGGCACATGAGTCAGGTGCCTATGTTTCTGTAGTTCCTTCACCAACAAAGAGGCTGATTCCTCATTGAGAACGATACGGATATCCTTTCCCACACAAACAGTCATCAAGTCTGGCTCACAAACTAATTGAGATGGCACCAATTCATCCCCCTTAGGAAGACACAAACCAAGCTGAGGCTTGACCATCCCCCCATGTCAAACTCAGACAAAACCTTCTGATGAGAAGAAGAGGAAAAATCCGAACAAGAATCCTCCGGCCCTTCGCTAACATGATCCGAACCCCCATCCACATACAAACCAACCGTCCCATCCCTTTCTAACGGTCCAAAAAACCCACACCCCAAATCAGCCGAATCCACAGTCTCATTGCCCACCTCAACCACTGGTGAAAGCCTTCGTGACATACCTACAAAACCATTCCCCACCTCCTTCCTCCTCGACCCACAAGAAGGAGAAGAATCAGAAAAGGAGGAGTTACGAGAACAAGAAGAGGGGGACTTACCCGGTTCAGGAGTGTTGCGGGCGACCCATTTTTGCTTGTCCTTTCTGGTCCATCTTCTACCAGACTTATTAGACCAACTGGACACACCCTTCTTGAGGGAGTCACAGCTGTGAGTCTCGTCCTCACAAAGGGAGTTTGACTGGAGCAACCCAAAATTGTTAGTCTGTTACCAAAGAGCAGATTCTGACAACACGCACCATGCCTGAACGTCGTCGATCTCAGACCAGATCTCGTCATCGTATTCTAACTCACAGAGACCCAATTCTCCTTATCTGCCTGAGACCAGTGTCTCACATCATCCTTTGGTTGTTTCGGAGCAACTGACTTGTGAGAATTGCCTCTAGAAGCCGTTTCAGAAGGTGGCTTGGGCTGCAGCCCATTAATGGAAATAGAGAGACTTCTATTTGGGCCCAGGCAACTGCTCTAGAACAAGAAGGATTGGGCTTGGCAAGAGAAGACCGAGAAGTAGAGAGAGGCTTAAGAATGGGCCTGACCTGTCCAGCCCTGTTCATGGCCTGCGAATCTTCAAGTCTAGATCCAGAAGATAATGAACACCTAACCGAATTGGGCCCAAAATGCCCAGCCCTGTCATCAGCCTTCCGAGCAACCTTCCCAGGCCCACCTTGGTTAGGCCCTTTCCAAGTAAGCCCATCAGAAGATGAATTCAAATTCAAATTCCCATTCCCGACCGCCTCACGTGCCAAAGCATGTGTGCCCTTAGCTGGATTCCACTCACAACCGGGGGGGGGGGGGGAACCATCCTCCAACCACATGTCCCACTAACCAGGCGTTCCTTCCCACTCATCTCTGGCGCGTGGAAATGCACTCGTCCCTTTCCCTGCTTCCGGCGACTTTGCAGAGCCTTTCTATGAGTCACCAGTTCACGCCCACCACCGAAAACTGATTTGTGAGACGAACGAGCCCCCCGATCAGTCACCTCCAAAGGATTGAAAACCTCAGATCAACCATGAAACTTGGAGATCGGCTCAAGAGAAGGGGCTATTTCCTCTGTGAGAGAGATGCGAAAAGCTCGCTGACTATCTTCCACGATAATATGCTCCAGGATCACACCACCTTCATCCACAGTGATGACGATCCTCTCCGTATCACTCATCTCGAACGCCTTAACGTCCCGGATTCCACCACACAAGTCCCCCACAGCAACGAATAGTTTCTGACACCAAAGGTGGAGAGGAAGACCAAACACAATGATTCTCCGGCATTTAAACTTCTTTCTCAACCCAGAACACCCAAACTTGTAGTACCAGTAGTCAATAAACAACTGAGCATCACCCCATGTCTTCTTTCCGTAATCAAGAACCTTCATAGCCTCCATGACCGACGGGAAGCGAAACAGCAAAAGCCCATCAGGCAAAGTAGAAACCCTAACGCTAGCCGAAATCGACCAAACCCTCGTAACCCAATCTTCAATGTTCTCGAGAGACCCCACCTCCCTATCAAATCTCGCAACAAGACATGCTCTAAGCGTACGCTCGCGAGAAGACATGATGCGATTATCCACTGAGAAGACGAACTCACCGAAGGAAGAGAAGCAGTCCACTTTGCCCTTCAAATCCAGACGAGGAAGACTAGCAACCTCCAGAAAAGACGGCCTCTGACCGTCAAGAGCTCTCATGAAATCAACAAAAAACCACCCCGAACCACCGACACCAACAGAAAAAGAGAAACGCGAAGGAAAATAATAGAGGATTTCACCGAAGTTTATGACTCCGGTGACTGATCGGAGTAGTGGACTCCGGCCGCATCTCTGCTATGAGTAAGCTTTCTCCGTTGGTCAAGTCATTAATCATTTCATTAATAACTACTGGTGGAAGTTGGGTTTAATAACTACTGGTGGAAGTTATATTTAGTTAGGGGTTGAGCCTTTATTTCTTGGACTCTCTATTTTACCCAGACTGGATCATGTATTCTCATATTTTTGGGTTGTAAAGGGTACCTCAACATTGTCCCCTTCTTTCTCTTCGAACAATAATTTATTTATGAAAGCCAATAAAAAGAAAAGGGAATATTACTTCATGCCATGTAGAAGGAATCCTTACAATGCAGCTTAAAGTTCCTTTTCGGGATGTTGATACTGGTATCATCTATATAAAATGTTAATACTAATGAGGACTGTTACTTGCCACAGTCTTTAACTTGACCAAATTCTACCTTGTCCCAAATTTCTACATCACTTATTTTTAAAGAGCCCTTACTCCAGCTTTCATTAGGAGTGTTCCTCACTTCCTCCTTCAGTAAAATCCTCAAACGAGTAACTTCCAGTCAACAAACTACAAAGCCTCAAAAAGTCGGTTGTAATAATTTATTTAGATCTTAAAATCCATGTGATTTTCTATCTTTTACAAACAACTCGCTTCAAGTCTAAGCCTATAAAACCTTGAAACACAAATTTTAGTCGCTGTCATTTATCTAGCTTTTAAAGTCCATCTAAATATTTTATATCCGAGAGGCCACAATCAAAAAGTTTAGCCAATAACCTCAGAAAATTTATGAACTAACTATCAAATGTCTCTTCAAACATCTTCTCTCTTATATAGAACGTTGCATGTGAATCAAAATCTTTAAAACACCAAACCATGAACCTAAATCACGTATATCTCTTCCCCATTGTGCACCATACAAGGACTCTCTCGAATATAAGCATTACATCACTTAAAAATGTTTTTCAAAACAAAATTAAAATAATGCCTTAAAATATGAATCACATGTAATGTGTCAAAATGTTATCATCAAGCAAATAAGGAAGGGCGCATATACAGTTTGTATCACTATTAAAAAGTACGAGACGAACCTACAATATTTGTGCAAGGCCAACCTTCCTTGTCCAAGTCATACAGAAATCATTTATCATGCTCATCCAAGTTATAACAGAATCATCATTAACCATGGGAGGATCCAGTTTAAAAGCATTTTCCCATATTAAATAAAAAATTCAAGACAACTCTATTTGACTAGAAATGAGCTCAGAGTACCAGTCCCAACTTTAGTTCAACTACTAAACTTGTAAAAATCTACTTATCAAAAAAACACTAAACTTGTAAAAATCTGGTAAGCAGGGTATTCTGATTGGGTAACTGAAACATAGATAATGTTTGACAAAAAGTGTACTCATGTGTTTTCTCTTTTTGTCAATTAAGGAAATTAAGAATGAACAAGGAAAAGAAAGAAGTACAAAACAAAAGGAAGATAGTTTGTCAAGCGTAAGATTAGAAACAAGAATAAAAAAGTACACTCTTTCCCGAATAATCCACCCCAAAACTCTTAGTTCTCTGAGCCAAGACGTTTATCCATGCAATACTAGTAATGACCACATGAAATGATAAATTATAAGAAATACAGCTAACATAATTTAACGTCAGCATCTCAAACCTAAATGTTCACCAACTAGTATGCTATCATTATGTAAACGCCAACACCTACAAAAGAGCAGGACCAGATAAACGAATTCCAACACTTTGACAGGTGTGGTCGGGTAGTGGCCGAGGAAGCGGGGTTTAGGCGGAACTAACAGCACGGTTAGTAAAACATAACTTGCACGAAGACAAGAATAACATAAGAGAAATATTATTCCACTCCACATGCCTCATAGCACAAATTCAATGCATCAAAATTGTTGCTTCTTTAGTAGTAAAAGCAGAAAGAGTAGGATAATTAACTAACCAGCAGGCTCAAAAAAATTTGCTTGCATAGGAGGTCTATTGGGATTAAGTATCACTCGCGTTTTCCATACTTGAAGTGTTCCATCCTTCGACACAGTGACAAGTAACCTCAACATTGGGAGCCAAGCAACCGAAGTGATTGGTTGGGAACCCACTTGTGTACTGGAATTGCAAGGGAAACTGAACTATCAGAATAAAACAATAATAGCAACAATGATAATGGTCAACAATGAGAGAGATTTTAAAAAAGAAAATGAAGAGTACAAAATTATTCCAGAAAAAATGATTATGTGGTCCATCAAAGTGATCAAACTTTAATCATAAAGATGCATTAAATTTAAAGTTCACGTCACCATACAGCATCAAACCTAAAAATCCTTAAAATCCACAAGAAGTAAGCCAAGTATACTCCAAGCATAACTCATACTATCCAGTTCTATCTAGAATTGAAGTCATTTCTATTAAGGGTCCATCTAGGAAGCAAGGACACATCTACAAATGAGCCGTACACATGTCAGTCACCAAAACTTCATGGACTCATCATGGACGTGTCCATGAATTTAAAATAATTTTTAATTATTTTGGACACTTTGCCAGCACTTTTGGACACTTACCCGACACTTCTCATACAATCCTTAACACGAGTCTTATATAACACAAACACATCTAGAGTAGCCATGTTCGGCAATCTTGGAAATAATATGAACATATCTCAAAGTGTCCAACATTTTTTTTTTTAAAATAATTGACATTATACACGTGATAACAAGTCAAGAATACAATGATACTTTTTCATAGAGAACCAAACATAATTAAAATGAAAAAGAAGTGCAATAGTAGTCTATACGATTATAACAATCATTACAATATTCACGTAACTTCATCTCCTAAATTATGTCAAAGTAATTCTTAGTATAGAAATTAAAATTTAATTACAATTCTATGATAGTCTTACTAAATAGATGTATATAAATAAAATTTACATCTATATATAGCTGTGTCCATGCCATATCCATGTCCTACACTCCTACTTTTTCAGGATTCAACATGTTGACATATCCGTGGCATATCATGTCCATGTCTATGCTACTTAGAGGGCCATTGACTGGGACAAAGGCAAAAGCACAAAATATAAGAACAAGGCTCGGTATAAGGGCAGCAACTTGGTGTGAAAGAAATAATGCCAAAAGTTAACTTCAGTCTTCTCCTTCAAACACGTTGCATAGGTTGGACCAACACTGACTACTGGCTGAGGTTTACCTAGAGAAAGAATGAGTGTTTCCCTTGTGTTGTTTGGTTGAGTAGGAAGGAAGGGGTCTTGAGTAATTTGACTGTTATATTTGTAAATAGTAAAAATATTTGAGGGGCAAAAAAGTCCAAAGGGGAAAGAAGATGGCTGACATAAAGCTCTCAAGCGAACACTGTTAGTACACTCCATGCTAGAAAAAAAAAAAAAAAAAGGGTGCTTCTTTATTTAAAAAATGACTCAACAATACCTTTTCCATTTCCTTTTCAATGGCCATGGAATGTCATACTCTATTTATTTTATGGACATATTCTATATTCAATATGTCATCATTTTAATCTTATTGAATATTTGGCTCTTGGGAACTCAGGAATTTATTGTTAAGTACTTGCATTAGGTGTATCTAATTCTTGAGTCTGAGTATTTATAATGATATATATTTTAGATCTAAATGATTGTAACATTTCATTAGTACAATTCTACAATGGTATTTTTGTCTCTCTTACTTGTGCTTTATGTTGCGCCTTACACTTAGACACTAGGAAACCTTAGTGCCTTGGGGTGCCTTCAGCCTTCAATAACCATGCTCTTTCAACTACTTATTTCCAGCTCCCTTTGGTTCGTCTTTCATGGTAAAGACAATGTGGGATTCTGAAGTTGAGAGTTCAAGAGGAGGCAAGCAATGTGAAAGACCATTATTTATTGGATGTAGGAAGATTTACCTTATTAAAAGTTTTGGCCTGTCTAGTTAATTTTCTGAAAACAGTTTTCAAGAACTCAAAAAACAAAAAACTATTTCCAGCGAACTATAAAAGACTTTTCTCTAAAAACCATCATTTTTTAACTAAGCTTTTAGAAACTATCAACCAAACAAAGTTTTGTACTATTTTTTTTATTTCAGTTCTCTGAAAACAGAAAAATAGTATCAGAAAGCAAGTTACATGGACTCTTCAAAAGTACGTGAAGTACCAGCATTGGACACGCATTATACGGACATCAACATGGGATGTGTCTGACACTTTTTGATTGGACATGCACTTATCATATAATTCAATTTTATTAGATTATTGTTTCAAAACAAGTGAAACGCTTATATTGGACACTATGCTATATAAAGTCATTATTTGGCCTAAAAACATTAAATTATACTCCCTCCGCCCGACAAAAGTGCCCCTTTTTGGGAACCTAACTTTTTAAGAGTATAGTTTTTAATATTTTTTATTATAGTGGTAGGGAATGAATTTTCAAATATACCCTTATATAGTGGGTCCACATGCGGCCTTATTTCAAACTTTAATTGCTTTTATAACTTCAAGGAAAGGAGGGTAAATTAGGAATATTAAAAAAATAGCACACTGGATTTTGAATTGGGACAATTATTTTGGGATAGTCAAAAATGGAAAGGTGGACACTTTTTGTGGGAGAGAGGGAGTATGAATATTTAGCATTGTCCCTTTGTCCTTTTGTTTCAGATGAGCTAGTGGAGCAAAACCTTTATAATAATTCTGCCAAAAAAATTCCAACTTTATCCTTCCTGACAACACACACAAAATATAAACTAAAAAAAGAACATTAATACTGCAATAAAATAGCATGTTACTTGGAAATAATGATGGGACATAACCATATATAACTTACATTCCAATCATACTAGGTATCTGAGTCGACACATCCCATGCCAAAAGTGTTCCCCGTCTATCACCAACAAAAACCCATTCCAATGTTGGATGAAATGCAAATGCACCGGCACCAATGAGCTTAATGGTGTTATCAACTAAAACAAGTATCAAAGGGTAAGGAAGTTAAGTAAAAATGAAATATGCTGTTTAGGAAGGGGTAAAAACTTTCAAATTCTGCTTCAGGAAAAATAAATAAATAAAAAACTATCAAATTCTTAATAAAATTGCCTCTTTCAATTCTTATCAAAAAAAAAAATCTCAACAAAAAAGAAACAATATCACTCCAATCTCACGTTGTAGTGTGTAATGAACTGCATAAGTATGAATGTTGTAGGCTCGAATCAAACCATCTGCATAAGCTACATACTGAAACCAAAAAGGGAAAAGAAAAGAAAAAGTTGTTAACAGTGCTCCAAAACATAGAAGTATAAAGTTTGTTTGTAATAGCTACCATTCTTTTTATTATCAGAAGAACTAGGACAATATGTAATAAAAGAAAGCATGTTACCAACACAGGAAGACGAGGATGGCAAGCAAGATTGACAATTGGTTTCTTCAGGTCTGTCTTTATTTTTGTAGGTGCCCTCCCACCTTCAACAGTTCCGACAACTTCAAACAAGCAAATTAATCATGCATTTAGAAACAATTCGATACACATGACAATATCTAAATAATAGTGCTAAGTTGCTAACCTATGATATTATCATTATAACTTGAAAAGTATAAAAACACCAACTGCAACACCATGAGGGACACATTTAGATATATTTTCTAACAGCATCTCTATTCAGGAAAGAATATATATATATATATATATGAGAAAGAATTTTGGAGTATGGTTTGAAAAACTCTAGCACAAAATATGCTAAACAAAAAATGAAATAAAAAAAGAGGTGATAAAAGGAACAAAAAGATAAAAAGAAGGGAAAAGAACTTCAAAATAATTCAAAGAAGGTTAAGTCAATCTCAAGGCCAGCATGTTGATTAAGGGGCATATCACACCACCAATGCCAGAGTGCCACTGCATGGTAGAGAACAGTGGCAGCAACATTTTGAAGTGTATAGAAGGTGTGGCAAGGAGGGGTCTAAGACTCGAGGTTTAATTTGGCACGTGCTAGATGAAGTGGGGACCACTTGGAGTCTTGCATAATTGGGGGGATTTGGTCAAATTGCATAATTATAGTAGCTTGCATCAATTACGATCAAATTGCATCAGTCAGTAGTAATTACTTTTTTTATGCTAGTCAAATATTGATTATTTCAATTATGGGGTAATCCTAGAGTCAAATATTGATTACCTCAGTTACGGGGTGAATGCTTTTATTATGCTATAGAGTCAACATTTGATTACCTCAATTATGGGGTAATCTAGGGTCATAAGTTTTTTTTTTTCAAAAATTAATCTCATGGTCATAAGTTGCTATAAGAAGGTATGATGTAAACTTGGTGAGGCAGTGAATGAATGAATACAAAAATATCTTTGAGATTTCATTGTGGGTGATTCACAAATTCTGAGGGTGTGACTTGTGAGGCCTTCTCTAGGTGTGATACCTAGGCCCTGTTGGAGTGATTCCAATAGGTAGCTCTATTCTATTTCTTTTCCCTTTGTTTTTCTACATTTTTACTATCAAACCTCCAAATTTCAGCCCTAGTTCTCTGAACTTTCGCTGCTCTCTTGTCCTACATCACCGCAGCACCACTGGCATGCCACCTCCACTACCACCATGACAGCAGCAGCTCCCTCACCACCACAGTTTTCACATCACCATGACGACCGCAGCACAGCCACCAGAACCTTAATGAAACTCTTGCAATAGCAACCACCACTGTGGCAGCAGATGGACCAAGCCCAGTCAAGTTTCTGAGGTATTGGGATTAGCTTGGTCATTGTCAGATCACAGATGATGTTCAAGCCCGCTCAAGCTGGGCCCAACCATAGCCAATCCTATTGAGAGTTCGAGACTCATAAAAATTGAGCTTAACTGGGATCTTAACATTAATCAAAATCCATAAATTTCTTTCCACGTATATGAAAAAGAAGTAAATGAGGAAGAAACAGACATAGTGGCATTCACAGCCAGAGAATAAATCATTGTCCTCGCCTGATTGAAGATATAGGAGAACAGGCAAATGTGGGAAACAGCATTATATAAAAGAAAGAAGGCGCATAAATCAAGAGAAACCTTGCAGATTGTAACCATATGTTTGCCTTAAAGCAACTAATAAGATATTGAAGGAGAAATGAGGACAGGCTAGACATGAGATTAAAAAAAAAAGGTAAACTAGGGTGTGAGGAACAGCAAGAATCAGGGGGAAGGCTTCGTTCTATGAGTTTTCTTGATGAAGACATTTTTCTTTAATATCAAAACCTTCCCTGATTCAACCACTCCACTATATACATTAACTATATTCACAAGCCTCATAGTGCCAAGCAAGGTCATGCTCAAGATCAGCTCGTGAAGAAAAAAGCCTAAACATAAGTGTCAAGCACAGGTTGTTTCCTTGATGAAGGAGCCTGAATAAATTCATTACCAAGCCTGAACTGTTAGTGAGTAACCCAATTCATTTGCAGCCCTAGCCACACCACCTCCATCACACCATTAAACCACCTCTACCATCATCACTACCACCACTGTTGTTGTCTCTACACAACCACCAACTCTACTACAAAAGTAACAGTCCTTCATCTATGTCCACCTCCAATTCCTTCGCACAACTGTTAACACCACCGTGACACCACCAAAGATTTAACTCAAGTGGTATCTCCACCTCTTCCTATTTGGAAGATTTGCGTGCTTGAGGGTCCAAGTCCTAATTGAGGCAATAGAAGGTGTGTGTGTGTGCGCTTACCTACCCAACCCCACAGCCATGATCCGCACTGCTGCCACCAGCTCTGCTCTAAACACCAACTCCACTCCACCAAAAACATTTTGGGTATTTTGTGAATTTTAAAGCAGAATTTGAAAAGAAAATTAAAAATATCACACTAGCCCAAAGGCTACATGGCACATTAAGGTTGCTGGCTCTTGCGCATTTGTCCCTTTGGGTTTGAGGGCTTCACAGCATTTCAAGATTGTGCACCAACATCACTTCAGTAATTAGAAATGTTTTAACATTTAAAAAAAAAACAAAGATTCGAATGAACTTATGCATTCTTTTATCTGGTCCAAGACTTTTTAAATTCAAACCCACGATAACAACCACAAGTCTTTCCTGCTTTCTGAAACTTTAAACAAGTTCATTCTTATTGCAGTTAAAAAAAAAAAAAAAAAAAAAAGGTCGTGTTGGGGAAACCAAATGGACCCTTATAAAAACAAACCTGTCACACTCATCCTGCGGTGGAAACCAAAAAAGACAACTGGTTGAAGAGGGGTCAAGGCGAGATGAACTTCTGTGTCAGAAGAAATTTGCTCTGTCCTCCTTTCAGGTGAATGCAACACACATGTCTGCTCACTGTCAAAATCACAGGACCGAATTGTACAATCCTACAAATTAGGAAAAAAATTTACACAAACAAGAAAGAATATCAACCACATGAGAAGAAGAAAACATAATGCCCACATGAAGCATAATTCCAATTCACACAATTAGTGAAGCAACAATGAAATTTCATGAATGGGATCGTAAACCAGCAAATCTAACACAAATGATAATCCACTTGAAACAGCAATGAACTTCACATGAAAAAGAGTAAAATACAAGATCACATCTTTTGACCAAAATCTTGAAGTTTTACTATTTGATTTTTTTTTTTTTTTTTTTTTTTTTTTGGGGGGGGGGGGGTGGGCGCTTTCAGAACATTGCATCTTATAATTGAATGGCCTTTATCGATTATCATTGCATCTATAAAAGCCCAATGCAAGGAATTCAGATCTGACACCACTTGAGCAGCATGATTTATCAAATCTGAAGCAGCACACAGACTGAATACCAATACTCAACTCAACAAATCCTTTTTCCCATTACATGAGTCGGCTACGTTAATCATATTTTTTCGCTCTACTCTAAGGCCATAACCTCAGTCAAACCATATGTTACCATATTTTTCCTTCCTAACTTCACCTATGTTAATTTTAGTTTTCCCCTTCCCCTAGCATTACCCTTAAGGTGGATCATGTCATTCTCGTAACTGGTGCACTTAGTGGTCTTCTTTGCACATGTCCAAACCTTCTTAATCAATTTTCTCTCATTTTTTTTTTCCAATGGGTGCTACTTCAACCATCTAACAAATGTATTCATTTATAATTACATCATTACTTGTCTTGCCGCGCTTCCATCTAGGTATAACATCAAAACGTGTGAATAGTAAAATTAAAGACATGTCATCAACACATTGTTCGAGACATTAGATTTACAAAGTCGGGTCATGGTTGGGAAGTTGAAATGGTGGACTTCTAGATAAAGATGAGATGGGGATCCTCAAAGAGTGAGAGGTTTAAGGTTATGTCCAATTACAAGATACCATGTGGAACCTCTGAAGTCTCCTTTCCCAGGAAAACTATAAACAGCAAAGGTATCATCCAAGATGGGTTTTTGTGTGGTCAGCTGCTTACAGATGATTCCCATAATCAAAAGGAGAAGAAAATACTTCTCATTTCATGTTGTATGTGTAAGCAAGTATGGAAGTCAATGGATCATATTATAATTCATTGTATTTCCCAATTTATGTTATGATGCCACTGCACAGGCCAGTGTAAACAAATTTTTTGGTGCCCTTATTAGTGGGATGATAGGAAGGTTATTCTTTATATTGGGACTTACTTTGTAATGAATTGAGGATCTTTTGACCTTAGTCACACGATTCATGTGAGGGGGTCGCCGCATTGGGTGCAGATGCAACCAAAATAAGCTCACTGTTGCTTCTTTTTTGCTAGATGAAAATAAGCTAGGGAACAACATAATAAAAAAAACATGTTCAGCAGCCATCTCTTTAACTCCAAGTAAATCTTAATTTGAAATAATAAAAGAAATTTTTTTTTTTTTTTTTTTTTTTTTTTTTTCAAAAATTCTCACTCGTGTTGCATGAGCAATGAAAATTTCATATAATTTCTAGGTCCATTTTAGACAGTGCTATTATCAAAGGTGCGCCTCAACAACGCAATATTACCTCTTATCTTTTCTTAGTTGCAAAAATCTAATGTTAGCCAAATGGTTGGAACGCATTCTCTTTCTCAATATTTAAGCATGCTTTTGAATCTTCTAAAAGTAGATTGCTATTCTACATTTTCTAAAATTAGATGCGATTGAATTGTTACACTAAATTGATAATCCTATAAATCAACTTAAATTGACAAAGCACTATAGCAACTCTTTTGGAGTCGATTAGACACTCTTTTTTACTTCTTTTTTTAAAAATAAGAAATAAAAAACCAATGTTACTCAAAGAAGAAAGAGAACAAGATAGCAACAAGAAAGACCCACCAAAGAATAAATAAAGCTACTGGAGTGAATGAAGCACAAAAGAAAAGAAGCAATTCAGAACACCACAGCCTCCACTGGAGCACACAAAGCATAATAAGTACTAAAAAAAACTCCAAATACCTACCTACCCTCCTGACAAGAAATCAACCTCCTCATTGCCTAATATGTAAATCCATCTAAATCTTTTTTAAAGCTTCTTATGCTATATTTGTGAAGCATATCTAAGCATATCAGTTCTTCAGTTATTACAGGTACAGACACTTGTACTGGTGCAAGACCAACAATATCCAAAACTTCATCCCCGTCTAATCCACAACTAGGTTTTCTAGAAGATCACCCACCAACTCAAGTTACATTTCTCTGGTATGAAAAAATAAAATAAAATAATAAAACACATTATATTATCAAAAAATTGTTCAAGAAAGTTTAACTAAGCCTACGATAAAACCTTAATAAAAAATAATAATAAAAGAAAATAGATAAAAATAAAGAAAACTCAACTCAACAAAGACAAATTCTAAATACTTGGCATACGCTATATGAAACATGTTTTGTTATTTTGGCTCAGTGCATATATGACGTGAAAGACATGGTTAATTCAATAATTTCTCCTCTAACACTAGGCTTGAACCCGTCTCATCTTCTAAAAGATTGAGTCCAAGTCATTTTTATACCCAAGGTCAAGCCCCGGCTTGAACCCATTTCATCTTCTAAAAGAAGAGTCATCAAATTTATCCAACAATATAAAGGGTTCAGGTGCATGCTATTATTACTAGGACTTGTCGACTCCACAATTCGCTCGTCGGTTCGATGGCGTCTGTTTTTCGTCACAGCACCAATGCATCTTCCATTATCTACACCCAATGTTGTCGTCAACTCAGTACACCCCCAAAGCTTACAACCCCAAAGCTCTACATCCAGGGTAAGAGTCTACATTTCTCAGTATATAGGTTCATATTTAAATATTTATGGATTAAGGTTTCTGTTTTGTTACCACAATTCGCTCGTCGACAACATTGGGTGTAAATAACGGAAGATGCATTGGTGCCGCGACGAAAAGCAGACGCCATCGAATCGACGAGCGAATTGTGGAGTCGACGAGCCCTGATAATAATAGCGTGCACCTGAACCCTTTATATCATTGGATGAATTTTTTTTTTTTTTTTTTATATATATATATAAATAAAATGTCCTAGAAAGCGTTCAAAAGAGGAACGCGTCCTAAGAGCTTTACAAGAACCAAACAAGGGGAGGGGGAAGGCCTATGGACCCAAGGGGAGGGGGAAGGCCTATAGACCCAAAGAACCCAAAAAGTCCATGATTTTATCTAAGGATGAACAATCTCTCCCCCAACCCCAAAAAAAAAGAGAACAAATAATAGAAAACTTCAACGCCCCAATGGAAGATTCTTCCCCATCAAAAGATCTTCTATTCCGCTCTTTTCACAGGCTCCACCAGACACAAAGGGGGGTAACCCTCCAGAAATCTTAAGCATGCGCCCCCCACCCTTTGGCCCCTCCAAATGTCAATCAAATCCCTTAATGTTCGAGGCATGACCCACTAAACACCAAAAAGACTCCAACAGTCATGAGCCACAGGACAGTGCAAAAAAAGGTGGTCCACGAACTCTCCATCCTTCTTACACAAACAACGCCGATTGACAATGATGTGTCTTCTCTTCCTCAAGTTGTCCAAAGTTAAAATTCTACCCCAACCTGCAGTCCAGACGAAAAAGGCCACCCTAAGGGGCACCTTCGAATGCCAAACCGTCTTCCACAGGAAAGAGGTACCATGAAACGCAAAGAGACAGAGAAAAAAGGACCGGACTTGAAAAGACCCCTGCATAGAAGGCACCCAAGTCAAGGAATCCGAACCAGTGCCATCCACCTCCTGTCTATACAAGAGAGCCAGCAATCAGGTGACATCATCCAATTCCCAATCCTAAAAGGATCGCCAAAACCGCACATCCCAGGACAACTACCGCTATCAAGATGATAGCAGTCAGCAACCAAAGTGTGTCTGTCAAGAGCAATCCTGAATAATCTTGGGAAAAAACAAGACAAAGGGGCGATCCTCGCAGCAAGTATCCTCCCAAAACCGGACGTTCCTTCCTTCCCGAACTCTGAATCTGATATGCTTAAAGAATTCATCCCACCCCTTCCCAATAAATTTCCACACTCCCACACCGCCAGTAGACCTGACCGGCCTAGCTGACCAACCCCCTCTCCCCTCCCCAATAGTACATGAAATGACTTTCCTCAATATTATGTCTTTCACTACCGAATCTCTATAGCCACTTGCCTAGGAGAGCTCTGTTGAAAGGGGTCAATCTCCTGATCCCTAGACCTCCCAACTAAAAGGGCCTGCAAACCTGCTCCCACCGAACAAGATGATACTTAAACACCTCCCCCCGACCTCCCCAAAGGAAATTCCGTTGGAGCATCTCAAGTCTTCCAACAATAGAGGAGGGAATCTGGAAAAGCGCAAGGAAATAGGTTGGGAGGCTAGACAAAGTACTCTTCACTAGAGTAACTTTTCTTCCCTTCGAAAGATATTGCTTTTTCTATCCAGCCAATCTTCTCTCGAACCGCTCAATCACCGGATCCCAACTTCCCACCCCTCTAGCCGAGTCACCCAAAGGCAAGCCCAACTATGAAATAGGGAGAGAGCTCGTCCCACAGCCTAAAACAGCTGCAAGAGAGTCCACCTCCTGAACCTCCCCCACTGGGACAAGCACGCTCTTACCCACGTTGACCTTCAAACCGGAAACAGCCTAAAAACAGACCAAGACACATCTCAAATATCTCAACTGGGACTAGGGGTGGCAAATTACGACACGACACGAACACGACACAAGTTTAAAAGGTTTGGGTTTGGCATAAACGGGTTTGGGTCTGGCATAAACGGGTTTGGGTCATAAAATGGTCGACACGATTAACCCGTTTACTTAACCGTGTCGGGTTAGAATTGAGGGGTTCAACCCGTATAACCCGCTTACGACTCACTTAACTCAACATATTATAATCATAAATATGACCTATGTAATATGTTACCTGTTTAAACTCAATTAGTATGGATAGTTAAGTCATTTCAACATAAACCTTGTCGATGCCTTATGATTTTTCTTTATATTTCGAATATTTTGGTTAATTATGACAAATTTTTTCTACTATTTAGTATTTGATTAAATATTTACCTGTTTAATAAACGGGTTGGATTAGTGTTGAGAATTCTTGACACGATTATTAAATAAGTTGGGTTTGGGTTTACCTATTTAGTATAATACCCTTACATTGACACGACATGAATACGACCCACGAACACGAATTGCCACCCCTAACTGGGACGCCTCTGCCTCACAAAAAACCAGAGTATCATCCGCAAAAAGCAAGTGAGAGATCTCCATCTACTGAGCTGCATCAGAACCAATCTTGAAACCCTTGATGAAACCCAAATCCACCGCCCTTCTCATCAACCTGCTAAAAACCTCCCTAATAATAATGAACAGGAAAGGGGAGAGAGGGTCCCCTTGTCTCAGACCACGGGAACTACCAAAAAAACCCTGAAGAGACCCGTTCACCAACATCGAAAATCTGACAGAGGAAACGTATGTTTCAATCCATTTCCTCCATTTCTCTCCAAAGCCCATCCTCCCTAACAGATAGAAAAGGAAATTCCAGCAAACATGATCATAGGCTTTCTCAATATCCAATTTACACAGAACTCCAGGAACACCACTACTAAGCCTAAAGTCCACACATTCACTGGCAATGAGAGAAGAATCCAGGATCTATCTACCCCTAATGAACGCATTTTGAGACTCAGAAATATCACCGTCCAGAACCTTCCTCAATCTGAACACAAGGACTTTAGCGATGAGCTTATACATGCACCCAATCAGACTTATCAGTCTAAAGTCCTTAATATCGGAAGCGCCACCCTTCTTGGGAATCAGAGCAATAAAGGATGCATTTAGCGACTTTTCAAACCTCCCATTAGAATGAAACTCATGAAAAGTGCCCATACCCTCCTGTCTAACCACCTCCCAGCTCTCCACCAGAAATCTCATAGTAAAACCATCCGGACCAGGAGCCTTGTCACCATTACAACTCTTCAAGGCCTTCAGAACCTCCTCCTCTGTAAAGGGCCTCTCTAGCCCATCCCTCTCCACAACTGATACGGAATCAAAATGAAGATCATCAAGCCGTGGCCTCCAACAAAGAGGCTCAGAGTAAAGCCTCTAGTAAAAAGAAACAATCCCCCTTCGCACCTCCTCCTCTGGGGCTTGATGACTCTTCTTTTAGAAGATGAAATGGGTTTAAGCCGGGGCTTGACCTATTGAATTAACCAAGTCTTCCACGTCATATATGCACTGAGCCAATTAGAAGAAAACAACTAGGACAGGTGGACCATGGTCTATGGCCAAATACCAATTAATCACGTGCTGCTATATATTTCCTCACTATCTTAGAGCCAGAAATGAATGGCCTTCCACTTTTCCTGATATCACATTTGATGTGAACCACATCACGCTCTCTCGTCAATATTGTTATTGGTTCCAATGCACATAATAATAGCTGGTTCTCTCTCATTTTAAGAAATGCTAAACTTCACCTCCAGTAGCATCAACCCCCTTTTTTTACCTTGGCAAGTTACTCGCACTCTCATTTTGTCTCTAGAGAGACTTGAACTATCGACCTTCCACTTTGGAAGATATAGAAGATACCATTAAGCAAAAGCCCTTGGTGGTAATAGTAACAACCCTCTAAATAGCATAGAAAAAGGAAAAAAATAATTGACCATTGTGGTTTCTAAAAATCCCTCAATATTGCACAATATTGGTAAAACTCAACAATATTGCACGAGAAAACAATTGTTTCTTTTTTCTTTCTTTTTGCTGCACCAAAGACCATCACAAATCTAAGCTACTGTCACATCATATGTCATTTGTGAGACAATGATAAAATGGATAATTGATATGAAAAGCAACTACATTGCATTTCCAAGTGTGCAATAAAGCTATTGTAATTCACACATGTCAACCTTAAACACCCTAGTACCATAATTTTCGTGTACAAAGTTCAGCAAGGAAAAAAAAGAGTTCTCGCTTGAAATTAGGATATCCAATACTCCTATAATCATTCAGCATAGAGAAAGAAACTGAGGGAACTAACCTCTAAAATAGCAATCACGGTATGACCACTCGTCGGACTATAGGACATTCGGACAACTGGAGCACCAATGTCAATAGAAGACATCTTGCTTCCCGTGTATGCATCAAATTCTGCGCATACAGATATTTTACATCATCAGAGAGATGTAAGCTTTACTCGAATTATTATTTTTAAATTATAGAACAGTGATGAAAATGAAGAAAATAGCCATACCGATGATGTAGCTCCCAACGGCAGCAGCAATGAGTGCCTGAGTGGGGTGGAATGCGGCGGCGTGAGGCTGCAGGGATTTGGAACTGCGACCGACATGCCGGAGATCCAGATGCTGCACCGTCGCCCACTCCATCGATCGTCTTCAGATTCGCCTACACACATACATATATATATTCTTCTCTATCAGATAACCACTTTTTAGAGAGAGTAGTTGTCATAAAACAAATTCAGATCAGATCAAGAAAGAGAGAGAAAGCAACAAACACAAATCTAATTCAAATCAGATCCGCAATTAATATATTGATTGAAGAAAATTCTGAATTTACCTGTGAAGAATGTTACAAAGGATCAAAGCTCATGTGGGAAAGAAATGATAATGTGGAAGATCAGAGAGACTGGAGAAAATTTTCAAGAACAGAGGACGAGTTGAAACTTGGGGATTGCAATGCGGAGACCAAAATAGAAAGGTGAAGTTTCTTATTAACCCGAATGCCTATTGGTGGACGCTCCAAGCCCGTCCTATTTTTGGGCTTAGTATTACTTAGGCCTGACCCAATGTGGTTAAGATCTATGGACTTTGAAGTAATTCAATAAAAATGCTTTTCAAAATAAATAACTAATGTTTAACAATCAAATAATGGGAAAAGCGACAAATAAATATCAATAAAATTATATCATTGTGGGTTCACTTATTTCCACCTTATCTATCAATATTTAGAAGGGTGTCCCAAATATTACCAAATTTATGGAAGTGTCAAGTATAATGGACCTATTTTAAAATAGAAAGTAATTAATTATTTGAAAAGATTTAGTCTCCTTTCTAAATTTCATCATAATCTAGTCTCTTTTTTGCCTATTAAAGTTTCAATTACCATATATCAAATTGTATATTTGTTTTATATATACATCACATTGCATCTATTTGTAAGGATACTTCACATTGCAGCTCCTATATATAATAAAATTGTGTATCCCTTTGTTATATATAAAAGATTGTGTCTTTGGTTATTAACGTACATCTATTATTTTGATAGACATTTATTAATTGTTATAATTATTAAAACTAATAATCTATCTGACACCCAAAAACAAAAATCAAGAAAAGAAATTTATAAAAAAAAAAAAAATGCAAAGCATTGAAAAATTATAGTACATTTTTGTTTTAGATTTTGTACAAATCAGATACGTTGTATAATATTTGAGTACCATGAAATTTGTGAAAACAAAAAGAAGATGATACCGTTATGAAAAACTAAAGATATAAAGAAAAAGGCTATAAAATGAAAAGATAAGAAAAGAAAAATTGACATATTTTATGGAAACAAATAAGAATAGTAATATCGTCTATTTTAAGTTGAAATTTTAGAATAACGACCTCATCTTTTTATACATGTCTACTTTAAAATTGTCAATAATAACATTTTCTATTATAAATTATATTTATCACCACACGGAATTGTCAAAATATTCAGTTTGAATCTGAATTAACTTATGAATGTTTGAATCTGAATTAACTTATGAATGTTGTGACCGTCGCCGTCTGTCACAACAAAGGGCACTGTTCTTAATATTTTCTTCTTTGTATTGTTCACTCATGTACTCGTTGATAAATCATATTAGTGGATCGATCTTTCAAGAATTGCAGCTCCAACACGACCAATTTGAACAGGCCACAACCCAAAATTGGGATTCCTATTTATTTCATACAGTGACTGTAAAAAATCCATGGGCTCTTTGGGCCTCAAAACGATGGTCCACTTTGGTCATGCTTAAGGAAGATTGGTTGCCATCTTCGTAAAAATTAATGGGCCCATTTGCTAAGTAACATTTCCAGCAATCCCTCATATTTAACTTTGGTCAAAATTATGATCAACTTTCCTTGAAATTTGGTCAAAATACAAATAGGTCTAGTTCGTCAATGTTTCGTTAGAATTTGTGATCTATTCAAACCTTTTATCTTAGCTTTTTAACCATAATCATATAAGTTATTCAATTAAATAAATAATTAAAGATTACGTGTAGTTATATTTAATTCACATATTAAATATACATTTAACACACAAGTGTTTGAATTTCCAAAAAAAAAAATATAATAAAAGGTCAAGAAATCCATTACATTCGCTGAAAGAAAGCAAAATGTGTGATGATTTTTATTAATAACAAACATAATATTATATCGTAAATATATAATATTGATACTGATACTAATAATTCTAATCCAAGCAGGGTTTAATATATGATATTCACAACAATCGAATTTTCGTCAAACTTAAACTTCTACACGTGCTCAAGGACGAACATTACTTGGGAACACAAGAAGCAATTCTTTAATTCAGATTTTTCTAGCTAGTACACAAAAAAAATAGGATTGTTGAGATGTAATTAAATCATATGTACGCTCATTGCAATCTCATATATTACATAATTTTCTACAAGTATTCTGATTTATTGGCAAAGAGGCCTAGAAATAGATTTTCCGGTTCAGGTGACTAATTGATCTGATCTTACAGTAATTCGAACTTGCTCACTCTCTTCAACTGCAACCTTACAATGCAAAGATTTCATAACTGAAGCTGATATAGTTCATATGTTAGCTTCGTCATATATGTATACATATATGTACGTATACATTTAACTCATTTAAGAATCGAGTATCTTCCATCAATTAAAGTTTTCCTTGTAGGGGTCCATGCAATTCAACTTGAAGAACAGCCATTAATGCTCTGCTTGTCCATATTGATTTCTTAATCACTCTATCGATCATATCTTTTCATATAGATTCTGAAGATAAAGACATATAGCTTCATATATATAGAATGTAGCGAAAATGACCATACACCATTCATTATTTATTTTCCTTCTTTTTTTCTTCATTTCAAGTACTGTATCTTTCTCCTCACTGGAAAATCGTGTAAAGAAGGACTTGCTTTCATTTTCTTACTCTTTTCACCCATAACGAGTTATGGTTTGATGCATGAGGTTGAGTTTATAGAAATTGAATCCAATCCCATTTATATAAGCTAACAAGCATATTATTATTATCGGTAAACGTATCGGTAAACGTACACGACGTTTACCGATAATAATAATATGCTTGTTAGCTTATATGATGAATATGTATATGGTTTATATATCTCTGTTGGAAACTTGGAATTTAGTGGTGAAAAAATATTATAAAAAATCTTTTTGAAAGTACTACAAATACACACATATAATGCTTATATTAAAATTATTTTAAAAAATGGTATATTATTTATAGGAAAAATTACGGATAAGCTAGTCCTACTTTTTTCTTCTAATAGTAAAAAAAAAAAAAAAAAAAAAAAAAAAAAGAAAAAAAAGAAAAAGAAAAAAACTATATGCAAATAAAAGGAATTACGCATTTTAAGTCCAAAATATTTTGCAAATTACCCTTAAAAACTGAAATAATTTATTTCTCAATGGTATCTATATGTATGTGTACATGCGTACGTTGTTTGCACTGCAAAAAAATGGTATCCGCGGTGGATAAGGCATAAATGCAATATTATGAAGTTGTATGTTTTGAAAAAGAGTTTGGCTTTTAATTAGAAATTAAGACTGAATCTGTGGTGACAAAAAGTGAATCAAGAGTTTGGCCTTTAATTAGAAAGACTGAATCTGTGGTGACAAAAACATTCCACTTGGAGAAAATTTGTTCTTTCATAGTCTCCCTCTCTTGGATGATGGTTAAGGATATACCATTGCAGATAAAACTTGTTAGAGTTTGTTTGAATGTATAATTTTTTATTTTCTTACCATTTAGATATCAAACTTGCTATATCATCATCCAATACAACCAAATTAAACTTCATGTATATATATATAGGCCTACGATTGAATTTTGATTCGAATCTATCCATTTACCTTCGAAATGAATGGAATATATATAAATAGCATTGCTTCACATAAATATCTCCACTTTTTATTTGCATTGCTTAGAGTATTTTTAGTAGGCTGTTAAAATACTCTTTTGTGTAAAATATATACTGGCCAATGTGTAATTGATACACTATCATACCACCTGTTACCCAATGATTGACTCTAAAGGGGGGGTGAATAAAGCCAATAGACAATTTTCGCAATTTATAGATTTACAATTTCTAATCAACCACTTAAGCAATTATACAATATTCAAGATATGAATGTAAACAATTAATAACACAATTGTAAAAGAGATAAAAGAAGAGAAATTGCAAATAATGACTCGGCGATTTTAGCGAGGTTCGGAAACTCCTACTCCTTGGCTCAAGACCCATCTTAAGACTTCCCAATACACTATGACTTTTCCTTACGGGTGGAGAACAAACCTTTACATGAAGCAACTCCTTACTTCGCCTTGCTAAGAGAACAACCTTCCCTTAGTCTTCTTTTGGGTCACACCAACCTGGTGGGTCAAACCAACCCCTTACAATTGATAATAATAAGAACAATAAAGTACAAGAAATATCTTTCAAAGATTGATGTACAAATTTAGCTCTCAACTAAAGTATATATGAATATCAATGAAGCTCAAACTCTATGAATGAAATGAATAAGAAAATATGAACTATATGAAGAATATAAGCTCTTATGAATTTAATAGAATCTCTCAATTGTATAATAGAGCAAAAACTCTATGAAGATTCAAACAAGAGCAAAAACCCTTTTAATCCTTATTAGAATCTCTCAAGATTAGTATATGAAAGAATGAGAGAGATTAGGAGAAAATGTGAGAACAAAAGTTTTCTTTGATACCTAATAAAGTCTCCCAAGTGTTGGCTCTCTTGCATGCCCACAATGTCCTTACATTGTGTATATATAGGTCCTTAGAAGAATATAACCGTTTAGGGGCATTATAGTAAGTTCCCAGGAGGTCAAATGGTCAAAATAGCCATTGGGAAGCTTCTGCCCATTCATCTAACCAGTTACAAGGCTTAAACTACTCGAGTAGATGAGATTTAGATCTCATCTAACTGGTTACAAGGATGTTCCTAACCGGTTACAACAGATGCATTTTGAAGTGACTCATTTTTGTCTCAGTGCAACTACTCGGTTACAAGAATTATCCTAACCGGTTACAAGATGTGATTATTTAGGACATGCTCTCTGTTTCGTTCATCTACTCGGTTAGAGGATGTTTCCTAACCGGTTACAAGATGGTTTTCACAAGATGTGTATTATGTCCATTCACCTACTCGGTTAGAGAGACCTTTCTAACCAGTTACATGGTCATCAGATTTTGGGGAAAGTGTTTTAGACAGTTCAACTGGACAGTTTTTTACAAGACATGTCTCTACAGTATTTATATGTCTATTTACTTTAAGTTTACAATGTAAATAAGGAAGTACCCCCATTTGGATTCAATAAAAAATATAAGAAAATTAAAATCCAACTAAATCAAAATGTAGAAATTCAGTTTTAATATAAATTTGGATTTCCGACAGTTTTGGTAAAAATGAATCCTCATGTAGACCAATGTAGAATGGATGAAAAAATCTCATAAAATCAGTTTAGGCTATTTGAAGTACAATGAGTTATTACCAGGAAAAATTATTTTAAAATAATCATTATTTCAAAAAACTATTTTTCACACTTAGCCATTTTTCATACTTAGCCAAAAACACAGTTTTTCATGACGCGCATTCAGGAGTCCTAATGTCCTTTACCAACTCATGGTAATCAAGGCTTCTTATGCTTTAATAGTTGACCAATATGAATCATAAGATTGATGTGCAAAGTCTTAGTATTTCTAGCACAAGTGATGAGTTCTTTCAAAGCTTAAACAAGCTTGAACTAACTCATTCTTTAACAATGACTTCATGTGCAAATATATATGTTTGAAGTGCATAATCTATTACTAATGAATATATGAATATATGAATGATAATGATGATATGCATGATCCTATAAATATAAATTTCAAATGGATTCATAAATACCTTGACATTGAATCCTAAATACTCACAAACCTATCTACTCCTTTCTTTATGCTTTGTCCATAATCGTTTAAATTTTGAGGTACTTTTGTTTTCTTCTTTTCTTTGAGTTGCTTGCTTACTCATTGTAATTCAAGCCATCTTTGGATGGACTTTGCATTTGGCTCCTTGCAACTTCAACTTTCTTTGTTTCAATTTTTTTCATTGATGTGATCTTGAATAATGGAATACTTTGAATGATCTTTATAACTTCATTGAGGTCATTATTTAAATGTGAATAATCTATATAACACTCAATGTAAACATTAGTACTTAAATACCATTAATGGCTTGTTATCATCAAAATATCTAGATTATCTTTGAATGAAATCCTTAAGGTCAACACCACTAATGTGTAAAATTATTGTATATTTTACACAACCTTTTCACATCAGCAGATTTCCTTTCTCCTCCCTCTTTCTCAGTCCATTAACAAATAAATATTAAAAAGATTTTTAAAAATTATGTAGGGTCCAGACATGATACTGGTTGGTTGTTATTGGGGAATATATTTTTACACAGCAGATATAAAATAACTATTGGAGCTAAAAATAAATAATTTAAATTTTTTGTATAAATCTATTATGACATAATATATATATATACGCGCGCGCGCAACAACAGCACTTGAAGATGCTCTTAATTTGTTATATGTTTTAACAAGTGGTCATTTTCAATAACTATACACTACTCTTAAATAAGTCAATAAATTAACTTTAATTAATCCAGTTAAGTATCATTACCCTTTTTTAAATATCTTGATACAGTGTTTCAAACTCTAAACATTGCTAGTGGTTTCAAAATCTAACCAAAACAAAAATGTTATGGAATTCAAAAAGTTAAATAAAATTGACAAATTTAATTGCGTGAGGTCATTTTATTGATCGGGGACATATAATCTTACCCAATTTTTTTTGGTAAGTAAAAGCGAAAAACTACCTAATAATTTGTCCAGGGATGCCGTCAATTGACAGCAAATTAATGCTAACAACTTGAAAGATAGGGGCATGCCGTATATTTTGGAGTGACACTTTTTAGAGATTCTTCAATCGGTGCATATAGCTCAAGCTTTCGCTTCCGAAGGAGACAACAACACAAAGATTCGAGGCTTCAGAATATATCGTTCTCACATATATTCACTCTTACACTGTCCGTTGACCGCAGCTAAAATGCGAAGCATGGCGAGCTCCGCCTCCTCTAGAGGCATTGCCGCCATTGTCGGCGTCGGCCCCAAGCTCGGCCGCTCCATCGCCCGCAAGTTCGCACACGAAGGCTACACCGTCGCCATCCTGGCCCGTGACCTAGGCACTCTCTTTCTCTCCCTCTGTTTAATTTCTCTCTCTCGCTACAATTATGTATGTCATTTTCATGATCGATTTGTATCTAATAACACTATACATGTACTAATATGCAATTATACACACTTACTTACAGAGAGATTGTCGAGATTCGCTGATGAGATAGCTCGAGAGGAGAAGGCACAGGTGTTCGCGATTCGAATCGATTGCTCCGACTCTCGCAGCATTCGAGAGGCGTTCGAGGGCGTTCTCTCTCTAGGGTTTGTGGAAGTACTCGTCTACAACGCCCACCAATCGGTCTCGCACCCCATCATCTCCACCGACATTAGCATCGATTCTTTCCAGAAATCCCTCGCCGTCTCCTCCATGGGCCCATTCCTCTGCGCCCAACAGGTTCTTCTTCTCCTCCTAGCTTTAAAGTACAATAAGTTCATTTTTATATCATTGCAGGTGTTGTTATTATTATTATTTTTTTCTTTTTTCGGAAATTATGTGTTATTTTTATTTGCTTCCCTTAATTTTATTGGTTTTGAGGGGGTAATTTGGGATTTTGGTTGATTGTTTGAATGTTGAAAGGTGCTTGGTGGCATGGTGGATAGAGGAAGAGGGACAATTCTCTTCACCGGCTGTTCTGCTTCTCTTAATGGCATTATTGGTTACTCTGAATTATGTAAGTAATTTTTAGTGTGTGTGTGTGTATATATATATATATATATTCAATTGATATTCTTTTTATTTTTATTTTTATTTTTCATTGTTATTTATTGGTTTGATTGTATATACAGGTTGTGGGAAGTTTGCTCTGAGAGCTTTATCACAGTGCTTGGCCAGAGAGTTCCAACCTCGGGGTGTACACGTGGCGCATGTTGTCATAGACGGCATAGTCGGCGCACCTCGGTAATTCCATTATGTCACTTTTCTTAATTTTTATTTTATTTTTTTATATTACTCGGATACAATCTCCATTACTTTTTGCTGCATGTATATCAATTTCATTTTGCTGTGGTTTTGATTTGTTCGGTTATTATTATTATAAAGATTATTATTATTATTTTATGATGAGTCCAAAATTTGATGTTTCTTCTGAGTGATCTGAGACCCCATTGAGTTCGCAGAAGTCTAGAAAAGTTACGAGATATCCATTACCAATTTTGCTGTAGGCCTCTCAGATTATGCGCCTAGTATAGTTATACGTAGAGTTTTAATTCGCTGTAATTATATGTTTATATATATATATATATCTATATAGAAGATTTATATATTGAAATCTATATCTATCAGATCACGGCTTCATGTACCAAATATTTCCATATCGACGCATCTGATAGTTTTGTTCCTACATGGATGCGAGAAAGAGACTTTCATTTCCAGTCTCCTATTTATTTTATTGAATATTGTATTGAGTATTTAATTTAAGGAAAAACTAAGAAATTCTCTCTTTTTCTAACAGATAAAAATAAATAAAAAAATATTCGAAGTGTCTTTCTTGCTTCGACCCCCGGAAAGATAGACCCGGGGTTTTAGATTCATCTGAAGGAAAAGAGCTGTAATTATTCAGCTGCCGAAACTATTTGTGTTAGAAAGAGGCCCGACTTTTCGTTTGAAATCGAACTAGTACTATTTCCTTAAAAAAAATAATTATTATTATTATAAAATATTTATGGGATATTTTTCTTTATATTTAGTCTTAATATATATACATTGAAGAAAATTCAAACAAAAAAACAAATGAGAAAATTGTTTCTTAAAATAATAAGGATGGGAAAACTGGTATGAGAAAGAATATGATAAGCTACATGTTTAAAAAAATACATAGTAAATTTAAAACATGGTTAAAGAATCAAATTTTTTTCGAAAATTGTTTTAAATTTTTCAAATTTTAAAATGTTAGGTGAAAATAATTTCTACTTTTGTTTCCACCTTTGAAAACGATATCATTATATACTTTGATGGACGATTAAAAAAAAAAAAAAAAGGTACAATTTTAAACAAAAACAAATATAAGGAAAACATATTATTATCAGAAGTAGCTGTTGGAATTTATTTTTCAGCAAGTGACAATTCAAAATATTTGCACATGTGATAAAAAATTTTTTTAATTCCCCTGGAGCCTCTTTAAGTCCTTCCATGGATATTACACGTGTCATGTCTCTATGTATATATGGATGAAATGTTAACATATTTTAATAAAGACTACCTTAATAATAAATTTACTTTTTTGTTTAACAAGATTTGGACCTTCAAAAGTAAGAACTCTAGGGAAAAAAAAAATATTCAAAGTTGAAATTGAATGCAGTGTTGAAGGACGTACAAGTTTCACGTTAAAGGTCACTTAATAATGAAAATCAGAAAATGCTTCTCAACAAAAAAATATATATATATATATATGTAGTTAGTCGATTAATTAATCAATGAAAAATAATCAAAGAAACATTGTATGAAATAATGTTTGTACTAGTTAATTACTTACCACTATTTTTGATAAATTATTAAATGGTTCTGATCATCGTATTCCAGTATAATAAAATTTGACATAAAGTTTAATATATATATATATATATATAAATGTGTATCTCCATTATTACTTATGTTAGACCAATTTTAACTTATGTATTTGATTCCCAAATTTGATAGTTGTGTGAAAATGTAACAGGAGAACATCAACATCCCAGTCGCAGCAAAGATTGTTGGTTGAGGAACACCAAGGAGGCGGAGGAGGAGGAGGAGATGGGTCTATGGACCCAGACTCGCTGGCTCAGTCGTACTGGTACTTGCACAATCAGGACCGATCTGCTTGGACCCAAGAGATCGATCTTCGTCCCTCCATTCCAACACTCAACTAGTTCTACATATATATTTCTTTCCTTAATTAACTGCTTCATATCATCTTTTATATATATATATATATATTATCATTGTTGTTGCTTTATAAAGTTTCATTACAACACTACTTCTCTTTATTATGTCTGGGTGTGTGGTTGTAATATTTTAGGGCTTGAATGGATTCCATTTTGTGTATAATATCTACTGTATATTACAGATTGAGTAAAGGCTATTTAAGAGTCTTTTTACAACTAGAGTCGTGAACTATCTTGTTGACTATTGAATTTAATAATTTATTTAAAAAATTATTTTACTTTTGTCTTATCTTAGAACCAAACTTTCTAAGACTGTAATTTTTAATAATAATAATAATTATTATTATTATTAGGGAAAATTACATATAAATGGAGCCAAAGTTCCATATTTACTTAGAGGCTGAGTTAAAGTTCCATATTTCTCTAAAATGGATTGCTGAGGTGGCACATGGTTTTTTACTGTTTAGAAATTGTAGTGCCTAAAATACCCTTCTGCGAAGGTACTACTTTTTCTTCGAAGGTACTACTTTTTTGAACTGAAGGTACTACTTTTTGGTGTCCAGGTACCATGTTTTTAAACACCCGCGAAGGTACTATTTTTTCTCCGAAGGTACTACTTTTTTGAACTGAAGGTACTACTTTTTTGAACTGAAGGTACTACTTTTTTGTTAGGGAAGGGCATTTTAGGCACTACAATTTTCTAAACAGTAAAAAACCATGTGCCACCTCAGCAATCCATTTTAGAGAAATATGGAACTTTGACTCAGTCTCTAAGTAAATATGGAACTTTAACTCCATTTATATGTAATTTTCCCTTATTATTATAATATTTTGGAATGAATTTCAAATACTATGTATACTCTTCTAAGGTGAGTCCACATAAATTTTAATTGTTTTTATAACTTTAAGACAAGTAGGGTAAATTAAGAATATTAAAAAAATAATACATTAAATTTTAAATTGGGACAATTATTTTGAGACACTCACAAAAAAAAAAAATGGAACCGTTTTGAGGGACGAAAAAGTATTAGTAAAATAATCGACAAAGATATTTTATACTAGAACTGAATAACTTCTTTTTTTCGAAAGGTGAACTGGCTTAATAACCTTACATGACTCCAACTGGTATATTATTTATGATTGAAATAACTTTACATGACTCCAATTGATATATTATTTATGATTGAATTAATAATCAATGAGTGAGAATAGAAAGAGAAAAGTGGAGAACAAAAATAAAATATAACACTCTATCTCACTAAAAATCTGTTAATATTTAATATAAATTCTTTACATGTTATAAATCATACTCATAAACATTGTATGACATTGAAAATTCATATGACGCAAAATGAAAATGGATGAAAATCTAATCAATTTAAGAGGTGTAAGAAAAGTGCGTGGCTAGGAAGGGGATGGAGTTGCATGGATATGTAAAAGGATTCGTGTTCGAATTAAGGACACACAAGTTGGATGTACTTGAATCTGAATCTCTCTTAAAAAGTTCTTCACACAGAGAATTACATGTGTGTGTGTGAGAAAGAGAGAGAGCTCTTTTCATGTTGACTTTGTCAAAAAGGCTAATATTGTGTCAGCTTGGTATTACCTTCGTGGGACAACAATGGGCCATACACCATGACTAGTCCTCCTCTGAACGACACCATGACGTTGTCTAAAGTCATCTTCCAACTCTCAAATTTAATGACCACTCATAAGATGAAAATATCTTCATCAATCACCCCCTTCTTTATTTTTTTCAATAAAGAGTTTTTGAAATTTAACTGATATATTTTATAAACTTGAGTTTTTATTGATTTTACTCCTAACCAACTCTTGCTAACTAATTATTTGTAATTTGATAATAAAAAACAAACTTTTCTAAGTACTTAAATATTATTTAATAGATTAAAATAGAAAAAAATTATAATGTCGACTCCTACCGACTTTTTAAATTCATTCAATTTTCACTGATAGTTTTTCTGTCACAATTATTTTAATAAGACATCTATAATAATTAGTTTCGGATCATGTTTTTCAAAAATGTATGTATGGCTAAAAACAAATCGTCCTTTAATTCAAGTCAAATTTGAATGGATTTTTTAATACTCCGTAATACAATAAGCTAAGCCTTATTTGATTATCCCACAAGTAATTGTCTCTTTTATGAATAAGATATATTGTTAAAATAAATCTTTTAAAAGTGAAACCACAATTAAAAGTGCATTTGATTGATTCAATATAAATGAAATAAAGAAATTCCAAAGGCAACATTATAGCGGTATGGTTCATTCGACTTAAATTGAAAAAATATTTTTCATAATTAATTTTTTTGTACGGGCGCAGTTGTCCGTACCCATTACCAGCTCTGAATTTGACGCCAAAAAGGACTTGGATAGGAAAGGTGTTTAAACTTCGTTCCCTTACGACTGTCACTTGCGCTCTTTCCAAACGGATGCAGTTTTACACTTTCACTATGTTTCCCTAGTCTCTCTATCGGACGAGGAGTGCTAACTATAGTTGTGCGTACACTCTTTTTTTACGGTCGCAATTTTTTTTATCACAATTTTTATAATTTCAGGTCCGTTTATGAGATGTCTTCTATTTTTATGAAAATTAAAAATATAAAATTTTAAGACAAAATTACCTTTTAACCTTTTCTTATCTCTCTCTTCAATTTTATCTTTTATATCAATAACATTCTAGATTAGCAAAAAAAAAAAAAAACCAATATATTATTTTATTTATTTTTTTTTTTATTGCCAAAACAAATAATATTATGAGAATAGATTATTTTATATCTTTTTTTTTAAATTATATTTTAACTATATATATGTGTGTGCGCTATGTATGAATTTACGTTCAATTCACTTAATTGATGTACATGTATATATATGTATGTAAATAACTAACTTCATATACTTATAAGTTTTTTATTTCTATTTTTTTTCTCTCCTCACTTAATCAATGTACATGTACATGTGTGTATATATATATATATATATATATATATATATGTATGTATGTATAAGAAATTTTTTTTCTTTTTTTTCATTTTAGAGCACGTATATATATAGTTAAAATATAATTTAAAATAAAGAAATAAAATAATCAATTCTCATAATGGTACTCGTTTTGGCAAATTCAAAAAGAAAGAAATAATATATTCATATTTATATATACTACCTATATATGTGCATGTGACTGTTTATATATATGTATATAGGATAAAAATAAAAGGAGAAATATAAGAAAAGGTTAAAAGACAATTTTGTCTTAAAAATTTATATTTTTAATTTTCATAAAGGCAGGGGACATCTCATACATATGACTAATAAGAAATGCAGCTGTGGAAGGGCAGTCGCAATCGCGATTGCAATTAGCACTCCTCCTTTCAAACTATTGGGAATATTTTTAAAAAAAATTAATTAAATTGTATTTATGATGGTTTGTTGTGAATATTACTGTATTTTTCACTAATCAAAGTATGTTTGTACCAGTTCCCTAGTTGGAAGGAGTGTTGGTGGGAGAGACATGGTGTTTGTATTCTGATTTTTTTTTTTTTTTTTTTTCTTTGGGTGTTAATAGAATGATGCTTAGGAAATCTCTCTTTCATATATATATATAGCGTAAGAAACAACCCTTTCTTAAAAAAGTACATATAAATCTCCAATCTCCAGATGGCTGAGCACAAGAGAAAAATTGACGATGAGGGGCCTGTTAAGAGGGCCTTCCACTCCCACAAAACGGGCTTCTAAACCCACAAAGCCCGTTTGACAATAATTTAACTTGCTAGTTCTTTGTACATGTAACATTCACAAAGGTCCTGAATCTATGATATACAACGGATAAATGTAATTTTCTATAATGGAAAGGTAATAATTATACAAGGTGACATAAATCTTAATAGCAAAACAAAAAATCAAGAGTTCAAATTTAGAGGCAAAACAATGAAAAATTGAGTAAGAGATCTCTTTTGATTAAAAGATACCAAAACACAGCAGATGATACAGGGCAATTGCTGACAGGCCAGACCAGTCTCATATATCAGGAAATCAGGTATAAAAGTCCAATAACCAGTTGAGAAATGTTCTCACCTGCAATCATACACAAATTTAACTACAAATTTACAGTGGGACGCAAAGGAGCATGGGCTTCATCACTGACATAGCACAACATTTGCAAATCCAATCCTGCCCCTATGGTAATGGTGCAGACAAGCTTGTGCCGTGAACCTGATACTAGTCCAAAATATGAACCTTGCTGCCATAGTTGAACTTGATGAAAAGCTCTGGAAAAATGAAGGCCTGAGGAGTGTCATCAACACCTCTTGCCCACATCTTTATTGGCTGTTGCAGCACAAAGTAACAAGAAATTTGGACAACCGTGTATTATCGAGTCTTTGTAAGTGACCTGCTAGAAACACCATGCAACAGTTTGACAAACCCAAGGAAACTCAGCTTTCCATCCGTGTGCCTAATCCAGTCATGCAGCACGGCATGAACAGGGACAGATGGGCTAAGGCCTAGCTCCTGAAATGAATTTCCAGGATATCATATATTAGTCAAGGTTTGTGTTCCCTAACATCATGAATTCAAACTTAACTGATCTACACAAGAAAACATAAAAACAAGATGTACTGTTTCCACCCCTTGGACCATTAAAAAGAAAAAAGGAACTCCTACATTTGCATTTCAATTATAAAAAATTAAAAAATAATAAAAATTCTTTACTGCCTGGGAACAAGAAACCAACTTACCGAAGCCAGTTCATCAATCACAATAGCCCTGTTTCCATCCTTCTCAAAAAGTTCATAGGCACAACGAGCATGTTGCTCCCATCGATCAAGAGCCTCAAGCTGATGGACACTTAATGAAGCAGCACAGAATTCCTCAAAATCCATCCTTCTGTATTGGAGTGCATTAAGCTGTCATAGAAGGAATTGAAATTAGTTTACTACTAAAATGTCAGAACACCATAAAACACTTAACAATTGCCACATCTATCACAGCAGTCAAAGCACGTACTGATGCTAAAAAATCATGGACACAGGATTCTTTCATAGCATCCGTAGCATTTCTCATCAAGACCTGACCAGATAAAAAATGTTGAGAGCAACCTTCACATCAGATCAGTCACAGTAACAAAATTTAACATTCTGCAAGAAACCAACCGCTTTGATATTTTCCAAGCTTATCGTGCCATTTTTGCTCGGTTCCAATAGGGCAAACTGCTCCTTCAAATAAGATAACTCATCGACTGTCAATGTTTTAGACAGAGCCTGCCAAGTGCCAACAAAAAGATAAAGAAAAAGGGGGGAAAAAAATTAGAATGCGCATACTAAGAAGACACCAAAATTGAACACAGAACAAGAAGATTCATAGTAAGATTACCAAATACCGTGTCTGGTACAGACTTATAGGAAGAATAGTTTCTAATGGTCAAGAGATATATATCTCAGAGCCTAATTGGGGAATCCATGCTTGCAGATCACTTTCATCATACAAAAATAATAATAATAAAATAAATAAAAATAATAATAATCTGTGGCAGCGGACAACCAAGCCACTTAAAATTCCCTCTGTCAAGCAAAAACTTGGGAGGATTCCTGAAAAAAGTCCAGATCAAGAGAATGGCCCATGCCAGTCTGACCCATACCTGCAAACACATCCACTCCCATTCTTCTTCTTTCTTTTTCCCTTATTGGTAAGACGCACTCATGCTCCCACTTTATCCTAGTTGGGACTTGAACCCTCAACCTCCTTTTTGGAAGGTGGAGGAGATACTAAGACAAACGCTTGGTGGTCATCAATATGCTTTGTTTATTAAGCTCTTAATAATGCTCACTAACTACCAGCAAACCACTTCTAGCATTCCTTCAGATGCAATAACTTAACCACAAGAGCATGTGATGGTTCAAAGGTAACTCAACATTGATGTCCGACAAAATTATATGGCAAACTGTCTCTTGATTATAAAATTAATAAATAATAACTATTATTATTTAAAAAAAGAAAAACTGTAACAACAACTGAACAGCACTCCTGTATTTTCCCAAGCCACAATAAGGAGGAGCATTCACAGAACAAAGAGAGAGAAGGGCCTCATTTGATTAAGAGAACAAAAAAAAATAAAGGGGACCCATAAGTATCTTCAATTAGGACTTGTCAGAGAACATAAAAATTGCGCCTTTGAATGTACTTTGTGAGTAGCATCTAGCAGAGCTTCATTTTTATTCTCTATTGCATATTAAAGGAGCACACTCAATATGCTTTGTTTTCACTATTTCTCATTCAAAATGATCAAATAGTTCTCCTAAACACAAACGCGTGAACATTTGATGCCAATGAACACACTAACATATTTGTCAATTGAATTTGTGGGATCATAAACCAAGTATCCATGAACTTGCAGGTGCATAGTGGTGATTCTTCACTTAATTTCATGTACACACAACCAATAGAGGAACTTAAAATAAAAAATAAAAAATAAAAATCGATACCAAGATTTTTAGCATCATTTACGCACCCGTAAAGCAGCTTTCCGAAGAGAAGATGAACGCATATAGACCTTCATGAGTTTGAAAATCAGTATATCCACGGGTGCTTTTATGTCGTCATTATTTTTAATCCATGGATGACCTATAATAGAAGCATTTTAAGTAGCTTCTCGGGAATATGTAGAAAAAAGAAAAAAAAAAAAAAAATCAGAACCTTCAATAAAGGTTTGGACACTCACTTAGGGCTTGAGCAGCAGTCATTCTTTTCCGCGGGTCCTTATTCAGTAGGCGTTTCACAAAGTCCTTTGCCTCGGAAGACAGAGAAGTCCAAGGTGGTTCATCAAAACAAGGATCGGCTTTAAGAACGGCCCTAAATATTCCAGACTCAGTTCTAGCCCAAAATGGACGGCTGCCACACAACAGAATATATGCTATAACACCTATACTCCATACATCAGCCTCCGTACTGTAAGATCTGTGTAAAACTTCAGGGGCGACATAGTATGCGCTGCCCACAATGTCATTAAGCCTTTCGTCTGCAAACCATTTGAAACACTAAAAGTAATTAACTAATTCCCAGAGCTATTTAGACAAAGAGCCCACAATACTACATGTGAATTGAAGAAACAAGGACAAACCTGGCTTCACAAAATCTGACAAACCAAAATCAATGGCCTTTAGTTGTGAGTTTTCATCCTTGGACGTAAACAAGAAATTCTGATCCAGCAATTAGCTACAGTTAGGTAAAAACAAATATAGGAAAGAGAGATAGTTGCAAATACCACAAAGTAAAAAAGAAAATGCACATTTATTGTTTTACAAATACTGCTGAAAATGAATCATGATCATCTAGTAAATAACTAACGTCAACACTCAACAGAGAAAATCTTCTTTATCATGCATCAAACATTTCAGGTCACGAAAAAGTTTTAAAATAGTAATTCAGGAATTTTTTTTAATAATAATAATAAAAAGAAAATTATGTTTTTGACTTTGAGGGAAGAGGATACAGCTGCAAATATGATTAGAATCTCCACCTTTCAATACAAAAAATGGCAGCAAATATAAATCCTCAATATAGTGACTTTTACCAATTTTATTGGGGGTATTCAGATCTATATTATTACTTAAATAGCATGTCTAATAAACAAAAAGTAGGATATACCACTTTTATTTATAAAAAAAAAAAAAAAGAGTTAAGAGCTCAGATGATTTTCATGTTCTCAATTTTCTTATAAGAATGCATATCACTCTGCTAATGGAATAAAAAAATAAAAAATAAAAGCTTCTATATATGATTTGTTTAACCAATCAGTTTGGTCCTAGTTGCATGGTCATTTAGATGATTCTTAAATTTAGACAGTATGAATCATGATCTTTCAACCTCTTGCGCAAAAAAGCTCAACCCAACTCAACAAAGCCATTTCCCAACAGCTTGGAGTCGACTACACAACTCCTATATTTTAATTCTACTCTAAGCTGATAGTCGTAGTTAAACCAAATGTTATCATATCTTTCCTGACTAACTCTACCCATCTTAATTTTGGTCTTTCCTGACCAAAAGGGTTTAAGATAAGTAGAAATAAAACTAAATATATGGTTAGTTTAGTAAATCTAGAAATACAAATGAGGATGTAGTGATGATTGAGAATCAAGAGGGACAAAAAGCGAACATTTTTGCAATTTAGTAAGAAGGATATGATGGCTTGTGGATTGACTAAGGCAATGGCCTTTATATAGAACAGAATGGAAACACATGATTCATGTAGCCGACCCCAAGTAGTTGGGAAAAAGGCTTAATGCACAGACAAGTAATGCAAGCTAGAGAATGATTCCCACCTCTGGTTTAAGATCCCGGTGTACCACACCCTGGAGATGGCAAAATGCAACAACATTCAAAATTTGTACCATGACAACTTTTGCATCATCTTCCGAGTATTTCCCACCCCTACAAGGCAAAAGGGATAACTATTTCATATACTATTAATTTCCAACCAAGCTTCCTTACCTTAAATTTTCTATTTTCTGGTCCACCAGTAGCATCCAAAATTTAAAAGATCCAAAAGTTACGGTATTTAAGTATAGCTAACACAAAAAGCATACCTTGAGAGTATTCTATCCAAAAGCTCCCCACCTTCACATAACCTGAAAAATGCATGAGAATTCATTAAAGCCCATTACAAGTAAAATTTAGAACAAGCAAGCAGTGTAACTTACCACCTGATTTTAATCTCATAATCTGATAACATATACAAACAAATTATATCCATAAAGTTGTTAAACATCAACAATAGCACCATAGCTCAAACAAAAATTCACGCTAGTTGCCCTTTAACTAATTAACAGATGCAAATTTTATCACTGCATAGATTATTAAATCCAACAAAACATGGTATATGGTCAATATTTATGAGAAACTCAAATGAAGTATCGAGATAAAAAGTTAATCCATTACAAAATTCAAATGTAGTGTTGAGATCAAAACTTACTCCATCACAACATAGACGTTATCATGGTCTTCATATGCATCATAAAATTGTACAAGGTTGTTATGCCCTGTCAAAGCTCTCAATATTTTTACTTCACGTCTCACATCTTCAATGGCTATAGCAGTGGTCATCTAATTGTAAAAAATAAACCAAAAGGAATAATTAGCAAATAAGATATAACAAACCCAATTTAAAGAGTATGAAACTTTGAAATGATACAAGCCATGTAAATATAACAAGAAACTGAAAAACCTTGTCATGATTCTACCAGAGATAGAAATATCAAAAAATAAAAATAAAAATAAAAATAAAATTAAAGGAAATATAGTTTGGTACATGGTTGTCAAAATTCTTTTCCAGATCCTAGGATCAAATGATTTTACTATCCAAAAATATTAAAATGATCCGGATTGTACAAAAAAGGCTAGGATGGTAGAATCCTTGTTTAATCCTTATAGGATTGCTCGTATTGCAAAATTCTAACCTGACTCTCAATCATGTTATTCGGCCTTAGAACCTTGCATGCATTTTTTATAAGTCGGTGACCAAGGACCAAATAATAGTATAGAGCAAAAATCTACGCCCACTTAGATGCCCTAAATAAGACAATTATGTGAAAGATTTCATCTCATTTTAAGTCTACAACGGTAATTCAAGGCTGATGTAGGTCATTCAACTCCTTATTTTAACTAGTATGTGTTTAGTGCTTCTTCCTTACCCCCTCCCCCCTCCTCCAAAACCCTTTTCCCATTTTGTTGGTTAATTCACCATGATACATATTGAGAAAGGATATATGTTTGCTTCAAATTTTCGGCTTTATGCAAATCAACCTGCCTCTCTCTCCCCCTCCCTCTAAAACTTGATAAGTTTTCTCAAACCAATTGATATCTCATCCACACAGAGCCTAGCGTTCCCTTTAATTGTTTTCCAAGGTCATGCCTCTGGCCCTCTACTAAAGTCTTCTTCGGCTGAGTGGTCCGAAGATTTCAAAATAGTATTTCTTCTCAAGTAAATTGAATATTTTCATGCTAAATCACATCGCTGATAAAAGATTATTGATGACTTATGCATTTTTTCCATCTTAAGGTCATTGCTAGAGCTAGTAAACTATTTTTTTTTTCTTAGGTCATGCTTAAATTCCCTACAACATTAGTAGGGAAGACTTGTAAAATCTTATGTGCCCCAAGGCCCCCAACTGTCTGTCTGATTCATTTATATCTTTATGAGTTTAATTATTTTCATTATGCGTTTATCACAATCCTTAAGAAGCAAAAATACTGTTAGGCATTAGATTTCTCATATTGTAGAACTACAATGATCGACCCAATTCTACAATTCAATCCCAAAGAACCATTTCCTTCCTCTCCAGTCAATCCAATGTAGAATCTCAAATTCAAAACCCTTGGTTTAGAATAAAAAATCAAACTACCACAAAGAAGACACCAATTCAAAGATTCCATACCATAAAAGAAATACAGCATCCTAAATTGAACTCAATATACTTCCACCAGAATTAAAATAACTGTTAATCTTATAACCAATTTAGTTCAACTGCGAATATGTCACAACAATATATATGTATATTGACCATAGTATCTTCCAAGGATTCTTTTCTCAGCTTTAAAAATAGTATCCTACCAATATCTCAGATTATATCTGAACAGCGATAAATTGACCCATTTATTTCCCTACAATTTCATTATTCTTCTAGATTCAATTCTTATAGTATTTTTAGCGGATAAAAGTCACCAAAGCCTGTCACACAGAGTATCCCCAAGCAGAGTCAACAAATTTAATAGGTAAATAGTTGAGAGCCTTTGCTTGCAGTCTCCAAAATACTTGTCCCCTTGTCCCAGGATAGCCTCTTTACCAAAATAAATGTAAGCATTGCTGTACCCCCAACAATACAAACATGCTTCGAGACATTAATTCGAGAAGGAAGTTCTCTCAAAGTAGTGGATGACTTTATAGGTTTGTGGATACCATAGCAGGGACTTCAACTGGTTCTATTCTCTAGAATTCTAATACTCATCGTGACAAATCTGTCCATAAGACAAACATATATTGGGTTTACCATGAACTGCATCAACTCGCCTCCCTGTAAATCCATTAACACAAGCCCGCCACCACCAAAGGTCTGTCGTCCTGATTATCAACTAAGTAGAAATTTAAATAGTCATAGGCATAAATCTTTAAGCATCTCTCAACTTATCCCAATGAATGTTCCTAAAGATATGTGAACATTCAAGCGTTGCATAGGTGCAAACACATATATATTGGAAGATCTTATAGTAAAATTAAATAAAAATAAAAATAAAAAGAAGAAGAAATTGTGTTTTCATCACATGATCGTTAGTTTATAAGACCAAAATTAGTGTCTCCTCACAGATCCGAGGTCTATATGGTCAAGATATTCAGTTTAAAATTTAAATTTAATTCCAACATAACAAAATAACTTAGACGATAAATGGTTTGTTTGATCTAAGATATCAAGCACTTGAGTATGAAAATGCCGAACCTTTGCTTTTGGGATGACTTTGACCGCAACCTCTTGTCGCTTAAGCTCACCCTTCTTGAACTTGGCCTTACAAGTGTACCCAAAATGGCCCCTTCCCACCTCGTCTCCGAGTTCATACTTGTTCCCGAAATGCTTAGAAAACCCAAAACTCTTATCTAATCCGGCGACCCCGCCCTCCACCTCATTCCCCTCCGGTATCGCCGCCTCATTCGGCTTCACCGAGCCGTGCCGCCTCGCCAACAGCGCCCGAATATGCTTCGCAGGCGACGGCGGTGGAAATGGCCGCTTGATGAACCGCTTCGGCGTCGAGTTCGAGCTCACATTCGCCGGAGATCTCGCCGGAGACTTCTTCGAGAACAAGTAGTGTGCAGGACTCGGACTGTAAAACGGAAAGAAGGGCGATTTTTTACCTACCTCAACTTCTTCCTTCTTCTTCTCTCCCTCATTTTTGGGGTTTTCGCCATTATGAACCGATTTTGAGCTGTCCCTCGCCGGGGTAGTGCCATTGTTGTTCTTCACTGGTTGACGATCACCGGAGATATTTTTTGGTTCAAGGGAGGGTTTGGAAGTGCAGAGACCCATAGTGGTCACTGATTACCTACCTTCCCTCAAACACAGCCAAATTGAAACCCTAGAGATAGAACATTAGGTGATGATTTGATTTGATTTAAATTGAATGTATCACACACATTTGAAATTGCTATTTCAATTTTGTCTGTGGTGGTTGAGAGCCCTAGAGTAATGAGAATGGTGTTGTAGAGAGAGAGAGAGAGAGAGAGAGAGGTGTGGGGATCTGTAGAAGGTGATAAAAAGGAAACGACGTTAAGTTCGCTTTTGTCGAAGCCAACGGATTTAATTGATGAGTGTCCTAATTGAGTTGAAAGGATAGATGAGAATTATAAAAACTAAATTTAAAGGTCATCAATGTTGGCTGGTACAGTCAGTACAGTTAATGTTTCATGTGGCAACAATTGATTTGGTTGATTGATTTCTTTTCTTATTTAATATTTTAGTTGTGCATAATTAATACTACTACTATAGTTTAGTACTATTAAGATTTGGGTTTAGTGCTTTGATTATGGGGATGGTATAAGAAGACGAAATTACCCCTGTATTTGTCCCATTTGTTTGGCCAAACAATCTGGACAGTCAATGCACATTTTACTCGCCTTTTTCCCTTTTGCCCTTTTTGAGATTGGAGAAATATAGATTCAAATGTTTGATTATCCACATGGCACATTTCAATTTGAAATTGTCTCTCGAAATAAATAAAAAAAAGTTTTTATTTTTATTTTTATTTTTTCGAAGAAAGAAAAAAGGTTTTATTGAGTTATTGCAGTCTCTACATATTATAAGATTATTTTAAGAGAGGAGCTTCCATATACCTAAATTTTGACATTGTGTGTCAAAGAGGTAATCTTCACTCCACTCAACTTCAAGCCGTCCACGATATTATAGTCCTAACTACTAAATTTTTGTAGTTGACAAATGCTTTTGGTATTTAATTGAATAACTGAAAATTTTGCCTCTCTAACCTCGAACACGAAGACTATTCAATTGTGTGTTGAATCTTTAATTTATTGAAGAAGGAATACGTTCACACTGTAATATAGTAAATATTTACGCGTTTTAGCTTTCTTCTTAATTGTTGATTTTTTTTTTTTTAAGAACTAACACGACACACATACTCGGAAAGTTAAACGCTCTACTAGTAAAGACCCTTTTTTTTTTCCTTAATATTTCATCAACTTGAGCTAATTGAATTTTTTGACAGCCAACTCAAGATTGCTCCGCAATTTGAGTAGATCGAGTCTTCTTGGCGCCAAAAGTAGGTAAATTATTATATATAAACCAAAGATTGATGACTTCATGTATGATGCATTCATAGTTTTCTTGCCCAGAAAGATTGACGAGAAGAACAAAAGAATGAAGATGTGAATTAAACAAAAAACTGTCAAATGTAATGCATGAGAAAAGCATGTACATGTAAGAGATGACGTTTAGATATCACTTCTCAGCCTATCAAAATTACCAATTGACACCTGACTTGATCTTGTCAAATTACACAAGTAACACAACTAAGCGCGTGTTGAAATTTTTGATTGCTTGCACTAAAAGATTTTGATTTCCAGAAAAACAATTCTATAATGTAACAGGATTTAATGGCAGGTGTATAGTTGTGTTAGGGAGGGAAAGTTGAAAAAATTAAAAAGAGGTGTAATCAGGTATGATATCAATCATACATTTTGATAGAAAAAGGTGGTGGGTTATGAGTGTTTAAGGAGTTCTACCAAAAAATAATAGTAATAAAATGGTAAATTATATTGAGTCTTCAAAAGTTTTTGACAAATTACACATTATTTGTTTATTATTTTAACTTTGCTTAAACTCATTTGCAGTTGTCAGATATCCAAAAGGTGATTTTGAGTGTAAAAACTCAATAATGTTTTTAATTTCATACAAGGGAAAGACGAGATTTTCATATTGAGAAAAGGCAAGATTGTTGTTATATAAAATTTTATCAACAAGTTTGTTGGAAGGAAAATCTTAAGATGTTGAGCACATATGTCAAATTTCGTGGGAGGTCAAAATAATTTGTGGAACAGTTTACCAGTGTGTAATTCACTCGAATCTCGGAAGAGATCATTGTAATTTACCGTACAGACAACATTATCTGTAGCTAGTGTTAGGTTAATGGTAATCACAAACCTCAATATTTCAGATTTAATTTTATTCAGTAATTTTGTTCAAATTGTGAGTGATATTTTGTTGATTAAAAAAAACATATCTGCTTTATATATATATTTATATATAATTTAATGCATGTCATCCTTAATCTTGACATTTGTACTGGGTTTCAAATTGTTTGCCATGGCAGCTACAAAGTGGCAAGCATGATTTTTTCTTCCATCACTTTCTGTTTTCACATTATTATTATTATTATTATTTAAAAAAAGAAAGGAGATAATGAGGAGTAGGGGGGAAAGTGTTTTGCATCATAATGAATAGTTCCAAAAGTTCACAAACCAAAATCATTCATATTTCTTGCAACCCACTCAAATCGTAGCATTCATAATTGAGCTCCCCACTCATAGGTCGCACGTGATAAACCACACGCACATATATATGCAATCTAATTATTTTCATCCGATGTCCTTAATTAAGGTATTTAGGGTCATTTGATAACCGCTTTTGCTTTGATCCTAAGTAGTAGTAATGTTTCTGTTTTAGGGTATGTTTAACACTATTTGGAAATTTGTTTATTAATATAAATTTGTTGTAAGATTTTTTAAAACAAAAAGATGAAAAAATGTTTAGTAAAAAGTATTGCAAGTTAAAAAAATTGAATGGCTAGTTAAAAATGTAATTTTAGAAAAGATTTATTTTTATTTTTTTGAACAGTGTTACACGGAAGTAAACAAAAGTATCATTTTTATACTTCAGATTTTTGCTCAGTTTCGAAAGACTATTTAAATGACAATAAATGTTACTAAACACGCGCGTTTTGTACTTTTGTTTCGTTACAATATACTAATAAAAACAAAAAACATGAAATAAAAACATTAATCGAACAACTTCTTAATATTTTAAATTATTTTAATCTAAAGTTCAAACAACCTAGCATACTTTTAACAAAATTGTCCTCGTTCAACAAAAAAAATATACTGTTCAAATGGCTCTTCCTCGCAAGATTTGTCACAGATATGAGTTAGAGTGAGTTGAACCGTTATCATAGCATGTTCACAAAATATATAATAATTGTTGTCTATTTGTTCCTTCAGCCGTCCAAGCCATTTTTAATACAACTTATTTAGCCAATATTAATAGAGTATTTGATAGTAACTAACTAATGTATAATTAGTTATTATTATTGTGATTATTGAAAGGAATGTATCAATTATCATCTAATATAATTTCTAACCTTTGACCTTATTTATCATGATGGTGCATAGATATGATGTTATGCTAAATGAAACGGGGATTTGGTATTGGCTCATATATATATATAATATACATGTATATAATTAGGTAAGTATAAATATACGTGTATATATATATATATATATATTTTTTTTTTTTGGTATCCAATGGGAGTATGGGGACTCATTCTAGGCTGTTTATATACTTATGTATGTATAAAATTGAGCATGATTAAAATGAGCACAATGATCCCATACCCAATAAAAAATTCATTTGAAGTCAAAGGATCCAAACAATTCCAGTGGGTTGGAAGGAAAGTCAAAAGGCTGATAAAGGAAGCCACAGAGGAAAGCTTAAAATGGGTACCAAACAAAATAAAAGTAACTGACGTCTTGATAACTACCTTCATTATTCAAGCATAAATATAGGTGGACCACACATCTGCTGCGCATGCTCTCTCTTTGCTTTGAGCATGTATCTAGTGTTCCCCACCACAAACAAGGCATTGTACAGACGAAATATAGTAGTATAGTATAACTATTAATCAAAAATAAAATAACATTTACCATCTTACCATAACAATTTTAATCAATCATCTTATAAATTGTTATGCCAACATTATTTGGTATTGGTTTATGTGAATAGATCTGCATAAATCTTCGGGGGTGACTGAGAAGCATTCCACGAGAGACAGATTACTTATTTTTGAAGGTGATGTATGGGTTGTTGTTAGCTATATAAATGCGTATGAGACCTAATTTTAAGTTTCACATCAGATGCTTCCATTGTAGTCACTTCCAAATGCAGATATAAGGCAACTGTTTAGACAATGACAAACAACCACCACTACCACCCCAACCCCAGTCACATTACCCATTTATCATGCCAACGTATGAGACTTACAGGACAAACTATCTACACCGAGAAATTAATGGTCCCGGCCGATTGGCAGCAGCACTCTTAGCAAAAACCAAAAAATTGAATAAAACTTGCACATTTCCGACACATTTATTTTGAGTGTCGTCAAAGATTGGCCTAGGGCCAATGGACCCCGGACTCCTACACAACTGATCTAGATGACTTGGATACTACAAGACTGCAACCATAATCAACACTCTCAGCAAAAAATTGAATAAAACTTGCACATTTCCGACACATTTACTTTAGTGTCGTCAAAGATTGGCCTAGGACCAATGGACACGGGACTCCAACACCACTGATCTAGATGACTTGATACTGCAAGACTGCAACCATAATCAACTGAAGTGCCCGTCACCTTATGCAGCATATAGTGAAACGACCAAACTAAAATATCTTGCTCCATAAGATCAAACCAGAATTATTTATGCAGATAGACTGATCAGCATGACCAACCAGAATTATTTATTTCACGATTTGCTGGAAAGAAAAATATAACTTCATGAAGTTGAATATATAAAACCGGTCTGAAGGATGTATTGGCTGAAATAATCGACTATAGAAGTGACTTTATTAGTGTCAGGCACTTCATCCCTTCTAAAACTCCAGCATGCCATTGTTTAAGCAAACGACAGCAAAATGCCAGTGCCCATGTCGGACTAACCAGAAATACTGTCTCCTACAAAACCCGATTCCAAAAATCCCGTTTTATTAAGATGATTTATATCGCCCCACACTTCTATGGTCCAAATATCCCCGTCATACAAGTGAAACACATTTAAAGCTGCATTCAATACTTTCCCTCCGGAGTGTTCACTTGGGGAAGCCTGCTTTTGAAGTGCTATGACCACACCACCATGAGTGACCATGGCTACTCGCTCTCCTGCAATGGAAACAAGCAACAAAATAAGAATATATCATGCAACGTGCCATTCTGCATTTAGGAAAGCACTGCATTGTGCAAACTTTGTCATGCTGCATCTAAAACCAAGAAAACTTCAAAATTTTAAGCTTGAAACAGTAAATAGGTATGGCATCACAGACGTCATTACTAAAAGACTTAGAATATATATATTTGGCTCATTCACATGGTAGAGAAGTTACAAGAATGTATGAACTACTGATACCTTTATGTTTCCTACCAATTTTCTGCAATGAAGAAGTGCATCGTTGACAAACTTGATCAAGACTTTCTCCACCACCCTGCATATGAAGTAAAATAAACAAAAAGGACCAATAAAAATGCTAGAAGTAGCTTTCATGCAACATTAAAAGATCATTTATTAGCTATTACTGCAATGATATTTTTCCAACTTGTCATGCACTGTAATTATGCTAAAAGAATAGCAGATATGAACTAGCAAGTTTTGGACATATTACTTACTGGGATTTCTTGATCCGTCCTGTGCGATGTAAAAGCTTCGTAAGCCTTGGGACTAACTTTGGGAACTTCATCGTACTCAACACCTTGAAGATCTCCTAAATGTCTTTCCCGTAGGTCAGGATCTTTAATAACCTGGAATAGAAAACCCAACAAACAGGCATCCATGAGCTGACTAAAATTCAAATATAAATTTGTAAAAATTTCATGGACCACATCAGGCATAATGAATAACTTAAAATCCTATGATGATCAGAAATGAGTTCCTTAATCGCTCAGATTTGAACTCTTTATCCTAATTATGTTACTCCGGCAATGAAGACTACCATTCAACAATACCAAAATCAAATTTTGAATGTTATAACATCAGAGAATGATTCTATATCTCAAATAGCACACATATTGCCTTCTTGACAAATAATTAGACCCTGCTTCAATTTAGCATCTTCTTATTGTCTTTTATTGTTGTTGTTGTTGTTGTTATTAGGATAAATTACACTGACACCTCCCTGAGATTTGTCCTTATTACACACGACTGCTATGTTTGCAAAAACTTACACAAACCCCTCCCCTAAGGTTTGGCATGTGAGGATTCATCCCTTTCCATTAACTAGCCATTGGGACAATCACCTGAAGCCTCGTGAGAAGACCTATTTACCCCTTGAGTTACTGAAAAGACCCTTTAATTTTCAAGAGTAATGTGAGAAGGCTAAAATACCCTATTAATACTTTCATAGGTGGACAATAATACCCTTTCAAAATACCCCATTAATATCATATATAATATACACGTGTACAGAGAGAAAAGGGACGAACTAAACTGGTTAAAGTTCTAACAAAGGTGGCGAAAAAAGCGGCAAGACCCAGCGGTCATGGCCTAGTGCTGGTAGTAACTGTTGGAAGGCATAAGTAGAGTGTGCCTAAACTGTGTTCGGTACCAATGGGCTAGTGGCCTAGCGGTATTAGGCCCTTACTTCCCAAAGCGAGGTTAAAGGTTCAAGCGTCAGTGGAGGCATGTGTGCATGAGTACCAACTATGAAAATAAAAACAAAAAAAACTGTGTTCAGTAGGGAACACAACTTAGAAAACTGAATGGGTGCACAGTCTGCTATTGCCTCACCTGTGTAGTTCACAGTGGTCTTAATGCCAAGTCATGCGCGTCATTACTCGTCATGCACTACGTCACAGCGGTTCTATGTTTCCATTCGCTCTATTTAAGGTCATATCTTCGTTCAAAATGCTTGCAATTTATTACTCTAAGCAGTATCACTCCTTATGAATTATGAAACAGGTAAGTCAAAGGCAGTGGTCAAAATAAAAATTCATCAAGCAATGCTGTTCTTATACAATTAACCACATGTACATACATCAGAGGGTGGATTCCGATTTCCGATCAATCAGGGATGTCAAAAAGACATATGTAATTGGTCCCCTGTACAATGATTGATCATTAGATTGTTGAGAAGCTTTGTTCCCCATCGAGTGCAACTCATACATTCCAAGGCAAAACTAATAACAGTCGTGCATTTAAAAATCACAGTACAAGGCACTTAATCCTCGAAGTGTGAGGATGCCCTACTACGCATTCTATCTTATTAGAATAAAGTGAATAAATATATAATAATTATATAAGTGATACAGCCAAAAGACCACATTTAAAAATTTGCAGCTGCTACCGACCTTGATCACTGGTTCATTGTTTCAAGGTGTTTTTACAGCTAATTCAAGTTTGTCGGTTGTACTTGTTGTTTGGTGGTTCGAATTAGTGGAAACTAGGAATTATTATGCTTAATTGTTGCTCATCATCTTCGTTGTTGTCATCATCGCTATCACTGTTTAGCATTTGGTTTGATCAACATAATCATTATCATTGTTATCACCATCATAATCATATAGTTATTCAGCCCTTTGAAGCCATTTTAAAGAAATGCTACTTTCACAAAGTTGATCCTGTATTTATACCTCAAGTCCGCCACAGCTACGTGCTATTATCTCTGCAGTCTCAAGAGCTCGCTTCAAGTCAGATGTGTATACAACTGAGATTTTAGGTTCAGTGGATAGTCGATCGCCCACCTGCAAGAGAATATGATAATTTGCCAGGTAATATAAATGCAAATGGCAGACAAGAATGCCATATTAAACATAACTTACAGCAACTGCTTGCTGTCTTCCAACCTCATTTAATGAAATATCCAGGTGTCCCTGTTAAAAAGGAAAATCAATTTGACAAAAAACAGATCTAAAACTCACAGGCACATCAGTGGCAAGAAAGGATGAACAACAAACAATTTACTAAATATATAAATTGCCAATATGTGAGAGGAGACATATTTTCAATACTTTGAACGGAAACTGTTTATAGTAGGGGCTCTTGAGTAGAGGAGGTGAGACAGAGAAGCTGGAAAAAGAAGCCTGATGGGCTGCATCTAGATAAGAGTGATGATTCTGAAGGAGGTAGCTAGCAAAAGGAGTTTTTAATTGACATCTGAGATGATAAATTAATGGTTCATGTCCTAAATTCCTCTATTGATATTTATTAGAGCATTACCCACCCATACAGGGTGCTGGGAGGAAGACTGGTGATAAACCTAACCTGATTTGGGGGTGTGTGTGTGAGAGAGAGAGAGAAATATATATATGAACATGAAAGGAAAATAAAGATCTGTTTTTTTTCCCTCTTGAAAACATATGAGAAGCATTGAGTCATTGACAGCTACCACAACATTTTCTATAGCAAACAGATGTGCCGGTTGCTTACATATATGTACATCTTGAAAACAGATGAGTACATTGAGTCATTGACTGCTACCACAACATTTTCTATAGCAAACAGATGTACCAATTGCTTACATACATGTACGTTACTCTGGCTGCAGACAACCCCAAAACCAATGAAAGATATATGAAAATGAATAATAAAAATAAAATAAATGGAAAGGTGAAAAAACATCTTCTGACACAGTAGTTACAGTCAGCATTAGTTTCAATGCACCAAAAGATCACAAAATAGGGCATGCCATGAATATGAAGAAGTACTTCAGGGAGCAAATTGATCCATTTAGAAGTCAAGGGGCTCACAATGGCACCAGCCCATAGTTTAGGAAGTGAAAGCGTAGTTTATCCATTCATTTAGTTTTGTTATAATATTTTGCCCATGTTTTGGATCCCTGTAACCCAGTTTTAGGGTCCTATTATGTTATTTGCACCATTTATTCCACAGTTGTTTATTGTAGTTAGAACTTTAGCATGTCTTTTTCCTTTCTATCTACCATTTAATTAGTGTTATTTCATCAAAGAGACGGTGATGTACTTGAACTGATAATGAGGCACTGTTTGCTTTCATCTACTCAAAATAACTTTCAATATTTTTCTAGTTAGTCGGAAAAGTTCTCATCACTGAGGCAAGAACAAACCCAGGACTGATTGGAGGCTCAACCAGCTAGCCCATTGGATTGGTTTAGTACCAGCTTGAGCATAGAGGCTCCTCCTCTCCCGCAAACCAAATTAACCAACCAAGTTGGCATACATAAAACATAAATTAAACATAAATGGTAGGTCTGCAAATCTCAATAAGGATAATTATTCACACCAAATTATAAATATATATATTACCAAGAGCTAAAATAGATAACTCATGATAGGCATACACTTTCAATTCTATACTACACAATTAATACACCATGCAATTGAAAGGCATACCAAATTTAATCTTATACACGTGTAGATATCGACAGATAACAATTAACCAAAATAAATGTATTTTCTCGGCATTAAAGGGGAATCAGACCTGAATCCTACGATTGGCATTCCACTCTGTTTCACCATGACGTATAACAATGATTTCAGCATAATCCGCAGCAACAGAGTCGACCTTGCCCTCGCCATTACAATAAGATTGAGGCAAATCCCTTAAAATAAATAAAATAAAAACTCAGAGTCGAACATTCAGTACATGAAGCCCAAACCATTCAATGAAAATAGATTTTCATGATCTGCAAATTGAGAAACCAAGGCCCCCACACATCTGAACTTTCACTACTGGGTTCGCCTAAGTTTTGATTTTCATGATAAACTTACAATACTAAGAGCAGAAATAAAAATTATTCAAAAGATTCTCACAAGACTAAAAAATTACCCTGATATGTATAATTTGTGAGGAAAGAAAAGAAAAGAAAAGAAAGGAAAGAATAGTATTAGTCACTGGAGAAAGAAAAAAAAAAAAATAGTAATAATTTCTATTAGTGTTTGGATACGAAAAAAGAAAAGAAATGATAGTTATTTTTGTTTGGATAAATAGATGAGAAAAAAAAAAAGAAATGATGGTAAACAAATTATTTTTTTATCCTTTTATAACCTTTATAATCATGGGACTTGATATTTTCAAAATTAAAAAGAAAGCAAATAAGAAATAAGAAGGGATAACTATCCTTCCTATCCCTCCACTTAACGTACCTAAACACAAACTTACATTATTCTTTCTTTTCTTTTCTTTTCTCTCCTTATCTCTCCAAATAATCCTACCAAACACATCTTGAGTGATCGGACATATCTCGAGTTTGCAAGCATTGGGAGCAAAGTCACTAGTCGGTGGATTGATTCTTTTAAAAAACGAATAACTTTCTTGACAACCAAAGGATCCTAAAATTGAACTCCAAATGAAAACATTTCTCATTTCTTTGTAAATAAATCAACACGCATACATATTTATTAACGACCTGGAATTGGATTCGGCCATTGATGAGTCCTCAGTAAATTGGGCGATGAGCTAAGGTCTGGTTCTGCGTGTCCGGTCCTCCTGAGGGTTGAGAGTAAAAGGTTTTAGCTTGTGAGGGCGGAGCTGACGTGGGTTTGCTTCTGACCGCTGTTCCATCGAGCGGTAGACAGACAGCCATATCAGCTATGGCCGGAGCTTCAGCCATTGAGAGTAACAGGTCTTAATTTGTCAGGGAGTTGTTTGGAATTGCAGAAGGGAAAATGAAGTTTCCACTTGTACCTTCTCTAAAGTCCCTTAAGTTTTTTTTTTTTTTTAAACAGAGATTTCATTCATCACATACGTAAGAAATTTTTAGATGGTTGACAATTAATTCAAGGAAAGTACTCAGATTATGATATTATGTAATATGTTAATACAGTTTATGAGTCATTTTTTCAATCCAGGTATATTTAACTAGATCCCTTATACTAATGATTAGAATCATATAAAAAATATATATATATTATGTAAATTTGTGACCTACTGTGTTAATGGTCAGAATCATCTAATATCATGTGTTAGATCAACTATAATGGAATGTTATTTTCAAAATATAACATGTGGGTTTAAAATGGGCTCTCTCGTGAGATGCTAAATGGGCTGTCAAAATATAACTTTGTCAAATGTTGTGCCAAATATAGCACAACATATAACTATTATCAAATCTGCTATTGCTCTATTCCTTCTCTCTTCTTTCTCACATGAGCTACCAATTTGGTGTTGGGCTGCCAATTTGTTGTGGAGCTTGTGTATATATATATATATGTAAGTTATGCTTGTATATACACACAACAGACATATGTATATATATGTATATGTCTGGTGTGTGTATATATATATATATATATGTCTGTTGTGTTTGTATATATACATATATATGTCAGCGTTTTTATTTATTTATTTTTAATAAGATAAATAAACTAAATAAAATACAAACACTTAAAAAAAAATAAAAAATGGTTGTTGAAAATTGCCGTTAGGAATGGTAGCTGAAAAATAATAATTGTTATGTCAAAAAATAGCATTTTGGACGAAATACACTGTTGGAGCATAATTGTTAAAATATAATATTTTGACACTTTATTTTCTCTCAAAATATAAATATGACATGAAAAAAATGACATTTTGCGTTAAAGATGTCTTATCTTACTGCGGCAATGGTCAGAATAATCTGATATAAGGTGCCATGAAAAGTCATAAAGTAAGGAATGATAGTGAAAGAATAAAAAACTCTTACAGTAACCAAATGGGAATAGCCAGTTGGTACAAGTCATTTTTACATGATTTCAGTGCAAGCATAGGTGTGTTCGCTCAATTTTAAAAAAATAAATAAAAAATCCCACAACTTTATAAACTCTCATAATTTGATATCCAAGTATTGACTCACAATGTAAATAAGTAACTGCAACTCTTGGTGAGTAAACTGCAATTGAGTTCACTGTTTAGATCTCATAATCCACCCACATTTGGTATGCAACGCCCATTGAGATTTGGTTTTTCATTCCCCTCTTGAAGGATCAATAATCTCACCATCCTTGTGATTGTGACCTCTACAAAACTCACATTATGATTAAAATTCACCATTTATTTATATATACATATATATAATTGATATGCTAACACCATTCATATCTGCCCTGAATAAAGTTTGGGTGAGAGAGAGAGGACTTGTTTTCAAGCTGATGTATATGGGCTGTTAGCTTTATAAATGCTTGCTAATTCATACATAGCCAAAAATGATACCCAATTTTAAGTTTCACATCTCATGCTTCCATTGTTGTCATTTTCAGATCCAGGTATAGAGTAACTGTTTAGACAATGACAAACAACCACCACCACAAATCGCAATACCCACCCTATAGTAATTTGCACAACTAGATCCGGTGAATGTACTCTGAATCCATTGTCACCCAATAGTCTAGTTGGTAAAACGCCGGGGCTCCGGAGCGAGTGTACTCTGTTCAAGCCCCTAGTTTGCCAAGAAAATAAATAAATAAATAAATAAATATATATATATATATATATATATATATATATATATATATATATCAACTGAATTGACCAGCTTATGAGTTTACAGGATATGATCAACTGAAGTGCCCGTCACCGGCTCACCTTATGCAGCATAGTGAATAGATCAAACTAAAATATCAACTGAATTGACCGAACGATGAGTGGTACACATTTTAGGATGAGTAATTAAATATTCTTAGTAATAAATGATATTACTTAATGAATTTTTGGATCGGCAGAAATAATTGACTATAGGGATAACTTCAATAATGTCAGGCATTTCATCCCTTCGCCTAGAATTCCAGTATGCCATTGCTTATGCAAATGACAGCAAAATGCCAGTGCCCATGTCGGATTAACCAGAAGTACTGTCTCCTCCAAACCCCGATTTCAAAAATCCTGTTTTACTGAGATGACTAACATCGCCCCGGACTTTTAAGGTCCAAATATCCCCATCAGACAAGTGAAATACATTTAAAGATGAATTCAGTACTTTCCCTCCAGAGCGTCCATTTGGGGAAGCCCGCTTATACAATGCTCTGATGACACCACCATGAGTGACCACGACTACTCGCTCTCCTGCAACGGAAACAAACAATAAGGATATATCACGCAACGAGCCATTCCACTTTTAGGAAAGCATGTTATTGTGCAAACTTTGTTATGTTGTCACTATGACTCAGAAAACTTCAAAATCTTAAGCATGAAACTATATACAGGTATAGAACCACAGAAGTCATTAATTACTAAAAAACTTTGGAATATATATTTGGCTCATTCAACTGGTGGAAAAGTTACAAGAAAACATGTACTACTGATACCTTTATGCTTCCTACCAATTTTCTGCAATGAAGAAGTGCATCGTTGATAAAGTTGATCAAAACTTTCTCCACCACCCTGCATATAAAGTAAAATAAACATGGATCCATAAAAATTCTAGAAGTAGCTTTCATGCAACATTCAAAGATCATTTATTACCAAATCCCTCACCACCTTCATGGCAAACACACCGTAAGTACTTTTTTAAAGCACCAAAAAAAAATGGGGGTCATGATAGCAACAAGCATATCTCAAGCAATTTATCAAACCATTTGAAATAGCTAACAGCAATATTATGCTAAAAGAATATTAGATTTGAACTAGCAAGTTTTGCACAGATTACTTACTGGGATTTCTTGATCTGTCCTGCGCGATGAAAAGGCTTGGTAAGCCTTGGGATTAACTTTGGCTGTTTCGTGGAACACAACACCTTGAAGATCTCCTAAATGTCTTTCCCGTAGGTCGAGATCTTGAATAACCTGAAATAGAAAAACCCAACAAACAGGCATCCATGAGATGACTAAGATTCAAATATAAAGTTCTCAAAATTTCATGGACCACATAACTAGGAAAAGAAAAAATTCATGGACCACGTTCGGCATATATAAATGAATAATTTTAAATCCTATGATGCTCAGAAATGAGTTCCTTAATCGCTCAGATGTGAACCCTTTATCCTAATTATGTTTCTCCATCAATGAAGACTTCCATTCAACAGTACCAAAATCAAAATTTGAATATTATAACGTCAAAGCATGATTCTATATCTCAAATAGCGCACACCTATTGACTTCTTGACACATAGTTAAACCCTGCTTCAATTTAGCATCTTTTTATGGTCTTTTAATATTGCTGTTGTTATTATTAGGGTAAATTACACAAACACCTCCCTGAGATTTGCTTATTACACACAACTACTATGTTTGCAAAAACTTACACAAACTCCTCCCCTGAGGTTTGGCATGTGATAATTCACCCACTTCCGTTAACTAGCCATTGGGACAATCACCTAAAGCCTCGTTAGTAGACCTATTTACCCCTTGACTTACCAAAAAGACCTCTTTTAAAGAATAATGTGAGAAGGCTAAATAATACCCTTTCAAAATACCCCATTAAGATCATATATATAATATATGTGTATAGAGAGAGAAAAGGGACAAACTAAACTGGGAACAGCTCTAGGTGGCAGTGCCAAAAAAGTGGCACGACCCAAGGGTCATGGCCTTGCGCTGGTAGTAACTGTTGAAGGCATCAGTAGCGTGTGCCTACACTATGTTCGGTAGGGAACACAACTCAGACAACTGAAGGGGTGCACAGTCTGCTCTTGCCTCACATGCGTAGTTCACAGTGGTCTGTAGTGCCAAGTCGCTTGTGTCATTTCTCGTCATGCACTACATCGCAGCCTTGACTGCACACATCCAGTGATGATGGATAAACCGGTCCATATCACCATCACCTTGGACACGGATACCATGACCTAATATTATATGGTGGTGATACTTACGACTTGGTTGGTAAAGCAAAAGAGAGGGTACAGATAGAGAGAGAGAACTAGGCCTAGAAAGAGAATCAAGGGGAAGTGGATCTCTTTTTCTTTTCCTTTTTCCTTTGATTGGGTGGTGTTGGTGGTGGTGGCGGCGGCTAGCGTTTGTATTCTGGATATATATAGATACATTGAGTCTCCTATATCGGAAATGGAGCAGGTATGTGTGCTCAACTTGTAAATTCTTATAATGATCAAAATTAAATATGGATTTGTGTTAGTTTTGTTAGAAATTACTACTATGTGGAAAGAGAGGGATATAGATGATAAAATGAAATAAATGAGAGAAATAGTTGGGGATTTCATGTTTTTTATTGTCTATTTTTTTGTTTGAGCTTTTAAACAGTGTAACAACAGAGATTCAAATCAGAAAATCCCTAAATGAAAAACCACATTTTTATTTTATTTTTTGAAATGTTTTGTGAGGTGGTAGACAAAACCCATACCTGATTTTCTTTCCCATTGTGAATTTGTTTCAGCCATTGGAGGTGGTGGCTGTGTTAAACTAGAGAGGGCGGATTATAGAGCGAAATGGTGTCAAAAAATAGAGACAGGTGGTGGAAGAGGAGGAGGAGTAGAGCAGAGTAGAGTGCAAAGAAGAGAGCAAGAGGTGGTGGTGGAGGCATGAATGTGTGGTTATGGAGGAATGAGAGGGAGAAGAGAGAATAAAGACAGAGAGAGACGGGGAAGAGAGAAAAGGGTGAGTTACTATTATGGGGATAACTTGGTCTTTTCATGTCAAACTTTTTTATTTTATTTTATTACAAACTATTGGAACAAAGAAGGACAACAATGACATTTTACACATGTTAGAATGTTATATATATATATATATATATATATATATATATATATATATATATGTTGGGCCATTATGTAATTACATTATGTTAGTAGGTATCCTTTATATAAGCCTATGTAGGCTTATTAGGTTGTTTAGTGTGTGAAATATAGTACAAGTTCTTTCTCTCTTTCTCTCTGTCTCTCGTGATAATGAACTTGGTATCAGAGCTCTACGAATTCCTAGGTGTGAGGGTCTGTAATTGTGTGGTTTAAGATCGGAATCACGATTGTGGTGTTGGTGTTCCTACTTTCTTCGTTCGTCGCCAGCACCTACTCGTTCACCGCCATCAGATCTGCATCGTCATTTGTTGTCGTCAGATTTGCATCGTTCGTCATCGTCGTTGCCAGCAGCTTCTTTTTGGTTGTCAGCGAGCTCGTCATCAAATCTGGCGTCTTGATTTACAGAGGTGAGGTTCATCGAATTGTTTTTTTTTTGCCGGAAGTTGCAGAGGTAGCTGCCTCTTGATTCGGCCGTTGCTCGTGACTGGGTCGCCATTGTCTCCGCTGCTTTGTTCACTGGCGTTTGTGAAGGTGTGAAGAAGAAGACCCTTGTTTGGCTACACGGTTATGCTATTCCAATCTTGGTTTACTAAACCTGGAATAGCTATTCCAACCCTGGTTTACTAAACCTGGGATAGCCCAGGTTCGGCCAGAATACCAATTCTGCTTCTTTTTCTTCTCTGTTTTGCTGGGTTCAAAATGGCATCCAATTCAAATTTGTTTTCTCCCACATCCGGTCTTCATTCTCCCATGACTTCCGTTAAACTCAATGGGACGAATTACATATCGTGGGCTAAATCTGTTAAAATTTTTCTCAAAGGTAGAGGCCTTGGTACTCATCTAACTAGAGAGAAACTCAAGGAAACAGATGCTTCTTTTGATGCATGGGAAAAGGAAGATGCTCAGATCATCTCTATGATGATAAACAATATTGAACCCCAAATCAGTTCAACTTTACTTTATTTGGATACTGCCACAGAGCTCATAAACACAAGTGATATTATTTGGATACTGCCAAGGAAATATGGGACAGATTGCAACAACTGTATTCTGGGACAGGTAATATCACTCGTGTTTATGAACTCTGTAAGCAGTATTTCAATCTTGAACAAGGTAATCACAGTATAGAAGAGTATTATTCCAAAGTTATGGGAGTTTGTGAGGCGCTGAATATGTATCAGCCCATTACTACTGATGTTCGAAGTATGCAACAATAACGTGAGGATTTTAATGTTGTCCGTTTTCTTACTGGTTTGTCATCAACTTATGAGTCTTTTCGTTCACAGATTATGGGCAGTCCCACACTTCCATCCCTTGCTGATGTGTTTTCTAGACTTCAGCTCGCTACACTTGTCAGTGATACCTCAACTTTGAATACTGGGCAAAGTGGTGAGCGTTCAGCATTGATCGTTTCAAAGGGTGAAAATACTACTTTCCGTGGCGGTCGTGGGGGACGCTCCACACGTGGCGGTCGTGATTCACAAAGTGGACGTGGCTGTGGTAGGGAATCACGAAAATGTACTCATTGTGGCCTTTCTAATCATACTGTGAATTTTTGTTGGGACCTTCATGGCAAACCATCTAGTTATGCAAATCAAGTTTCCTCCTCTCCGAATGATGTTGCTTCTGGATCTCACAATGTAACTGAATCAAATCCGGTCCCTGTCCCACATGATGAGTATACTCAGTTTTTATCTTATAAGCAAGCATCTAATTCATCTTCCACGGCTACCTTTGTCCAGTCAGGTACTGCACACACGTCTATTGTCTTCCACTCGCAGTCCTTGGATCATAGACACTGGAGCATCCGATCATATGACTGGATGTTCTTCTCTTCTATCTGATTTTAATTCTGTACCTCCTTCTCAAAGAGTTACCCTTGCTAATGGTTCCTCCGCTAAGGTTTCAGGTTTGGGGACAACTCAACTTAGTGATTCCTTGTCTCTCTCGTCTGTTTTATATGTTCCTCAGTTTCCCTTCAATTTAATGTCTATCAATAAGCTTACTAAATCTCTTCAGTGCTCTGTTACATTTTATCCTATTTTTTGTGTGTTTCAGGATCTCAAGACGAAGAAAAAGAATGGTACGGGGTATGAAGCTGGTGGCTTATATTACTTTGATTTGGCACCTTATCCTATGGCTCTTCAGTCTTCTCTGTCTCCATTCCAGTTGCACTGTCGTCTTGGTCACCTGTCACTTCAAGTTTTGCAACGTTAAGTTCCTAGTCTTAGTTATTTGAAATTCTTGTCATGTGAAGTTTGTCAACTTAGTAAGCACCATCGCGTATCTTTCAAGTCTAGGGTTAATAATCATGTCTCTAGTCCTTTTCATTTGGTTCATTCAGATGTATGGGGTCTAATAAAGCATTCTTCAATCAATAAATTTCATTATTTTGTGACATTTGTGGATGATTATTCTCGCTTGACTTGGTTGTTTCTGATGAAAGATCATTCTGAGTTATTTTTAATTTTTCAAAAATTTCGAAAAGAAATCAAAACTCAGGTTGGTTGCCCAATTCGTATTTTACGTTCTGATAATGCTAAGGAATATTCTTCAACCCCCTTTGATACAAATCTTAGTGATAAATGAATTATTCATCAAAATTCATGTGTTTATACTCAACAAAATGGAGTTGCAAAACGTAAGAATCGACACCTCTTAGAAGTAACCTGTGCTCTTTTGTTTCATATGCGCATGCCTAAACGGTTTTGGGGTGATACTGTTCTTACTGCCTGTCATCTTATTAACCGTATGCCGTCATCTGTATTAGATGACAAATCTCCACATTCTATTTTATTTCCTGATTCTTCTTTGTTTTCTCTTACTCCTAGAGTTTTTAGATGTGTATGTTATGTCCACAATCTTGGTTCGCGTTTTGATAAACTTGACCCACGTGCCACAAAGTGTGTATTTCTTGGATACTCTCGTTCTCATAAAGGTTATCACTGCTATAGTCCTGTTTCTCAACGGTACTTTATTAGCGCGGATGTGACCTTTTGTGAGTCCGTCCCATATTTTTCAGATAGTGATTCAATACTTGATATTACTCCTAAGTCGCCTTTTCCTGCGGTTCCACTTCCCTCACTTTCTCTT